TCTAGGAAAGCATTGGAAGGGTCCTGCCAAGGCGCCTAAGTGAGACAACCTAGCCCTGGAATATGGGCTGCCGAGAAAGGACGTGAACTGACTAAGTGCGTCAGTGGTGACAGGGCTAGACGAGGCGGGTTGCCATTGACCCAATGGCGAATTAATGGAATTGATCCTTCTCCGGTGGACTCGAAGCGTGCTATTTTGGTGTACGAGAATATCCGAAGACGGTTCGAGTTGTCTTTCAAGAAGTTTCCCTTGTCCAAGAGCCAATCCGCCGACACCCTGAGCGTAGAAAAAGACACCCTGCCGCAATATGCCGGAGAGAATGCCGAGAGATGCCGGATAGCATAGAAAAAACTCTTGGGCGTATTCGATTCTCCTTTTGCAATATTGCTTATTCCAAGACACTTTGGACCCGCACGTGGCGATCTTTGCAAGAATAGGATGAATGTCCTCAATTCCCAAATACGACCTTTCGTCAAGGTAAGGGTAAGTGTCCTGGTGCGACTATGAAACAAGCCATGTCTAGATGGAATGGAAAGTGATGCCCCGAGCTCTCGATCGTTATTATCTGAGAGCAAGGCAGTTGGGCGACCCACTCTAAAGAGGCGACAATGGTCAAACTGGAGCAACACAGAACACACAAGTGAGTCAACTCAGTTCCTGGGCTAAAGTCTTGAAATGTCCGTACATTTCCGCCGCCGGTTTCCGCCGTTCATTTCCGCTCCTCCTGACTCCTTAAGCAATAATTGATACTTTTTTCGAGACAGAGAGTGTCTTACAGGCGGGTCCTATTAATTTAGCGGTTTGCCAGTAGTATTGAAAGCCCGGCAATAGAATCTGCGCTTCACGATGCTATTCCCCACGATGGTCTCTGTTGAACTTGCTTTTTACCGTGTCCGTGACACCCCTTCGAGACCCTTTGTTCCTAGCCCTTTCCCGGAAGGCAAAACTGCCCACAAACTAAAAAATACCGGCTAGATTGGCGAGCATGAACTAGTTCAATTGTGTCTTATCATTGACCTCAGACAGGATAGGAGCCAGCGGTACAGGCTCCTGCTGAGACTGGTTCCGATCTGATCACGCCGATTATCAGCTATTGAGCCATCTCTGCAGTATTATTGCCTGCCACATACTAGAGGCTCTGGAGAACTTATTCGCGGATGTCTTGATGCCTATTTTGGGAGTAGGGATGCAATAATATCACTACAGGTCAAATGTCTCAGTTAGTCGCTGTTCCTTTGAATCTACCAGGTCTTACATGTCGTGTTGATTGCGATGATGGGGGATGTCTACAGACAGTCCATCACATCTATGCTGCAACTCATATGAACAATCCAGCTAAGTAGGATGAAAATGGTGATCGAAGTGGAGGCTTGGAGGTGTATAAAGAGCTTGCTCCTCTTCCTCAATCCGCTCCCAAATCCATCATTCTCCAACCACAATCAACCAACAAGTCACTCTTTTAGATTCCAACTGGTGCGCTTCTCTGGGAGCCTACTTGTACTCACTCGTTTTTAATTGTCTATTTCCTGTTTTAATATCTTAATATTGCCTTTTCACAACTATCAACTGACCCCATTCTTCGATCCCAAGTCATATCACCATGGGCTTGACGGGTCAGATCCTGAGGGGCCTTTCCCTCACGGGTTTGATTGTGCCTGTTCTCTCTCGTCCTTCCGTTCCGGGGATAGGCAATCTCGTTCGCCGTGACGGGTATGTCGGTTCTCCGTTCCGCGTTGGCACTCTCAGCCATCACCGAAAGCGGGATTGCGATCCTTCCTCGCTTACTTGTCTCTGCGACGACATCAACATTCCAAGCACATGCACGGAGTGCGAAGATGGCGTTACTTGTACTTGCGAACTCACAGGGGGCCTCTATGTGTGTTCGGAAATCCCTGTGGAGCCCACTGAGGAGCCCACGGTAGAACCTACTGTCGAGCCTACCGAAGAACCTACTGAAGAACCTACAGTTGAACCTACGGTCGAACCAACTGTCGAGCCCACAGCTGAACCTACTGAGGAGCCTACTGTCGAACCGACGGCTGAACCTACTGAAGAGCCCACCGAGGAGCCTACTGTCGAGCCTACTGTCGAGCCTACTGGCGAGACTACTGAGCAACCTACTGCCGAACCTACCGGCGAGACTACCGAGGAGCCTACCGTTGAGCCTACGGGCGAGACTACTGGGGAGCCGACCGCCGAACCCACGGGCGAGACTACCGAGGAGCCCACTGGAGAGTCTACGGTTGAACCTACGGGCGAGACTACCGAGGAGCCTACTACCGAGCCTACCGGTGAAACCACTGGTAGCTCAACTGAACCCACCGGAGTATCTACCGAGTCTTCTGATGTCTCCACTGGCGCCTCTACTGGCCCAACGGAAAGCTCTACCGGTGCCTCCACGGAAAGCTCGACGGGTAGTTCAACTGATGTACCCTCTACTACTTCTGGCTCAACTGAAAGCTCCACCGGTGCCTCCACGGAAAACTCTACGGATGCCTCCACAGAAAGCTCTACCGGTGCCTCCACGGAAAGCTCGACCGGTAGTTCGACTGATGTACCCTCTACTACTTCTGTCCCAACTGAAAGCTCTACCGGTGAAAGCTCTACCGGTACCTCCACGGAAAGCCCGACGGGTAGTTCGACTGACGTTCCCTCTACTACTTCTGGCAGCAGCACAGGCACAAGCACCCCCTCGTCCGTACCCGGCTTCCCTAGCGTTATTGACGGCTACGCTTATGTCGGCTGCCACGGATCCCAAAACAACTTCCCCACGTTCGAGCTTACCCTCATCTCTTCGGAAATGACTCTTGACCTGTGTGCCGCCACATGCGGTGCAGCTGGTACCCTGTATATGGGTGCTCATGATCAGCTCTGCTTCTGCGGTGATATCCTCGATGCCGAAATCGTGGAGGATGCTCTCTGCGACATCATCTGCCCTGGTGATGACACCCAGTTCTGCGGAGGTCTCGACGACAGTGCACTTCAGCGCCGCCAGGCTATCCCGTCCAACTTCCGCCTGACCATCTACGTTGCCATTCGCCCACCCCCACCTGCTAATACCACAGTGACTGTCCCTGGAGAAGTCACCTCGGTCACACTCACTTCGGTTACCACTCAGACCACCACCATTTCGGGATCCCCGACTACCATCACCAGCACGCTCACGACAACTGTCTGCCCCACTTGCACTCCTCGGCCTGGCTGCAAAGCACCTCACTGCCCTTGGTCTCCCCAGAAGCCTCAGAAGCCCGGCGTCCCTTGCACTGGAGGCGACTGCGACAAGCCTGGCCACCCTAGCGTCCCCTGCACCAGCGGCAACTGTGGAAAGCCCGGTTATCCTGACCGCCCCTGGTCCCGTCCCGGTGGTCATGGTAACGGTGGTAACGGTGGCAACGGAGGTAATGGAGGCAATGGTGGCCATGGAGGTAACGGTGGCTCTGCTCACGGCAGTGGCAACGGTGGTAACGGAGGCAACGGAGGCAACGGAGGCAACGGAGGCAACGGAGGACAGGGTGGCTCCGGTCACGGTAAGGACGGTGGAAACGGAGGCAATGGCGGTCACGGTGGAAATGGGGGCCATGGTGGCTCTGGCCATGGTGGCAATGGCAGATCTGGAGGTAATGGCGGAAACGGTGGCAATGGTGGCTCCGGTGGCTTTGGGGGAAACGGCGGTAACGGAGGCCACGGTGGAAACGGAGGAAATGGCGGAAATGGTGGCTCTGGCCATGGTGGTAATGGCGGTGCTGGAGGTCGTGGCGGAAACGGAGGCGCTGGTGGATCCGGTAGCACTGGTGGCTCCGGTGGCTTTGGGGGAAACGGCGGCAATGGAGGTCACGGCGGAAATGGCGGAAGCGGTTCCGGTTCTAGCTCAGGCGGCGCCGGTGGCTCTGGGGGCAATGGAGGTCAGGGTGGCAATGGAGGCGCTGGTGGATCCGGTAGCACTGGTGGATCTGGAGGCAACGGCGGTTCCGGCGTTGACGGTGGTGCTGGCGGTCACGGAGGCAGTGGAAATGCCGGCGGCAACGGTGGCCATGGTGGACAAGGTGGTGATGGCGGCGCCGGTGGTAACGCTGGTAACGGCGGCTCCTCCAGCGGCTCCTCCAGCCCCAGCCCTCCTGGCGGCTCTACGGGCTCCACTGGCTCTACGGGCTCCGCTGGCTCTAGCGGCGCCAGTGGTGCCGGAGCTGAGGAATTCAAGCCCGTGACTGCGGGTTCCGACAAGGCCGTCCTTGGCGCTAGCGTGATGGCTCTTGCCATCGCTTTGTGGCTCTAGATCTGTTGCTGAAACCGCATCACCGCTAATCCGTTGCCTCTTGCCTTTCAATCATTCCAGAGGGCACGCGATAACGCTGACGGGCCTATATAGTTAGTGTTCGATTAGCTTTCCTTGAGTTGGCGGTAATAATAGTTCTGAGTATATATATAATCCAAAAGGGGCCAAAGCTCGTCATTAGACCTCCCAACACCTTGACGCGCACTTGTCTCTTTTGAGATTGAGCCAAGTCGGAGCCGAATTGATCAATAACCGGAATTTAGGTAGTAAGGACCTGGTCGGTATCAATCTAATGTTCCAGAATTGCCTCCGCTTTGCCTTGTCCTGGGCCTCGATATCGAGGAGTTGACGGCAATCCGGCGGATTTGAGACATTATGAGGGAGCCCAAAGTCGGTGTGGTGGTTCGACAGGTTTTAATTCGTGCCACAAGATCTCATGATGATCAGATTCGTCGTTGGGCCAAGCCGTCGCCAGTTGTCAAATGTAACAAGTACCATTGAGTACCTCGTACCATTCGATATCCCCAAACTACATGTGACTGTGACTAATTGGCACATCCTCGGCATCGTCGGATCCTCCTGCCTAGATTCAACATCAACTTCATTCTTTCATGTCAACGCCGCCTCTTGGCGATCTATGCATCTAATATACGCTGCATTCGATAGCATCCGTGGACAAGCTCGTGCGAGTTGCTGACAGCCGAGCCTCAGAAGGCACTAGTACAATATGGGCCATCATAATCGTCACTTCGCTGGTGATCCACACTCCTTGACAGGGGCCTGGAGCCCGCCGACTAGCGCTGCAAAGTGGGTAGTCGATCCTCCTGTTCTTTTGGTTCTTCGGAATCTGCGTCTTTGTACCACCTTGCTAACTAATGAGTTAGCTTCTGCGAGGAGGATTATGCTCTAACTCGTTATATCGCTGAGTTCATCAACACACTTACCAACTTCACCTATGGTATGCAGAGAAACCGAGCACACGAGAAACAGAATGCCTTCGGTCATTTGCCGGGTCACTAACTCTGCCCGCCAGTATTTCTTGCTCTTAAATACATGTACGGCCCAGGAAGTCGGGGACTTCTCAAACCCAACTATGACTTTATGTCTGTATCCCTTTTGATTCTTGGCATTTGCTCCTTCCTCTACCACGCCTCCCTCCGCCAATACCTCCAATTTGCCGACGACCTTTCCATGCTCCTTCTGGGCTCGTCGATGCTCCACGGCCTGTTATCAGTCAGGCAAACACCCGCGCGGATACGGAGAAACGCCGTTCTGCTCGCCATCGTCACGGCTGGCTTTTCAGCATTCTATGTCCGGTCCGGCAAGATCATCTACCATGTTCTGGCATTTGCTACGCAGATGGCCGCGATTGGACTGCGCAGTTTATACCTGTTTTATTGGCTAGACCCGAGCCAAAAGTTCCCCCAGGACAAAATCCGAGATTGGAAAGTGAGACAATGGCAGTCCATCCTCATCGCTCTCTTTGGCTATTTGATCTGGAATATCGATCTCGAATTCTGCGCGGAGCTCCGGACTCTTCGAGCTCAAATCGGTTTGCCGTGGGCTTGGCTCCTTGAACTCCACGGATGGTGGCACGTTTTGACAGCCATTGGCGCCGATCGTTTCATGAAGATTGTGAGGGAGATGGACGCTGAGGAGCGGCTTGGGAAGGGAAAGGCGGTGGCTAAGAAGGCAGCGTAGGCATGGGAATATTTGGGACTCCATTGTGTTCTGTCGGTGGATCGATTGGTAACTTTACGAGTATGCACACTGTCAATATGGAATATAGAGTATGTGATATTATGCATCCAACCTGGTCGGTTTCTCGACTCTGGATTCAAGTGACCGTTTTTTGGATTTTGATTACGCCGTAGGTCGGCCATGCCCCGAAGATATGTATCCCAAAAATGAGACGGCTTGCCATTGAAAAGAACAGCATAGGAGCTAGGCTCGATGCTTAGCCACACCCTCCCTATACTTTCGCGTTCACAAACGTCCCAGCTGACATTGATAAGGTGATCGGGAAGGGTAACGACACCAGCGAGGAAGAAGTTGCTGGTGCCTACTTAGTACATAGGGAAGATTCGACTGGGAAGGGAATACTAGCTTCCTCAACCAAGATTATTCGGTATCTCTGTATCTTACATGTTTATCATGACGCGAGCCTCTCCGAGAATCCGGGTCATTGTGCAGAATTGTTGTAAATTTCTTCGGGCAACACGAGGCGCCCATGTAATGACAGGTGCACGTCACGATCTCGGGTCTTTGATTAATAAATGTAGGATCATCGTGCATTTGTGGCGACTTGTCTGGGGAGGGCAGGGGGGACCAAGACTTCTAGTCACGCTTGGCCGTTGTCGCTACAGGACTCAACAACGCGAAAATTGGTTGAAATTCTGCGACTATCTACTATGTACTAAGGGACATGCTGTATGTATATGAGTTTATCTGCAGCATATTCAGGACAAAACATATTCTACACCTTCCTTCGTTCTACTTAAGAAAAATTGTATGATGGGCTTGAGATGCTTCGACGGAAAGGACCAAAACCAATGTGGATAGCCCTTGTATTCGTCAAACTTGTTCGGCACTCTGTGGATTCGATATTGTTAGGCAAGCCGTGGGTCATGCAGAAACGGGGAAGATCTACATACCCAGCATCATGGAGTGCCTTCTTGAGAAGACGACCGTCATCTCTCAGGGTGTCTCTATCGCAGATGGCAATGTAGGTCTTTGGTAGATCCTTTATCCTCGCATGTAATAGCGGCGAAACATATGGATCAGTCGGTGGTGCGCCGTAAGCATCTATTTGTGTTTAGATAGCGGATCAGTCCATGCGGTCTTGCGCACTCATGTTGTACCTAGTGGGAAACCCACCGAAGAATGCCCTCATTGCCGAACTTGTGTTGATGTTTAAGTCAGCGTTCTCGTCATAAGCTGTGTGCGATGACTTCAACTCTTGCGGACAGGCATCTGGGTGAATAGTAACGGGAGCAAGAGCCACAACGCCCTTCACTGAGTGCCCCAGCCCATCATCAATCAACTTGAGAGCGACTGCTAGCGAAAGACAGCCACCAGCGGAACCGCCAATGGTGAAAATCTTCCCAGGAGTGGTGTTCAAGTAAGCCGAGTTCTCCATAATCCAGTGATATGCAATCAAGCAGTCGTCCAAGGCAGCTGGGTACTTGTGCTTCGGTGCAAGGCGGTAGTCCACTGACACGAGGACAAGACCGGTATCCTTTGCCACTGTCCGGGCAAATCCATCTTCTGATTCTAGATCACCGAATACCCAGCCTCCGCCGTGAATGAACAATCCTGCTGGCTTTCCGCCGGTGTAACTGGGCGGAGTGTAGATTCTGACGGTAAGGTCTGGAGAGAGCTTTCTATCTTCCGTTTTCACCGAAAGGTCAGGCGCAGGAAACGTAAGCTTGGAGGCCAGGACTTCCCCGAGCTCATTATAGCCTCTGACGAGGTCATCCACCGTTGGGCCATAGAGTGCTGGTCTGCGGCCAAGCTCTATCTCAAACTGAGAAAGACAAATAAATTAGCATGCAACCTTTGCGATTTGAGACCTTCAAAACACACCTCCTGCCAGGCCGGTGCAAATATCCCAGTGTCTGCCATATTTTCCTGGAACTGGATATCAGCAGTTTTTCGTATGAGAGTTTATAGTATGAGAGAGTTTACAAAGAATCGCTGTCGAGATCATAAATGCGCTGGCGTCGTGGTTATGTTTATTATAAAATAACCACTGGTGAGGTTTAATCTTCCATCACCATGCTAACGTCGGGAAAGCCCACAACGACCCACGGGGCTGGTCCGACCGGACCGGAAGAAGGGGAATTCATTTCCCCCACGAGGGGGTGCACGGATTCGTTATTTGGTCTAAGGAGCCTGAGGTGAGTGACCCGGCAGATGAATACGGTAGCAGATATCTAATCACATGTTCCACGGCGCAGGCGGGGAAGATCATGCGAGTATCTTTTGATGAATGCAAGCTTAAGTGCGTTTTGTATGCGCGCCGATGAGGGGGACTCTTATAAAACTTGGAGTCTGCAGGCTCACACACACCTTTACACCTTACACTCTACCACTCTATTATCAGTGACCTCTCTTCTCTACGTGCCTTTTCAATATCTCTTACTCTGCCAAATATTTGAGACAATGTCCGGTGCACTGGCTGGAAGAGTAGCTGTTGTCACCGGCAGCTCGTCTGGAATTGGTCAGGCCATCGCACTGGCATTCCACCGCGAAGGGTGTAAAGTCGTCTGTGCCGACTTGAGACCCCAGGGCGAGGGCTGGTCAACAGATGAAACCATCACCAAGGACGGGGGTGACGCGCTGTTCTGTAAGACGGACGTGAGCCAGGCCACTGACGTGGAGGCGGCGGTTAAAGCAGCCGTGAATAGATACGGCCGCCTCGACATGTAGGTTGCAGACTCCGAGTCATCTGAGATGTTCTAACCCTCAATCTGAGATGGCGTTTTTGCTCTTTTCCTTTAACACCATGTCTTCAAAGATTCGTCAACAATGCTGGATGCGCACCTGAAGTTCTTCGGCCCGCACCCGTCTGGGAAACCGAGATATCGATGTGGGATCGTACGCACTCTGTCAATTCACGTGGCATCTTCCTCGGTACCAAGTACGCCGCTGGCCAGATGGTTAAGCAAGAGCCACTCAGCAACGGTAGCAGAGGCCGCATCATCAATATTGCTAGCATAATGGGACTTCGGGGGACTGCTAAATCTGGTATAGTCATTCATCCTGCCCAAGTGGCCCGAGAGGGGGGAACTGCAAAGACCGCGATGTCCTGACCGCTGACGCGTTTCCGGGCCCAGTGAGCTATGTTGCCTCAAAACATAGCGTCTGTGGCTTAACGAAATCCGCTGCCCTGGATTGTGCCCCGCATGGAGTCCAGGTGAACGCGGTTTGCCCAGGCTGTGAGTTTTCTTGACTCTTCCCGCATTTAATCCCGAGTTTGGCTCGCAGTTTCTAATGCTCGACCGTAGATGTTGATACTCCTCTTATTCACAGCGCGGGATTCATGATGGATCAGGCGGTGAAGGCAGGATTAGTGGCAAGACATCCTCTTGGTGGCCTTGGTGCGTCCGAGGACATCGCTTCGGTGGTCCTGTTCCTGGCCAGCGATAAGAGTTCATGGATCACGGGTGCCACGATTCCTGTGGATGGCGGTTACACTTGTCAATAAACAATAGTTTGAGCTCTTACAGCAGTGGATGTACCCATGCCGTCACGAACATGTACTGTACATCTCTACAAATATCGAGTATCAAGGCTTCGCTAGATACATATCGTCTCTCAGTCTCGCATGCATTGTGCCTTCATTGACGAGTCATGCGTAGCTCACTCGTCTCCTGCGTGGGGACGGGCACTAGCATCAAGAAAGCCCACATGCCTACACTCACCGCTAACACTCACGGCATGCATAATATTCTCGATGCAGAATGCCGGGTTAGGACCTCGTGACGGGTTTGTGGTTGATGTCGGGGAATCCCACATAGCCGCCACTCACCCACATAGCCAAATGTCTCGCGTAGCATCTCTCTTGTAACTGTTTCTCGTGAATCTTTTCACAAATAGCAGGCCAAATCGGTTGGGATAGCCGGCAACACACTTTCGAAAAAGCCTAAAAGTACCGATAGAGCAGCCGACGAAACAATCATAATAATCACTAAGCCATCTAGTGAAACGGAACTCGAAAGGCGAAGTTCCCTTAGCCCACGATATCTGCCCCGGTTGCCCGCACACCTAGCTAACACAGCCACTGGGTTGCGGCAAACCCCCCAACGACCGGGATTCCCCATACTTACCTGGACTACATGGCAAGCTAACATGTCTTCTTAGGTCGGGAAATCCCACAAGGACCAGGATTCGCCAAACTTCGCCTATCTTTAGTAGGTACAAATGAGTTATATGCAGATGATATTGCGGTGAAGTTGCCGTTTCTTATATGCACCCCCCCAAACAATGGAATGGTATATAATACCAGGAAGCAGAAGTAAACAGTGGCATTCTTTATATCAAATCGACATATTCAGTGCAAGCACACTCCGGAAGGCATATATTCGTGTGTGAGTAGGAGACTCGCTCATTCGTTATCATGGCGCCAGGAATATTCGAAAATGCTTCTGTGAATGGTGGTGGGACTGATGAGCGGACGGCGGCTGGAAGTGAACGTTACAACGTCGAGGACATTGTGCTTCATGATCCGCGTGAGTTTGAGCCTTTTAAGTTTCTGCTTTTCTTCATTTTCTGCGTTTGGTTGCTGACTGAATGGACAGAACAGAAGAGGTTGCGTATCGCAATGATTGGAGGTGGAGTCAGTGGAATTATGATGGCTTACAAGGTTCAGAAGGTAGGTGTATGCATGACAATGGCATAAGCAAGCTGACAGAATATGGCATAGCATATGAAAAACTTTGACTTGGTGATTTATGAGATGAATGAAGAGATTGGTGGGACATGGTTGCTAAATCGTTATCCTGGGTACGTTCGCATCGGCCTCAACCGTCTTCTATCTTGATCTTTCGGATCGTACAGCTTAGAAAGTTACTCACTGTTTCAGTGCCGCCTGTGACATTCCCTCCCACGCATACACCTACAACTTCGCCCTCAATCCGGACTGGCCGGCTTTTTTCTCCTCCTCTGCTGAGATTTGGGCGTACCTAGACCGTGTTTGCAACACCTTTGGCCTCCGTCAATACATGCGATTTTCCTCGGAGGTTATCCGCGCGGAATGGCAGGAGACAGCTTCGAGATGGAGGATTTGGGTCCGGCAAACCTTGGCCGATGGGCAAGTTCAGGAGTTCACTGACGAATGCGAGGTGCTCCTCCATGCAACCGGCGTGCTGAACAACTTCAAATGGCCGGACATCAGAGGCTTTGAGAAATTCAACGGCAAGATGATCCACACTGCCCGCTGGCCCCAAGACTACCAGCAGGACACCTGGAAGGGGGAGAAGGTAGCCGTCATCGGCTCTGGGGCCTCTAGCATCCAAACCGTGCCAACCATGCAACCCCACGTGGCGCACATGGACGTCTTTGTGCGAACGCCTATCTGGTTCGTCAACATCGCCGGCGACACGGGTGACAACAGGCCCTACACGCTAAAGCAGCAGAAAAGCTTCCACGAGAATCCAGAGTCCCTCGTGCAGCATGCCAAGAACCTTGAGGATGTGGTGAACGCAGGGTGGATGTCTTTTGTCAAGGGCTCTGACATGCAGAAGGAACTTAAGCAGTACTACACGGAGCGGACAGCCGGGATTATCAAAGATCCTGTACTCCTCGAGAAAATGATTCCGAAGTGGTCGGTTGGCTGTCGGCGCATTACTCCTGGAGATGCATACATGAGGGCGATCCAGGAGCCAAACGTGCAGGTACATTTCACCGAGGTGGTCGAGATTACCGAGACCGGACTGAAGGGGAAGAATGGCATCGAAGTGACGGCCGATACGATTGTCTGTGCGACAGGCTTTGATACCAGCTTCCGGCCTGCATTCCCGATCCTGGGAAGGAATGGGGTAGATTTGGCCAAGAAGTGGAAGAAGACCCCGGAGGCGTATCTGGGGTTGGCCGTCCCGGATATGCCAAACTTCTTTACTTTTATTGGACCCGCGTGGCCGATTGGCAATGGTTCCGTCATGGGCCCGTTGCAGGCGGTAGGAGATTATGTTATCCAGTTCTTAAAGAAGTTCCAGGTGAGTCCAACATCTCGGGCTGTGGCCGTGACATTGCTTTCTGGAATAGAGACTAATGATCAATATCATGATTCATTAGGTCGAAAAGATAAAGGCCTTTGAACCTAAGCAAGACGTCACTGATCAATTTAACGGTATATCCACCCTGTTCTTAGGATTAACATGGAATTCACGCAGTCTAATATCCTTTTCTCTCTTCTAGAGCATGTTCAAGAATTCATGCCACGCACAGTCTGGGCGGACGATTGTCGATCATGGTATAAAGACAACGAGACCAACCGGGTCAACGCACTCTGGCCGGGTGGCTCGTTACACTACATTGATGCCATCAAAACACCGCGCTTCGAGGACTTCAACTATACCTACAGCAGCGTGAACATGTTTGCTTACCTCGGCAATGGCAAGCCGCGCGTGCTGGACATACCAGATGGGGATAAGAGTCCCTATTTGGCGCTGGAGAATATCGATGAGAAGTGGCTCCGCACCAACATTGCTGTCAAGGTTGAGGAGAGTCAGATTAAGGGGACTCCCTTGGAGGCGGGCCAGGCTACGGGTTGAGGTCAAGGTACAGCACCCTGTCTAGTGGATGTATCTATTTTCAGACGTATACATGTAAAACGTTGTCGAGCCAAAACCTAAATATTCTCACTGACATGGACAGGTTAACCTCTGTAAGAACGGTGTTTTAGAACCCTACGTCTTGGTGAGTGGACAGACAGAAGGTTCCGACTCATCATTCGTTCATCATTTACCAGTGCATGTCGCCTGGTAATTATGAGATTCTCAAGCATATCTCATTGGTGGCCTCTTCCTCTCAAGGGCCGAGATCACCCGTCCCGCCGGCGTTCCAGACAGTATGGATCCTGGGCGCCTCCGGTCAGTGTTGATTTCAACAAGCGGATGCGACAGATCGCCGCACACACAGGTCGGCGTAGTTTCGTTTCAATTGGAGCAGTGTGAGAACAATCTGTCGTTCAATGTGGATTCCCTAGAATTTGATTTCTTGGACGAGTGGCAGATTGGGTAACTGTATTTTACTGGCCGGTGTTAACATGGGCCTCTCAAGAACAGGCGGCATCGAGGCGCATGCGTTATCGGGGCAATGTTAAGGGATGAGAATCTATTAACACACAGAGCTTGTCGATTCGTCCTTTCCCCTCTGCAACTTTCCCGTTGTTCGGTTGCAATAATACAACCTGGGCCATTGCAAGAGCTATATTGTTCGCTTGAGACTAAGATGAGAAATATATAGCTCGGTAGCTCAAGTCTAACTTACCTGGGTCTTCTATCTATAAGGAATTAAAAGGGAAAGAAGAAAATAATAGTAAAAGAAAGTAACCTATCTTTCCTATAATACCAAATCCGTACTTTACATACTTTCTATCCATCTCTAAAACTCCCGCACCGGTGTTCCATTACCTGACCTGTGACGGCACAGAGAGAATTTGACCAAGTCCAAACGCTTTCTACGCACAAGAGATCGGACTTGATACAAATCTACGGAGAAAAGGGATAGACAGAGCAACAGCAAGAACAATTCGACACGACCACGCCGTCCCCTCTCTAGCTCACCCCTTTACAATTGCCCAAGTAATGCTGACGACGATCGGCATTAACCTCTAAAATCTTGATATATGAAGCTTTTTGCTTCACCAGCAGTCAACAAGGCACAGTAAATTTAGACAGTGTTATGGCTATTTTCGCCCTGTTCGGATGAAGTATTCGGCATTAATGTTGCAGAAGCTTGGTTTTCATGGAACTTTCTCTCTTTTCTTTCGAACATTCTGATTTCCTGAATCTTCTTCCGCCCCAGCCCCTTCTTCCATTTCACCAACATTGCGCAAGGGACCACATTCGCCGGCAATTTGCCACTTTCCTGCCTGATACCTTAGGTTCCAATGCTACCCCGGATTCGACAGTTGCTAGCTCCCACCGAGGAGTCTAACACTTTGAACTGACAAACTCCAAACCCCTCAACGTCTTTGGTAGGACAACTGCTAATATCAGTCATTTTACGGCGTGCATCTTGATATATACGCCTTGCGGATTGTGAAACGTTCTGGTTTTTTTTTTTGACGCCGTCCAATGTCGTCAAGATACGCCTGTTCTGCATGCTCGCGCACCTTCTCGGACAAGAGTCACATGCGGAGACATGAGGCCACTCGTGAGTGCGGCAGTTCCGAGGAAGAAACCTGTGTTAGCTAAGAAATATCCAGATTCTGGTCTTCGACCCTTTCAATGCCCCGTCTGTGGCAGCTCCTTTGCCAGATCGTATGCATTGTCCGGTTTCTCTTGGTTCAGGCCAGGAAGGGAGCTAATTCTGCTTTAGTGACGTAGCTAACCGGCATGTAAAGACATGCATGAAGCGCGCGGGTCGCCAGTTAGAAGCGGGGGGAAAATTTGGCCGAAGGAGGAAGGCCTGCGACCACTGCGCTCAAAAGAAGAAGGCCTGCGATGAAGTGAAACCATGCCTTACCTGCCAACTCGACGGTGTATCATGCACTTCGGAACGCCTGTCTAGCGTGGAAGCATCCAAGTTCGATGACGAGGTAGACATGTCATGCATTCCCAGCAACGACTCTGGGCTCGAGAAAATACCGATAAACTTTCTACTCAATTTTACAAGCCCTGGTAACGAGACAAGGCCGGATTTCAGCCGGGCGGTGGACGCTGCCGCATCCTTACCCGAGGATCCCGTGTTGACTGATCCATGCCATTCTGGGTACGTCCCCGAACTATGGCCAGACGTAGAGGCCTGGTTTGGGACAGACCCCGGATTTTCTACATTATTTTCCTTCAACCCTTGGTTTGATGACGGCAGCGGTCTTGAGTCTTCAGGATTCGGTGGCAATGTCACCTTACCAGTGGCGTCCTCTTCACTGTTGCTTGAGAAAAGAGCAGGCGAGATACGCGAGCAACTTCTCGGGTTTCATACACGGAGGGGACGTTTCCAGTCAGAAAGCGCTACGGACATGACTGAATTGCTCGAGAAGACCTTCACAGCCGTTGATATCCATGACGCCACTGAAGACTTTTTCAGCCGCTTTCACATACATTTCCCAATCATCCACAAGCCGACTTTCTGCTTACAGAATGTTTCCTTGTATCTCTTGTTGGCGGTATTCCAGATTGGAGCAATTCAGCTAGCACCGAAGGATCTTTATTACTCGGCAGAGGAATGCGTTGACATAGTTGAGGATTTTATTTTCGATGCGGAAGAATTCAAGCTCCTCAGTAATGGAGACTTGAGTCTCATGGAAGCGCAACCCTCACAAACCCTGGAAGTTCTTCAGGCCGCGAGTCTAATAATTGCTTTGGGAGCCACTGGAACGAGCCAAAAGCTTCGCCAGATGCGGAGCCGCCGATTCCCTTTGTTGGTACTGGCTATTCGAACTCTTGGACTGACCTCGACCACAAACAACTACCATGCCGCCTCGGGGCCGCCAGCAGATGTCTGGCGCGCATTTGTAGCAAGTGAAACTCGGATTCGGTAAGGACATGAAGGAGTCGCCTCTTTCTCACAAATATCTGTACTTGCCGAGACTAGCAAACTGACAGCGATACAGACTTGGATCTTTCGTGTATATCCTTGACACCCACTTTACCATATTTTATTGCTCTCCTCCCCGTTTCACCATAATCGAGATGAGTGGTCATTTACCTTGCTATGATCATCTATTTGAAGCGAAGGACGAGGTCGAATTTGCCCAAATTGCCGCGGGCCAGAACGGAACTCGATCATTATCGGTATACGCCTGTACAAACCTGCTCCTGGGGGGTTCTCCGGTGGAAATTGACGATCCACGAGTCAGCGACTTGTCGGTGTTCGACATGTTTCTCATTATATCTGGTATGATTTGGCCCTCTGGCAGGTCGCCCGTCGAACCTAGGCTAACACCGTCGCTGCAGCATTACACTGCTTAATATTCGCTGCGCAAACAAATTTGACCATTGAAGACAGCTTCGGCCGCTTCGAACGGGCTCTGTCGCGGTGGAAAAAGATATGGGAGAAGCACATCGAACAAGGGCCCCAAGGATCACATAAGCACAAAAGTTTCATGAGAACGGCCGCTGAACTATGGTGGCTGGCGCAACTGTATCTCCGACGACGGGATAAGAAGAACATCGATTTCGGAAGCAGGGACGAATTATATACACTGCTCAGAAACTGCTAGTGAGCTCGAAGACATGGGACCTGTCGTGCAGAGTTATTCTTCAAACTCCGGTCTACCTGTCCGGTTACGACGTTTAGTCTCTACGGCTGGTGCAGGTGCCGATGTCAGCGACTGCAAGCTATATTTAACTCATGAGTACCTCTGCTTTTTGGAATAGGAGATTTCAGTACCTCAGCCAATGCAGGGTCGAGGCCGAAGGGGAAGATTTTGATGACTTGTCTAGAAACAAAACGGGTCTATTAGGTCCTCCTCCTCAGAGAAAAGCCAGCAGTAGTTAAGATCATGTCTATTCCGGCGCGTTAGGCTACGGAGGAAGTTATGAACATAGATAAAGAAGATGCCAAACAATGAGGATAGGTAGTATTAGCCTTGCGGAATATCAACGAGCCACATATATTCAGAGAAAAGGGTTTTCACGCCTGAGTATCCGCATACGCACGATCCGTAGATGAGATAATTGGGAGACAGAATACCTTGTTACCGCAAGTGAGCATGGCAGCGAGTTTAGCAGCATAGCTAGAAATAAAAAGCGCCGTTAGTGTAAGTGTCTACCACCGTGGCTGGGCGTTTCCCAACAGCCTTCTCTTCACTTGTTACTTTGTACAAATACATCTGAGAGGTCTTCGTAATTTCCTTCTCTCAGGGAATACAGCCATTCGAATTGATGGGATCACCAGAACATCTCCAAAGGGGAAAAAAAAAAAAAGGTCACATGGGACGACTCTCCGCAGCGAATTTCAGCTCGGAGTAAGACCAGATATGATAGATGTTATATTGAGACTAGGCCTTTATGCTACTCTATCCATTGAAATATTCCAAGAAGCCGTCGAGGCAGATGTGGCTGTCAGTCTGCGGTGCGACCTCGCTATTACAGACCCTTGCTGCCTAAAGTCGGCCATAAGACGATCAACTTCTTAACTGTCTTCGTGTCCGGATCCAGGTCGTATGAAGTCAGGATACGATACACAGCCTCCTCGTCCTTCTTGAGTGGGCCAACAATGTAGTCGGGAATGTCGCGATCCGCCTTCAACACGGCATCGATCTCGACAAGAATCTTATTGCCGTCATGGGCTAGATGGATGATGTCCATGCGCTCTGTGACACCGTCGTGCGCCATTTTCAGAGACTCGAGCATTGCGTTGCGGCCCTTGAAGACGTGGCCCTGAGCGCAGACATCCATGTCGGGATGGTAGTACTTGGCTATGAGGTTGTAGTCGCCGTTCGGGACTTTGCTAATCTCGTTGTATTCTCTGATGTATTCGCGGTAGTCATCCATTTTTGAAGGCGCTAGAGCGGAGTGGTTAGCCTCTTGTCTGGATGGACTGACCACTTCTCTCTCTGTTCGGGTCTCACTTACTGCAATGGGATGCGATCGAAGAGGTTCGAGTTCAGTGGCGGTGATGCTGACCTACGCCAATCACGTTGTAGCGCGGCGTCTTCGAATGAGCTTGTCTTCCAGGAAACCAACCTCGCAGTGTACTCGGTATACTCGGTAATATATAATCATCACAAAGTGGGGCTATTGGACAGAATATGTGCTCCCTTTTTTGTGGAGATTACTCTGGGCAACTCTGCGACGAAAGTGCGTCCCCGAAACCTTTCTGATATTACACTATTTGGGGATCCGGCACAACAGTTCGGCAGATCCACCGAGCCCATTCGGCAATGGGTGTCTGTGCTGAAGGTGCTTTCCGTTGCATACTTATCATGAAGCTATCATCTTGACCGTTAACTTCGGTGTCATGCGGGTCTTGTGCCTGGTGGCGAGGCCGGATCTCGGTTACGAGACCCCGGAACGAAATAGTGTACGTTTCACTGGGAAGTTGAGAGACGCTAACGTTAACCTTAGCTTGTGGAGAGCGAGTGGAGCCCACATGGTCGGGGGAGCCCACATAGTCGCGAAAGCCCATATCATCGGGGAAAGTAGAGCCCCATCGCTGGAGAATCTTACACAGCCAGCAGATAGAGGAATTTTTTCAATCTGTGGTTTTGTGACTTTGTGAGATGCACGAGTCCCTGGACGGAAAGTCCCACATGGAGGTGGATAGGGACAGCTGCACAGTTATTCCATGCAGGTTGTTACGAAACAGCAAAAGGCGGAGGGAGACGAGACGGAAACGATGGATTTCTGGATTTCAAGTCTCGCACGCAAATGCTCTGCAGCTGTCCGTTGCGGATTTGCCGGACACATACCGGAGATAAGTTTCCCATCTACGAAGTACCCCTATACAGTCTTGAGGAATGGATGGGCTGGAAAGGAGTGGGGACACAATCGACAAGGATGGAGCCCTATGCAGTACAGTAGCTCTGTAGGTCCATATAATACTCGTCTAGCGAAACACTCAAATGGATATCAGTGGTAGCTGCGAGGTGGCAACAAAGGCTTATTCTCTCAATCCCCGTCGGTTGACACTTTTCCGATAGAGGACTAGTACCTTGCTGTGGACGCAGATGCGACTATTTATGGGTTGTAATCTCCGCCGCATTTAGAGGTCTTGCACAGTCTATCAACTTCCTCAAAATCACTCTCCTGAACTTTCTACGAGCCTCCTCTTACGCGAAGATGCATTCGGTCCCAGAGACAGAGCCCTTGGTTTGCTTCGGGATATCCGACGACAAAGAACCGATATGCGTCAACAAACAAGGCGCAGTAGGTATCGCCTTGGGCGGCCTTCTCTTGGCGTGGTTCCTCTGGAACTGGGCGGCAACAGTCCGCTTTAATCGCAAGTATAAGTTGCCCCCGCGTGTCCCAGGCCTGCCAATTATCGGGAATACGTTGCAATTGCCTTCACAGCATCAAGGCCCTGTTGCGTCCAAGCTAGCAGAAAAATATGGTGAAATGTGAGGCCCCCTTTGCTTCCCAGAGGCGATCGATCGGTGTGCATGTGCGTGCCAGATGAACTGACACCGGGGAACTGACAGGTTTACAATGAATATTGGAGGACGGGACTGGGTATTTTTGAATTCTTCGCGAGTGGTGAATGACTTGCTCGAACGCCGCTCAGCTATATACTGCTCCCGCCCTCCCTTCCCGATGGTACAAGAGATCATGAGTCGAAATAGCCGTATTGTCCTGATGGGTCACTCCCAGCGGTGGCGATCGCTTCGCAAGACCATGCACCAGATCCTGAGCGCGAGGCAACTCAATGCATTCCGACCCTTCCAGGACCTCGAGTCCAAGCATCTGCTGTACGAGTACCTGCATAAGCCCGACAAGTGGTACCTAGCCAACAGCCGCTACTCGAACTCGGTCATCATGAGCATCGTCTTTGGCATCCGCTCGGATATGGATAATCCACGCCTCGCGGCTCTGAACACTTCCATGGAGAAGTTCATCAAAAACATACAACCGGGCGTCAACATAGTCGACGTCTTCCCGGCCCTGGCCAAGCTCCCAACGTTCCTACAATGGTGGTGGCGTCGTGGAAATCAGATCTACGAGGAGACAAGGAGCGTGTGCGCGCTGGAGCTGCAAATGCTGAAGGAACGCAAGGCGGCTGGCAAACAGCGACCGTGCTTTGCAACCGACCTGCTCGAAAAGAGCAAGGAGCTGGAGGCTTGGGGCGAGACTCAGACGCTGTACGTCTTCGGCACACTCATGGAGGCCGGCACTGACACCACGAGAGTCTCAATCGCGCAGGCCGTTGCGGCCATGGCCGCCTATCCGGACTGGGTGGATCGTGCCCGTAAGGAGCTTGACGAGATATGTGGACACAGCGCCGAGAGGCTGCCCGGGTTCGAGGACCGTCAGAATATGCCATACATGAACGCCGTGACCAAGGAGATCTTCCGCTGGCGACCTATCATCACGGAGATTGGCGTGCCTACCACACTCACAAAGGACGACGAATACGAGGGCTACCGTTTCCCGGCCGGCACCGACTTTATGTGGAACGCGTGGCACATCTGTCTGAACCCGGAGGAGTACGAACAGCCGGAGCGCTTCTGGCCGGAGCGCTTCCTTAACGAGGATCTGGAAAAACCCCTCAAGGGCCACTGGAGCTTTGGCACTGGTCGCCGTGTCTGCGTCGGCTGGCAAGTGGGTGACTCGAATGTGTGGCTCGCAGTCTCACGTCTGCTATATTGCTTCAACATATCCCAGGTAGAGGTGAGCTAGCGAAAACCTGCGCTTCGGGCTTTAATGAGATTATCTAATCGTTCGTTTTCTTCTGCAGGACGATCCAATCGACACCATGAATATTTCTCAGATGGACTGGGACAAGGCGCCGTTCAAGGTGAAGATTGTGCCGCGTAGCGACAAGCATGCCGACCTTGTTGAGCGACTAGGCTCGGAAGCTGCCAATACCATGTACTAAAGCATAGCCTCCTTTCCTTTCCCTATATGGCATTGTGGCGAGGCAGATGATGGACTGCACGGCTGCTGAAAATTTCATAGAATCTATTATTTACTGGACGCAAAACTTTCTAAGGGGTCTGTCTTCGTGAATGAGCCGTAAGTACCACTGACACGCCTTGTATCTGCAAAAATTGAGAAACATAGCGTCCTACAGGATTCTGTAGCCGTATCTTTACTAGGGAGATGTGCTTTGTCACTGTAACGAGCATGGGAAATGTTAGAACCTTATCAAAGTAGAGGTTTGAATCTCCGCGCAGGGTCATCTACTCCCTGACTTTCGACATGCGGCCTAGGAATCGTCTCCCCTCTCCACAATCAGCTTGAGGCACCAGTGTTTGACGAAAAGTCACGCAAAGAAATGACACTCCCAATGTACTTCGTAATCTAATCATCTAAAAAGCTTCCCCGAAGGGTTGGAAAAGTAATCCACTTGGTGCGTCAATGTCATATGTGTGACGGTCGGTGACATCGAGGAAGCCGAATCCAGTGCCGTAGCCCGGTTCATCATCCGGAAAGCAGATGAGGGTGTTGGTGTTGGCATCGAAGACAACTTCACCCACAATATAGGTGGATAGTGAGATAGAAATGTACACTATAATTAGGATTAGTCTATATGTTGGTAGCGAATGTGGCAAATGAAGTTCGGCAAATGATGAACGCGTGAAAGGTGGAGCATTGGCGACGGGAAAGCCCACACCACCCGTCTCCCGTTCTCTCCGGCTTATGCAAAGGAGGCGCGGAGAGCCGGGGATTGTTAGAGATCCGTGACGTGGTATTCCAAAGTGGCGGATCTGGGGTCGGAAGAGCCAATGTCGGACAATCCCACATAGATGGCCTTCACCCACATGGTGCCAAAGCAACACACATACCATTGCAAAGGAGCAAAACGTCCATGTCGGGCATTACAGGAGTTCCATATGGGCTGTAGTCTAGATGTAATGTCGGCTCACAAGCCCGTTTGTGGGGTACCCATCACCCCATAGAGGTGTCTGACAATTCAAGTCGTAAGGACCATGATTGGTGTATGTTTTCGTCGTCTTCACTCATAGCCGAAGTACAAATTTGCTGCAGTTCCTTGATACCCAGCGTATTCCGATATTTTACTTCGTAGATTTTGCGAGGCGAGCCTGCAATACAACTTACAAATAGAACGCCCAACGACCTCAGAGACATCAGAGCCATGGCAGGTAACGATTTCTTTTCCTAAATCTACAAGACCTCTGGAGTCTGACTTTCGTCAAACAGCCACGGAAAGAGAGTTGACCTCTCCACAAATTGCCTTCGCAGGCAATAAGTACAAGTGGATCGACGCATATATTGAGACACTGGATCCAGAGACCCAATACAACGAAATCGTCCGGACAGTCACCCTATTCCGCGCGACCGAGCTCCTAACAAACATCGACTACGTCACAAACTCGATCTTGGTCATCCAAGAACCCAAAGGCGGAGAGGCGATGTTCTGCACGGGGAAAACTACAACCCATAAGCAAAAGCGGTTCGTAGATACCATGGCCATGTTTCGAATGTGGTTTCTCAACGGTACTGGGAGTGAAAAATTGAACGAGTCCGTCGGTCGGCTTAATAATCTTCACATGTCGATTGCCAAGAACGTTCCGGGCAACTTCGATGGTGATGATGACTTCATTATTGCGACCTGCCGCATGGGTATATCAAACCATCTGTTTCAGAAGCGACTTGGCTTTCCGGGGTTCGATGATCAGATGAAGACTGCTTGGTACAACTTCTGTGCAGGTGTGATCCGGATGGTAGAGAAGGAGAGTGGACCGGTCAAAGGTTTCCCGACAAGCTTCAATGGAATGGTCGAGTTCAATGACAACTTCAATAACCAGAACTGGACGCCATCGATGCACAGCCAGCATGTCGCCCACATGCTAGTTGAGCAGTTCGTGGAACGCTGGTCACCGATACATGCCACCGACTTCATCTTCCGGCAGATCATCCTCACGTTTCTCCCTGAGTCCATAATCAAGCTTCATAAACTCGGACAGCGTCGACCTTGGCTTGAGATGTTCATCGTCTTCTACTTCCAGGTCAAGTTGCTGATGATCTTTTTGCTCCCTGATCCGAGGGAGCCGACGTTCGCCGCGAGGTGGCCGAACAGAGGAAAATGACTCTAACGTCGCTAGAACGGAAGGGATTTTGTTTTTTCGGGGGATCGTCAAGAGCGAGGTTACTGGCTCGACTTGTAAATAGCTGCGCTGCCTTAAGATTGGTCCTTTCAGGCCTACTATAACTCTCTAGGATCTTATTTATGTGTTTGGGTTTCCTCCTAGTGAAGGCTCTTCCAACTACGGTCTCGGCGTCACAATAAGACAACCGGCCATTTAATCTAGGCCCAGTGTTGACTTAGTTATTAGGGTTTATCCACTACATAGCACCCCACCGTTTCCATACACTGTTCCAGCTCTACCTCAGTGGCGCGCTCAAACTAGACAGTTATTATTTTTTACGAGGGAAGGCTTCAACGTAGCGGGAACTATGGGGAATAAAGAATATCGTACTAAAATGAAGTATATACCATGGCCTAACTGAGACCTAGTCACGAGGAAGGGTACTAGCAGAATAATAATGATGAGCTAGAAATGGAATGATTATGCGGATAGTGACGGGGGCTTCCCTCCTCTAATTCTCTCTGCCTGTGAGATACGACCATAGGCTTTGCACAATGGCATAGAGAAAATCCTTCGATACCTCGGTTCTACGAAATACATGTTGGAGGAACGACCCAACCAGACGTTCAAGACAACCGCTAAACAAGCATCTGAAACGCCTTCTTCACTATTGACTCTCGCGTGCGATGTTTACTCCATGTACAACCTGAACTCATCTGGAATGCGATTTCGTGGACAAACGGGAGACTCGGGTGGTGACGGGATGAGATGTTTCTTCTTTGCGGGTGCTTTGGAAACCATGGAAAATCTTGCCGCAGCCAAGTGGATCATGGGTTGAGGGAAATAAAGGAAAAAGAAGGGCAGGGTGAGCTACGTTGGAGTCCGGCCGTCCCCATTTTCTTTTGACTTCATCTCTCGACCCTACTTGCACACGGATTTTTATTTTCTTATCTTTTACGGTTCCTCATACAATGTTCGTACTCTAGCTTATACCACACGCGGCACACCAAGAGCAGAGAAGCAAAAGGAGTTATGATGGTTGTTTTGTGGGTTGGGGGGGGGGGGGGGGGGGCAACCTTCGGGTTTCGACGTTATGATTAACATGCGGAGGAGGACCACGCATAGGCCTTGACGGCTACATGAGTCTCAAAGGAAAAAAAAAAAAAAAAGTAACAGGAACAAATAAAGTTGAATCCGTCAGATCCAAAACCTTGGTCATTTTATGGTATCTTCTATCTGAGGTGGTGGGTCAGGCACATATATGGATCTCAAGAATTCCCGGCACCTTTTATAAGGACTAGATTGTTCTTGCTAGCAGCATTATGCTTGCAAACATCCTTTCCTCTAAACGCCAATTCGAAGAAGGAGTAGAGCTCTACAAAGCTGTAGGCAAGAATGGTCGGGAACATCAAGATCCAATGCAACAGGCCTCTTGTAACCCCCCGAAGACCCTTGTTGTAATTGTTGTTGCTATCGCCGGGCACAGGCAGGTTCCAACGGACGAGAATGGTGACAATGAGTAAAAACGCGTATTGGGTTCCCAAGAAGATGAAGCAGATGGTTGAAAAAAGAGAATCGCCGATGAAGAGTCGATCATGCTCGGCAGCAACCATGTTGATGAGCTGAACAATGATGGGAGAAATCACAGAGAAGATGGCGCTGGCGCAGAGAACGAGGCCATAGTAGATGAAGAAGCGAGTGGCCCAGCTGATGGACAGATAGAGCGAAGGCATTCGGTAGGTCTTGACAATGAAGTAGTGGAAGACTTCGCCGGCGCCAATGGTCCATCGGCGAACCTGAAGGGCCCATTCGCGGATTTCATCTGCGTAGTTGGCACCAGAGGTCGGACCGTTGATGGAAATGAGATTCAAAGGCCGGATGCGGATTTCTCGTCGTGTGATGATGGTGTAGCGAATCAAGGCAATAATATCCTCCATCTGATAGGCCGGATGGGTAAAGGCGCCCTCCTCCAACAACTTGACACTGAGAGAGTAATGAGACATGGGGTTGATGTTCCAGGGAATCAAAACACCCATGAAGAAAAAGGTACGCAAAACACCGGTAATGTCGACAAAGAAGGGCATGGAGTCGCGCTTGTAGATGATGATGGATTGCCAGATGGAGGAGTGGCGGTCGGCCAAATCTAGCTTGGAGTATTCGGTTTCCAGCTCCAGCATGTATTCGGGATCGAAAACGGCGTCGCAGTCGCAGTTGGTAAAGATGTGTTCGTATTTCTCATAGTTGTAGTCGACATCTTGACGGAGGATCTGTAGGCCTTGGCGACAGGCGTAGTTCATGTTGGAGCACTTGCCGCTGATTTCGCCAGGAATGCCCGAGGGGTGGAAGGTGACGATGAGACGGAGGAATTTGCTGTCGTACTTTGCGTAGACTTCATCGCGTTTGGCTTCCTTGTCAGGTGTACGGCATTCCATGCCTATAATGACGGAGAGGCGGGATTTGGCATCTTTTTGCTGCATGAGAGAGTCCAAGGTGGTTTGCAGTACGCTCATGGGTTCCTTGTACAAGGTCATGGCAACTATGTGACGAATGGTTGAGTAGTCGTTGGCCGTGGCGTCGGCCGATTCGACATCTTGGGCTTTTGTGGTCTTGAGCTTGTTTCGGCTGTTGATGGCTAGTGTTCGACGAATGGCGCAAATGGTGGCTATCAGCCAGATGAGTTGGAAAAGACCGATCACGATTATGATGACGACGTTGGTTGCTTGGTTGACATAGGGAACAAGAGGCATCCATATTGGAAATAGAAGAAAGGTGAAGATTATTAGGAGAAATAATAGGTTCCAGCGGACATAGCGGTTGGCTGCTTCTAGCTTTGCAGCGTTGATGCCACTGTCTAGGCTGTCGAGAGATGAGGAGGATGGTAATGATGAAGGCATATTTGGGGGAATTTCTCTCACGAATCAATGAAGGAAATTCTCTCTACAAGGAGAAAACGAACGTATGAATCATGACAACACCTCTAACCGAGTATTAAAAAGACTTCATCTGAATAATACAATTCTTGAGGGCAGTTTGGGGGGAGGTTCTTCTTTTTTTTGTATACGGAGTCAGTTCCCTTCGTGGACCACTCTCTTTCTCGGATACCAAGGCCAAGACCCAGAGATAACAATAGAATATGGCATCATGGATTCAGGACGGAGTATTTCGTTAGTTGATGCACGTACGAAGACATGTAGAGTAAGATGAGGCAAAAAGCCGCCAGCCACATTGAAGATATCGCAAGGGTACTAACGACTAGCTGGGCCTACTACTGCGTACTCGCTACTTGGATATGGACCATAATATCGCATCTTGAAACCAAGTGAGGCTAGTGAGCGGCTGGGTTTTCCAAAGTAAATAAAAGCAAGGATTCCAAATAGGGGAGAGAGTTATTTGACCCAACAACTGCAGTGCTCCATAATTCAGCTGGCTAACTGTCAATAGTACTTGGACAAAAGAAGGAAGATAAATATTGACTAGTCTAGTCTCCTATTTTATTGGATTGCCCATGATTCTGGGACTGTTTCTTCCAGCACATTGGCTCCTCCGTGGTCCGTGCGGCTACAGAGAAACCTTATCGCGAAGAAAGCTTGTTCTCGCCGCTTTTGAAGTCTACGCCTCAGGCGTGCTGTCTAAATTTTCGGACACTACCAATATACGGAAACCGATCCCTTCTAATACATATGCAATGCTAGGGGTTCTAGAGGTCGCGAGAATCCAAATCTTGTCCATGGTACATGCTACATGCTACGTTGTCAAATTTTGCGGCTGACTTATTGGAGTCTGGTATGCAAAGTTCCAACCTCGCCAAACCTTATGCCGCTTCCCCTTTTTGCCTCTTGGTTTTTTTTATGCATGCTCGAATACTGCACTGTACAAATTGTTTTCTATCCGTTCAAGTTTATGTACTCCGTATTGATTTAAGTATTGATGTAAGGATGGGGCATTTGTGGCATAACCGGTACTCTTTGAGAGACCTCCATCTTTTTTCGTCTGGTATTAAGTGGCTCATGAACTTCACTAACCCGACGTCGGATTTATCGATTTTCCCCTCTTTAGCATCGCGAAAAGTGAGCTCTTCACAATCATTGCCCTAAGTAGGCGATAGTATAGCGTACAGAGGAGCTTTGTAGTCGAGGAACGCCTCTAACTTGCATGTCCTGACGTTGATTAGGTGGCCTTCCAGATAATCTGAATCGGTAGGGGTCGGGTAGAGGGTCGGGTAGGAAAGGAAGAAACTCGACAGCTGTGTTCGTATCCGCCGCGATTGGTGTCGGTTGGAGGGCTGTGATTATCTAGTCGGTAAATGCTGCGCTGTCGGGAAGGGTTATTCAGCTGTAAAATACGGCGGTAAAAAACCTCGAGAAGGCTGGCATTATCCTCGTGAACTGGAAGTATAAGCACAGACATACGGCTAGCGGAACTATAGCTGCTCACAGAGCAGCTAAAGAAAGGGTCCCGCTCATATCTGGGGAAGTTGGTCGGGCTTGACCTACGCATGACTGCAAGGCAAGTTAACCATCTAGAATATTAGAGTATTATATATAATAAAGGTTTATAATCTGAGTTTCCTCGGAGTACTTCTCCAGACCCGGATCAGACCCACCCCCAAAACCGAATAACCTGAATGACCTGAGTGAAATGAAGCGCTGTATACCAACATATGACTCGACGACACCAGAGAGGGTTACTCGGCCTCACTACCCTTCTCGTATCATTTGTTCTTCTACGCGTTCCCGCTCGGCCCTCTTGACCCTCTTCGTCGTCCGATAACAGCAGTAACAGCACGTTGCACAAGACAATAGGCCCGCAAAGCCGAGGATGGGTAAGCCAATCAGGAGGAAGTTTTTGAGAGACTGAGACCACTCACGGCGGTAGCTGGGGTGTGCGAGGCACGCTCCCGTAGCCTCCGTGCCCGGTACCCAGGTCCCGATTGTTGGTCCGTCTTCTTCCGCCCCAGTGCAAGTCAGGGTGGGAGGTGCTGGCGAGAGAGTGGAGGCATCAGAAGATGCCCAGGAGATTTGCCAGGCAGCCTGGACCAGCATACCGTTGACGAACGACCGGCGAGTTTCGGTGGTCACTCCTGTCGTCGTCTCGGCTGCCGTTGTTGAGGCATCGGTGATGGTTACGGTAGGAGGAGCTTCCTTGAAGCAGGCCGGACTCGTGATACCTTCGATGTTAAGATCATTGATCGGCCACCCTCGGGTGTACCCACTAGATAAAGATCCATATTAGCCTTCCACATGTACTTGAAAATCTTGGCCGGCCATAAAATCCACTAACCTTGGACAACAAAGAGCTGTCGATATAGTTGAGGCGGTGATTGATAGGTCATATGCCGTCCAGCCGCTTGGACACACGGCCGGACTGAACTGGAATCTGCTCTCCTTCGGCCTGAGATCCCAGCTCGAAGGTTGGCAAGCTGAGAACCTGTCATTGGATTGGTCCGCCGCCAGAATGGTAACAGTGGTAGCCTGGTGATCGTTCCACCAAAAATCAGTTACCACACTCGTCGTAATGAAGGGAATGTCGGTGCATGACGGCGCAAACTCGAATGGTGTCGTTAGGGTTGTCATTCTGACAGTCGGTATCACCAAGACATCAATATGACCAGATGTAGCTGCAAGATGTTTCTTTCAAAACATCAGAGACTAGGGGAAGAATGTAAGCCATGGACGGCAGGACTGGAAAGGAGAAGACGCGCAGGAGTCACGGTTAAGTAGGGCGTAGATAGGGCAAGTACACGGTGTTTGCATTGATAATACAATCAATAATCGACCAGGATGTGCGCCTGTGCTACCGCAAGCCATTTAACCGCAGTGCAAATTCATCCGTACTTCGTGCTTGACGTCTCGGTCCAGCTGGGGCAGGGTTGAAAATACGAGATAAGACGCTGAGGTCTGAGACGCAAAAGGACCATGCCGTGTGGCGTGGAAAACGGCTGATAATTTAAATCACCGGGACTGTTGCCGGGTATGTTAGGCGAGAGAGTGTCCGCAGCGTGGCTTGCGACCAACATCTTAGTTGGACATTTAATACATGACAAGTGTGTCTATCAACTTCCTTGATAATATTGGCAGGTATGCTGCTTGGATTGTATCACGAAGAAGTATGAAACTGTATGCTGGCCCAGGTGTAACCAAGAAAGGCATCCAAAAACGCCTGCGTTAGCAACTGTGGGCAGGATATCAAGATGAATTCAGACCCGCCTGCTTTCGATCGTATCGGATACTACGAGTCATTCAACTTCGAACGCGATCGCCTGCGTTTGCCGGCTAAGAATGCCAATACCGTCAGGAGCTGCACGCAGATCCAAAGGGCTTTTGATGAGATTGACCCAAAGATGTAAGCTTGCTATTAAAAATCCCAAGAGCCAATGGATAGATTTAAGCACTAAATCTTAAACACATCGAATCGTTTGGTGGGTGGGCATACTCGGCGGGGCCGGCTACGTTTAATATTGTCTGACAGGCATTGTCTTATTTTTGGGGGTTAGCGGTATTGATGGTATCGATATCGACTTGGAGTATCCTGGTGCAGTATTTTACTTTCCGCCATCTTACTTCAACCTCTCTTGGTGATGTTGGAGAGAGGACCCTGATATCTTGGTTGACGGAAACCCTATCGAGCAGAAGGCCCAAGGGCAATGGCGATGCTTACCTGCGCTTCCTTACAACACTGGAAGGAAAGGTGGACAAGGGTAAGTTGATATTTCTGGTATTTCTAGTATTATTTATGGAGTATAAGCACATATTCAACGTCCCACCCAACCTGCCAACAGATTCGCAACATGATCGGCATCCCTAGCGCTGGATAGATAGCAACAACAGAAGTACATCAAGCGAGAAATAAGGATTTATGGAACATAACGGTCACCTAGACTAGGTGGGCGAAGCAGAAACCTTCTGCATCAGCGGAGCCACTGAACAGGATGCGGCAGCGGCATTCGTTTCTGTCCACGGATCAATGAGATTTGTCAGGTCTGACCCTGACTCCTGGCTTTTACTCGTGTCTTCGAGGAGGGATTCCTGAAATCCGAAAATGACAGCAAGCAGTGGAAGATCGAAGGCTGGGGAGTTGCTGAATAGTTCCTTTGTGATCAGGGCTAGGAGTGCAATGGAGGAGAAGTTGAAGAGGTTGGAGCATATGAGTAGAGAGAGCACCCATGACGCAACAAGATAGATACGCGGTTGGATTCTGGCGCCTCCGTAGCACACCAGATCAAAGAGAGTAGGGTTTGAGAATTCGCCCCAGCGTTTAGCCCTCTCCTCGTGGCAGTCGAGAGTCTCCGACTTCTCGCTATTTCGTAGGTTATTTAGCTTGTACTCCCAAAAGGGCTTCAACATGCCGTCATCTCCGTATGGTTCCAGAATGCAGAACGTCCTCCACCTGCGAGCAACCTCGCGGGCTAGATCCTCGGTAACATTGAAATACTCTTCGTGGGTCTTTCCACATGAGCATTTGAACTGGTGCTGTAGGTGAGCGAGTTCAGCCTGCACCAGCTTTTCCATTCGGGAATATAGGCGGATGGGCCGATCTTCGGGAAAGTACTTTTCGCGAACATCTGAGTGCCGACATTCCCGAGATATCCTGCCGCTTCTCTTATCTGTGCCGTTCTTCGTAGATCCGATTTTGAGTAGTGAAATGGTTTTCTTTTTCCGTTCCGGCGGGGTTCGGATGGGGTCACCGGCCGCGTTTGTTTCATAGACCTCATCATCATCGTCATCTTCCTTGGGAGCGTTAACCATTGCCTCGAAGATGTAGTTTTGGCCCAAAGTATTAGATTTATCCGTTTTTGAGAGCGGGCGTTTTAGAACATCCTTGATTCTGTTGTCGATGTCGCCGGGCTTCTTGTACTGCCGTTGAGTCGTTGGGGTCTGGTTGCGAGATTGTGAAGGTGCTGGTGGTGATACTGATGACCCATTTGCGCCATGGGGACTTGGCCGTCTTGCGCCAGTATTAGGCTCGTTTCGGTGCATCGAACCATCAGATTTCCTTCTTCTTTCAGCATTGCTTGTGCCTTTGCTAATTCGGTTGCATGGAGGAGTGACGATGATGCATGTAGGGTCGTCTTCTGGTTCGGGACTCCGCGTGGATCGTTTTTTCCGTGAGGGCACTGGTTGGGGCTGAGATTTCGGATCTTCGGGTGGGAGTTGCTCGGAAGGGATCGTCACGGAGTTCATTGTACGCCCCCCAGTAAATTCGGGTACACCGTCTGCGACCGATATTAGATCAGTAGAAGCTTGAATATTTTCCAATCTTCTCCGATTTCTCTGCTCGCAAGGGGACGGTTCGCGCGAACGAACAAAGACTGGATCGGGGTGCAAGCTGCAAGGGGATCCTGTGGATCTCCTGAAACTTCGCCGCTGATGTCTCGGCCGAGCTGGGCCAGGACCATCGGACGAAACTGATGTGCTCGAAGGTGCCTCCATGATAACGAGGATAGATTATAGTATGGATATCGCTAGAAGAAGTGAGCTGGGACGGACTTGTCGGATGTGGACCCGCCCAAAAATGCGAGGCCTCTGGGGGGATATATGATATATGCTACCTTTGATGAGGGATGTGGGGGAGGCCGCTTGCGTGACCATCTCCGGCCAACACCAAGAGCCAACATCACGAACCAACATGCATTCACCCACTCACCCGAGACGTGCAGAGGTGTGGGACCCTTAACACCAGCCTCCCCCTTTGGAAATGCAGCTGGCCTTTTTGAGCGTCGCAAAGCACCATCAATGCCCCTCGCTTCACAGTACAGCCACAAAAAACCGGTCATGCATCTCATTTTGCAATCTACGATTCCAGAACAAAATCCCTCTCAAAATGCACGTTTCATGCACCAAAAGAACCAACAATTAGAGGCGGTGTTGGTATGATCTGCAGCTTGCGCCCGTCCCGCGAACTCGACAAAAATAGCACGCAGGAAAGACTGCATTTTCTACATTTTCAGCTAGCGGCCTCCAAGCGACGAACGATTGATGTGGGATGAGGTGCAAGTGTCGGGCGCTTTCGGGTTGAGGAAGACAGGAGGGACAGTCTCACGCCAAGTACGCGGTGATGTTGCATACCCAAATCTCGCTCATTCAACTGGCGAGCCTCCATCGTCGCAAACCATCAATTTCTCCGTGCTGTTCACAGCTTTGCTATTGAAGACTTCGTTTCCAGTAATGTGGCGTTCCTCTCCCGCGACCAGTAGCGAATGTCTGTGCTGTCCTGTTTTTGTAAATGTGGGTTGACATAAGCTCGGGGGATCTTAAATTCTTAAATCGGGGAAGACTTCGTAAGCAATGCATTCAAGCACCAGCATGCACAGATAACACCCTTGGCCAGTAAAGATCAAATATCCAAGCTTCAACCACTTGTCTACTCTGATTCCCTCTTTTTTTCACTTTTTTCGCAGATTTATCACTCATACGTAGACGCGCCGCAGTGTGGAGACACTGAAGACTAGCGGAGACTCTCTGCTGGAGTATGAGCACGTCGAACACTAACCGAGCCTGCGAATCCTGTCGGTCCTTGAAAGTCCGATGCCGGCCGGCCGCAGGCTCCTCATCCACAGCAGGCGTATGTGAGAGATGCGAATCAGCTGGGAAGGAATGCATATACACTGAACCTCGGCGAACACGACGTAAACGAACCGACGTCAGAGTCGCAGCTTTGGAAAAGCAAGTCGCTGCTCTTGGAGAGCTGCTCAAGGAATCTCGCCCCTCGGAGGACCATGGCGTTTACATGGGACGAAGTCCGGCTGACCCGGATGGCCTTACGAGCGGCGATATAACAAGTTCGCTCCAGTCTCACACTATCCGAGACTACCATTTGTCCCCGGAAATGGTAACTAAGCCAACGGGTTACGATCCCGTCGAGGCTGGCCTCGTGTCGATGGATGAAGCCAGGCGGCTTTTCCATCGCTATGTGTCCGATTTAGTTCCTCAGCGACCCCTCGTGGTGTTTCCATCAGATACGACGGCTGAATCTCTACGGCGCAAGAGCCCTGTTCTTTTTCTCGCCGTTATGGCAGCCTCTGCGTCAACCCTGCCTCCCACTCTCGGTGCGGTCTTGAGCGATCTCGTGCGAAGAGCATACGCAGAGCATGTCATAATGCGAGGGGAGAAGTCCCTCGAACTCGTTCAGACCATACTCATTACGGCAAACTGGTATTACCCCCCAGATACGTATGGCCAACTGAACTTCTACCAGTTCATCCATATGGCTGCCACAATGGCCCGGGACATTGGCCTTGATACCCCCACTCGTTCCTCGAATGGGAACCCAAACTATTCCAATGGGCTCGAGTGCGAGAGGACTCTCTTGGCCTGCTACATATGTTGCTCGAGGTACATTTCTGTTGAACATATAGCTGATTAGACGCACAGATGCATCAACTAACGTGATCTAAGCCTCTCCTTTGCGCTTCACAGACCGCAAATGCTTCCATTTACACGGTATATGGATGAGTGCCTTGGAGCACTGCGCACATCCCAGGACCGGACAGCCACTGACGATATCCTTGCTTCCTGGATCACCCTCCAACGGATAGTAGATACCACGGCTCCCCCAGTGGGCTCAGAGAACCAAGACACTGAGATAGACTTCGCCAGCCCAGTGACGCAATTGAGCATTCGAAATTGCACGAAAAGGCTTGAAACCTGGAAGGAGAATCTTTCCGATGGCCACAAAATTGGTAAGTGTGTCAGTTTAACGAGTCACCTACCCTTCATCATTTGCCTTGCTAATTTTCCGCTTGATGTTGGTGTCTGTTCAATTGATTCAGGGTCCCTCTTGATTCAGTACGATGCTCTTCTCTGTATCGTCAACGAGAGTAGCCTCTACACGGAGAGTGACCCGGCCGATTTTAAGCCTCCCTACTCTCTTAGGAGATTGATTCGTGCAACCACACAAGAAAACACTCGAGACGGATTAACTCCCACGCGCCTGTCGTCCATCGCCACATGCCTGTCTTCTACGCACGATCTCTTTGAAACCTTCATTTCGATGCCTGTGAAATCACTCCAGTGCAGTCCCGTCACGGTATATGCCCGCCTCCTCTATGCTGCCGTAGTCCTTATTAAGATATCGATCTCCGCAACCACTGAGGGAGCCCAACTCTATGGGATCATAACTCAGGAAGAAGTTAATATGGACTTCTACCTAGATAAGGCGGTGGCAAAGCTTACAGAGACGTCAAATGAGGGTTGCGTAGTCGCTACGAAATTCTTATTCATCTTACACGCGATCTTGAGGTGGCTAAGGAACAGTATCCACGACGACGCCTCGCAAGGAATCGGCAGCGACCCTGTGGGAGAAGTCATCATGCCATTGAAGTACCTCAATATACGAGATGACGGTCTCCCAGCCTTTTCCCAAACCAGTCAATCGGCTAGTTTCCAAGACCCCATCGGCTCAGGAGGCCAAGTACCTGGCGAGACCGGCTCTCTTCTCCCTGCGGAATGGACTGAACAACCTAACCCACCGTCCATTGATTTCCAGACCTGGATGCTTTAGTGGATGCCACCCTCTTTTATTCAGCAGAACATGGAGAGAGTTTTCAAACTTCGCATATCTAGGGCCCCTGACCGACTCCTTGGGTTACTTCCTCTATCACTTAATGTAGCCTACTGCGGAGCGAATGCCCCCCCCCCCCCCCCCCCCCCCCCCCCCCCCTTTAGTCTCCACCACTATCATTGCTGTTGGAGTCTAGAACCGCTCTGCCTCGTCTCTCCAGTGGGTTCCAACTACAAAATTATTGGAGATCCGTCATTACGGAAGCCGTCTCAGCCCTGTCCCCCCTTATTTTTATGTTGCGGAAACCCCGCGTTTGAACTTCGTCTCCGAAATGCGCGCGGCCCTCATCCCTACACACAGTCGCTCACCTACCCGAGCGGTGCCACGGCGGCGTATATTGCCATTTGTACCGTGGGGTACTACCCATGCTCTGTCAGTCCCACCAGGAAGAAGGTTCCATATGGTCTAGGCCTTCCTGCCTTTCTTGCCTCAACTATCCTCGTCATCTTCACAAGATACACCTTTTATTCCAACTAATTAGGCCCCTGTGAGCTTTTAATTTAACACCTCGCATCGCGTACTAGTTTCCTATCGAGGCTCTCATCCGCGTTTTGTCCGGTTCCAAGCATCTCACCTCTACCACCACGACTCATTGGGCAGCCTGGCTCGGTCGCGCCGCGGGCATCACCAGTTGCGTACACTAAGGCAAGCTCGACTCTGGTATTGGTGATCTTTCTCGCTGATCAGTTCTCCGCTGGGTACGTCACTGTCTTTGCAGCCCAAGGGATGCGTTTGGCCGGCGGTCGGGCGCTCAGTACCCTCGCTGAAGTTGTATCTGATGTGTGGTTGGAGCATATTCGCCATATCTCGGGCACTTTCCCGATGATTATGGGGCCGTACGGCTCCGTATTAGGCATCATCAGGTTACAAGGTTTCGGGACGATCAGCTATATGGTCTTGCGCAGACAACTCTACCCCTGTATATTATCCGAGGGACCGAGGGACCGCGGTGGAATTGCTGTCCATGAAAAGATACTTTTCATTTAACATCGCATTAAGAAAAACGAAAAAAAAAAAATAAATAAAAATAAAAATAAAATAAAATAAAAATAAAATAAAATAAAATAAAAATAAAAATAAAAAAAAAATAAAAAAAAAGAGAGAAATAAAATAGGGGGAGATGGGAGATTAAAATAAAGAAATGAAAAAGAAGACATCCTCAAACGACCAGCAAAAAAAAAAAAAAAAAAAAAAACTTGAACTGGTTCAAAAAATGAAATCGCTGCCCAAGGGAGGACTCGAACCTCCGTTTCCACGGCCACAACGTGGCGTACTGACCCCTATACGACTTGAGCTTATTTGTTGGTCCATTGCTGGTCTTGTCTTGGCCCGTACTAGCATTTTGCACGTCGATCAACTCACCTCAACTGTGACCGGCCGCTTGCCATGGACTGACCGCTTGTGAAATTCTCTTAGTGATGTCATACATGCCTCAGTATCGTCTTCTACTCGTCATTACGAGACAGGATTACCGAGATGCTCGTCTCAACAGCTGCACTTGGAGTCCAGATGCTATTGGCTCCTGAAAGACGAGCTGCTAGCTGGTCACGTGCGCGCTCCACGGAGTCCGTTAACTTGCCAGATAGGGAAATTTCTTCTCGTTCTGTCGGACTTCTTCTTTTGGTTATGCGACCTCACTCCTCAACCCGGCGGCTTAACCTGGTATCAAGCCGATGCTTGGTTGGTGTTCGGCCATTTCTACAATCGACAGCACCCGTCATTGGGAAAATGAAGTTCATTAATACCACTCTTGAACGGCCCTACCGGGTCCGCAAGCATGTGCAATATGCTTGTAATATTTGCCGGAAGCGGAAGGTTTGCGAACCCTAGTTTTGTCGGAGCCAGCACCCCGTCCCGAGCCAAAGAAAACTGCGGAGGTCTGCCCTGTTCTGGGAGCCTCCGTGCGACGGGCCAGGCACGGTGGACCTGGCCGGACTCCGGGATCCATATTGATTTTTTCTTCGCCCGGGGGAATTGGAGAGCGAATACTGACTGCGCGTAGAAGCGGTGCGAACACCTAGATTCTCAAAGCGTATTTTCATCCGGCGTGTCACAGTCAGGAGCAACCGACGTCGATGGCCCGGTGCGCAGCACGCCCGGAGCCTCAGATTCCGCATCCACACCGGCCCCGCCCGACACCACCCAAGAAGGGGATCGTGGACTCTTTGGTCCGCTTTCACCAACCCAGCCACGGGCAATAGCGAATGAATTAAACTCGCACTCAGGAGACGCCCTTTCGAGCCCTGGGAATGACTCACGCTTCGTTGGCAACTTGAACCCCGAGAGCACATTCTTAGCCGATGGCCCTAGGACTGGTGAGGGCTACACGCGATCAGATCCTATTGGCGTTTGGGTTTCCCGAAGAGGGCCTAGCGGTGGTGCGCCTTCTCTCGGGACACCTGCTACTTCGCGGGACTTACTACCCCTTCGGTCATTGCTGCCGGGCCATTCAATGGATAACTTCTTGAAACTGGTTCCTCCGGGCTCCCATTACGAGGGTCTCAAGGCTATATACTTGCGCGATATTCACAGAATGTTTCCTGCGATGGATTTGACTATTCTAGAAAGATCAGAAAGCATCGTTTCGCAGACCCTTTCCAAGCAGGCGATATGTTTGGCTGCGGGAGCTCATCCAGATGCGAAAGCATTCTTAATAATCGGTAGTGAATCAGGAAATCCCATGAGCTATTCCGACTTTGCGCACCAAATATCATCTGCCATGCGGGGCATTCTAAACGCAGGCCTTATCGTCGACAGAATCCAACTCATTCCGATACTAGTTATCCTCTCCCTCTACACATACTCTTCCGAGGATCGCCACCTCTCCGCAGAACTGGCGGCTCTAGCGGTGAGTCACACCCACACCGTCGGGCTTCACCATCAGACCCCGGGCACAAGAAGCGAGAACTCCGCGTATTTGGCGACACTGTTCTGTTGCGTTTGGGCACTGGATCGCCTCAACGCGGCTTTCAATGGAAGGCCCGTCATGATGCATGAACGAGACTTTGGTCGTGATTTGCAGGCGTGCATCAGCCAGCAAGAGTCTTGCTTTCGCCTATTATTGGAAAATATATCCCTTCTAGACCGGGCAATTCAATTATATCGACCGCCTGCACTGGGTCTGCCAAACGAACTTGTCCAGAAGCTTCCTACATTCGAAAGCCTGGTTGAGAAGGCTGAGGCCATTGCCATCGATACTCGGGTATTAGGTATGAAATGTCCAGACTTCACAAAGCTGCCGCCATCTAATCTCGACTTTTACTTAACTCTGCTTAGCAACCCTCGAGCTCCTGTACCACGCTATTGTGATCTTATCGTGCAAAGCACCGACCACATCACTCCCATCCTCCTCATCCTCCTCATCCTACATGAAGACATGCCAACGTCTTTCGAGTGTCAGCATCACGACCATAGCAGAAGATATGGGGGGCCTACTCCCGCGCTTTACATTCCTGCCGTACGCAGTCTCCCTGTCATTAGGGGTTGCCTATCGTGAACTACGATCGAGCCGGATCCCCATGTTACGAGCAAGGTCCTATCGGGAACTTCAGGCGAATTGCCAGATCCTTCGGAGTTTTGGAGAAATGTTTCGTCCGGCCTTAGTGATAGTTGATCTTGTCGACAGACTGACCCAAGAGATTGACAAAGTTAGACCCGATTCTGCCGGCGGTGTTCCGGAGCCACAAGGGCCGCATGCGGCGACTTCGACACCGGGGCTTGGCACACCCCATCCAGCAGAGCCTCACTCTAGGGCTCTTGGCTCGTCTGGCCAAGGCGACACATCAGCTTCGTATGAATCACTGATTCCCCCACCACCTGATACTTCTTTCCCTGGGGGTCTTGCTCGCATCGATTTGTTTGAATATCTCAACGCCGATTTTGACCTTGGCGCGATCGATGCGGTTCTAGGAGACACCACGTATTACCCTTATTTTCCTCATTCTTGAGCCTCACAGATATAGATTTAGATGTATGTAAAATGCTATTGGAACCAGATTCCGGAATCATGATGAGGGCGTATCAGGCTTATTATATACCCCCAACCTAGCCACGCTTTCAAGATGAGACAATTCAACACTTGCCCAGTACAACGGGTTATTCGCTACCTCTGTCACGAGAACGCAGCTTTCGACAATAGTCATCATTGCGCAAGGCCCTCACCCTCGTACCAATGCCTTCTTCCTCTACCATATCATCGAAGTTGACCAGGTCCTCAATCCTGCATGCTTCCGCTTCCAATTTATCCACTTCATCCAAGGTGTCTAATATACGGTGGGGCTCTGTCCATGACGACCCAAAATCGACGAGAAGCCCATCGCGGTAATTCTGCGAGCGAATGTCTTTATTGTAGATCTTCAATTTGTTCAGCTGGCGAATGTCCGCTAGGACCTTCCTCATATTCTTCGCGCAAATGCCTGTGTCGTTAGAGGCGATATCCTTGACAATTGCACGCGCATGCTGCCCACATCCCAGAAGTCGTCGGGCCTCATCATCTACATCGTCTTCCCCAAGGTCGACCCCTCTATCCCTGAGTGCCTGTAAATCTTCTTCCTGTAGTAGAAGGTAGCCGTGGCATGGGATGGCGATGCTTCGCTTCAATCGCCCTTTCTCCTGCTCTTCTTTGATGCGACCGTAGGCACGGCACTCTGCGTAGAAAGCATCGGTGTAGTAGACAGATTCTTGCAGTGTAATGGTATCCTCGAGTAGGGGTTCCCAGGATTGGAAGATCAACTCAGGATCTACAAATTTGAACTAGATTATAATCTTTAGTACAACTCCTATCAAGAAAGCAATACCTGAGAAGGTGTTTGTACAATCTTTACAGCGTATATACGAGACTCGATTCGCGCTTTAAAGACAAACGACTCGTTTTTCGACTCTCCCGAGCGCTCTTCGTCGAGTCGTTCCAGCCATTCTATCGGAGCATTGGGGTGTTTAAATGCATGTAATTTTGAGCCTTCGCATGGAGGTAAGGGTTGGTTCGCAAACTTCCGCGATGATCGAGCTCGACGCTTCCCCATCATGGCGATCCCTCTTCTTTTCCAGGTTGATTTCGGCAGGGCACCATGAGGGGAGGGCCCTCCCATTTCCGATGTTCGTATCTGAGCGGCGGAAGATAGGTAACTACTTGTAGCTACTCCTTCCAGGCCAACCGTTCACCGGTTGGATAAGAGCCGGAGATACACGGGTATCCGCGTTGTCCACGCCTCCGAGATGGTGGGGAGAAGGCGGGGTCGTAGCCATTCATCGAGCGCCATCACTCAACGTCCACGATTCCATGCAGGTTAGTGCGCAGCCTTCAATTCCGGTCACACATACTCGACGCTACGGGAGTGAGGTGGCGTTCATCCCGTGTCAATTGCGGGATATATCGAGGGGTCGGGCCGTGGTTTTAACCGATAAATCGTGCCGTTCTCTCAAAATACCTTCTCCTATGAGTTGGAGACAATCAGCTTGTTTGCGAACATGATGCCGCGAGAGAAGAAGGCAGAATCGATTTTGGAATTTCTAACTGAAAAGAATCCTGATATCGAGTGTCCCGAACTTTTAGACTCGAAGACAACAAGCAACCCAAGGTATTACGCACCAAAGGAGTTACGGCAATGGGATGAATTCAACTTCGACAGTCTGAAGACTGTCTTTGGGGGTGAGTTGTTTAAAGAGGCGTGCAGGAAAACTACACGGCTTCCACACTACCCACACATTGATCCCGAAGTGGACTGCTACGTTTATGACGAGAAGGCTACAGTCAACATTTTTACAAAATGGAATCATGTGATGGTCAACGCATCTCTTAGCCTTATAAAGGACAACTTCAACCCTTGTATGTGGACCGCTGGCAGCAGGAAGAAAGTGATTAGAAAAAAGGGAAACCCTGTCCTGTCTACGAGCAAGAAGCAGGGTCGGCGGGAACCCGGTCTCTTTATTAATCGACTGAAGCCGGATGCTGGTGCCGTTTCCTTTGGATCTGCAAGGAGCAGCTATGAATCACCACCACTCTCTGTGGAGAAACTTCCAAAGGATTACAAGGTGGCGTCAAAGTGGGATAGCTCCCGAGTAGTCGAGGAGGTCTTGAATCCGGAGAAGTTGAAGAGGAATTACCTCATGCCTATTCGACAGGTTTATACCTATTGCGTATTGTCGCAATGTCGTTATGGTTGCATTTTAACCACCAAAGAGGCTTTCATATTCCGAATCAAGCCCAGAAAAGCCCCAGGAGGTAACTGCCTTCCCACAAGAGTGTTGTTAGCCCTCGAACTTTTGGCACCTGACACAGTCTAGACTTTTCTCACCGTTCTTCCGGTTCACCTTCGCTCAGGAAGCAGTTGACGACCAACGGGCTCTTGGAATTCGTCACTGTTCCATGGTCCAACTACAACAAAAGTGACATCAACAACTACGACAACTTGACCATTAACCTAGCATTATGGTTTGTCCACGTTTTGGCAGGCAATAACCACAAAGTTGACTGGGTGTATCCGGGCCTCCGTGAAGAATCGCCTAAAGCCAAAATTCCGGCTCGTAATTCTTCACCTCTGCCAGTTGAAGAGAACGCAGCATGTGACAGCGAACCTCCAGAGTCAGAGGCTTTATCGTCACCAAACATTAGTTTCTCCGCGCGGAAGCGGAAGTGGATAAGCGAAGCAGCGGATCCTATTCAATTGTCATTCTCTTATGACCCCCAGTTTTCCCGAGAGGTATGACTCTTCTTCCCTTGCACTTCAACTATATATGTGCTAACCATAGAGGTGAACCATGAAGGCAACAGACTCTTCTCTTGGCAGCAGTAGTCAGGAGTATGAGGATGCATTTGAGGAGATGCCTCAACTTAGTGTTGAACATGACTCGTCTGGAAGCGATATAGGAGACAAAGAAACGAAGCTACGGAGATCCAAACGCCTGCGGCGAGGGAAATATCAATAGACAAGTGCTGACGGCCCTCGAATGACAATAATTTGAGTTGGAGGAAAGGCTGCCACATGTAACAGTTCATTCTTTCTAGTGAGGTAGACTGGCGACATCAAGTGCAAGGTGCTGCTACTATCTTGGAGAACGGAATTCTCTGGATACCACCGCTGCTACGCATAGTGAAGGAGGACTGAGTGTTTGTTGCCTTGCTGATCTAATGGCAGGTCTCTTTCTCTTCGGCGTCAACTCCCCACGGCGCAATAAAGAAATTGGTTTCAAAACCCTTGAAATGACCCAAGGGAAAGCAGTAGAACAGTCTCAAGCCCCACGATCGATAACGCTTCTGACTATTGGTCCCCTTCGGATGGAAGAATTCGTTCAGTCTTGTAGCCAGGTCTAGGTTCTCCTCTCGACGATTTCCAGTGCCTTTGGGGTAGACGAGCTGTAGGGGTCCATTACCTATAGTATGCAAACCGTGAGAGAGGATCGGGTTTGGAAGGAAGAATATTCACAGCGCAACCATCCGTTCGAAGTGTCATTACTTTGTCAGGGACCACAATCAAATAATTAGGCGCTTATGGGAAGTGTTGCGCAAAAAGAGACATTTTTTATTTCGCTGGATGACGAAGGATATCAATTCTCAAGATTCATTGTCTCTCATCCGGCCATGACGCTTCTCCCCCCATCAGCAGTAACACGATGCCGAACCCGCACTTTCATTATACCGGTGCCTAGGTATACGGCCTGCCAGCTGGTACCATTCCCAGCTGTAGCCACGACGGCGCCTGGAGAGAAGAGGAGGGCTTCGCCCGTCCTCAAATTCACCACTGTTGGGAACAGCTCAGATGGTGAGATAGACCGATACCTATGTAGAGTGGCCTTGGGACCCACCGAGGTCTGCTTCTGGTCCTGGCCGTCGACTTCGTTGTTGAACGCACCAGCAAGGTGCCCTCGGAGAGCATGGAACCAATTGGGAGATGTAAACTTATGGACAATGGTGATGCTACATAAATCCAAAAGGCGAGGCGATATCGTCGGTTCCTGGGTCGAAATAACTACGCGGGCGCCAAGATGGCGCTGCAGGCGAATGGTAGACAGGAGCGTTTCCGTGAACTCGTCGCTTTCCAGACTATCGTTCATGTATTTGTGCGCTTCGTCCAGGGCCACAACCCGCCCTAAACTTGTCTCCTGTTCCAGAAATAGACCGAGGCAGATGTTGAAAAGAGCACAGGCGATCTCGGCGGTTACGCAAGGGCACGATAAATCGACTACCGTTAGCTGTCCACTCTGCATCACCCACGTCAGCAATAGTAAAAACAACCTCACAGGGCCGAACTCACAACCGGCCTCCATTCTGCAGCCTTCTCATCCTCGGACGGTTGCGCTTCCCGATTCCTCTTTTTTGTTTTCGGTTGAGCCAGGAAGCTCTCCAACGCATCTAATCTCTGCCTGAGGGGGACCAATTGTGCTTCAGTTAGTTTCTCTGCGTTTAGGGCATTCTTAAATGTGCCGTAGTTGAATCCTTTTCCTTCCCGTTGCTCCTGGAGCCTCATCTCTCGTATAACTTTCGTCACCACAGTAATATACAATGGCGCTCGGCCATTCGAACCGGCGCTAACTGCCATCAAGTCCAGCATTCGTCTCGTGTTCAGGTCCGTTTCGGCAAAGTGGAGCGGCCGAATCAAGACGTTCGGCAGGTGGCTGTATATTTTCTTTTAACGAATTAGTTACTGATTATTTTGCGCTGATTCAAAGGCGAAAGGTCGTACCTTGATATTCATTAAGTTAGTTGGGGCACAGAGAATTCGAACTTGAATGTCCTCATGCGATGACAAGTACGCTGCTTCACAAGGGTGTCCTCCCGAGTCCGAAATGGTGGTGTCATAATGAAAGACCAAGCCAGAGAGTGGTCGAGGCAGCACGTTTGCTTCGGACTTGACGAGGCAATTCTCCAGCAGCGTCGCCAAAGTATGGCTTTTCCCGGATCCCTGACTCCCGCAAATGAACACGCTCGATGGAGCAGTAACATTGTAGAAGACTCGAGCGTCTCCGTCCGGGGCTACGTTTTCCGAGATATCACGAGCCAGTAGTCCATACTGGATTAAAGCCTCATGTGGGTTAGATTTCTGGTTTCCCGTGTTTTCAACGGTGCTTCCCACACCTCCGGTAAAGATCGGCGAAGTTGAGACGTTTTGAAGCTCTCCGGATTCAGAGGGAAGACAAAGTAACTTCATGTGTGCTTCCAAACACTGGGCTTGAAAGCCGCATGGACTCTTGTTTTCCATCTTCATTTTCCAAAGTCGAGGCAAGCTGTGAAAATCCTCCAGATCGTGAGTTGTGCACCGCGTAGAAGCCTTAGACGATGAAAATTTCGTTCGACATGAAATCTGCTGAACGAGTATGAACCGCGGACCTCCGGGTGATGGGCTTAGGGTTTTTTGCAGTTATTATGGGCTACATATAAAGTGGTGGTGCGGCGAAAGGAGTCGTCTCCACTTCGCATTGGCATGGCGCAAAAAGAAAGAAAAAGCAATCATAAAAAGCATCTCAACAAGTGTTTGTAAGACTTGGGCTCAGATTAGATTGTGGATACGAGCGAAGCAGATACATTAGGGAGGCGGACAGTCATAACCGGCGGCTGGGCATATTAAGGCTACTGAGTGGGCAGAATGGTTGGGGCTGGAGGAAAGAGCACAAATCTTGCAACGGCTGTGAACCAAGATGACCATCTCTTATTATCTTGCCTCTACTTCCTAGAGGCTTCTGATGCTACTTGACTCCGGTCTATTATGGTTTAGAGATTGTTATTAGGTTCTCTTGGAGAAATTGCGTGCTGCGGGCATAATTTCAGGGCATTTCTGGCCCTCGTTTTCGTTACTGTCACTTGCAGTGGGTGAAGCCAAGGCGCTGGCGGGCGCAGATTTGCGCCACTGTTTGCTCTTGAGATCCTGTATTCGCCTTTCTACTGGTAAATGAAAGTGTTTTATTATGGCAGCGCCAGGTCAAGACGTACCCAGCTCTGGAGTGTATATTCTCGCCTGGTAGCTTCGTCGTTATCATGCTGGTCCCGACCGGGGTCGGAAATGTTGAGATGCCGCAGGCCAACCCGGCTCCATTCCGGAGCTGAATCAGAGCGCGAAGGGCACTGCCCTATCCTAGCACCAAAGAATTTCAATGCCGAGTTTAGGCATAGAGCTTAATTTCAGTTTCTTGAGAAACCCACCAAGTCAGATCTGGCGCGGGCCCCCCAAAAATCCAGTTCTAGCATCTCGCACAAGCTCGCCACTTGACCGAGGAACCTAAATACGTCCTTCAATATTCAGTAAGGGTCGCCGGCTTGGAAATATTGAGCAGCTCGGCAAGACCAGCTACTGAAAGGCAGCGCCTTGGGGGGTTCCAACCCAGACCTTTTGCCTAGGTTATTGGTGCGAAACATAGAGGAGATTTTGTATTCACGTTGTTTGTAGTTCGGCGACTGAGTCATATTGAGAATCTGGGATGATACCGCGTCTCGTTCACGATCGTTTGTCTTGGACCCTGCCTCTCGCCATGGCTTTCCTCTTCTCCTCAACGGGGAGGAGCGATTTCCCAGCCAGATGGGTCGTCCGCAGAAGGGGATAAAGCCACCCAATCTTTGTAAATAGGAGACGATTTCATAAGCCCGGACCAAAACCATGACCTAGTATTTTCCTCTATCGAAATCATTAGATAAAACTCTTAACAGGTCATAGCGAGCAGTCACAGTTGGGGTTGGTGAGGAAGGTTTTGGAAATTGGCGAACCCATCGCCACACACCTGCAGTCGTATTGTTCAGACATACCCTACCTCTTTACTATGTGACGGCCAGGCACTACGGAAGCCTATAGCGAATTTGTAACTTTTGAAAATTTTCGACCTCGACCCCTCCATACGCACACACCATCCGTACAAATACTTACACTTCTAGTTAAATAAACTTCAGTATTATTCAACACTAGGAAACATTATTCAATACTGCGAATACTGCGAATACTGCGAATACTGCGAATACTGCGAATACTGCGAATACTGCAAATACTGCAAATACTGCGAATACTACGAATACTACGAATACTGCGAATACTGCGAATGTGGGATAGGAATGTGGGAATGTGGGAATGTGGGAATGTGGGAATACTGGAATGTGGGAATACTGGAATACTGGAATACTGGAATACTGGAATATGGGAATATGGGAATATGGGAATGATTGAAATGCTGCTTGGAATATCAATGCGAACATGGTTATTTTATATAAAGTACGAAGTAGAGTGGGTAAGTTTGGGAGGACTTGGCCAACTTGTAGTAGCTCAGAAGGAGGATGATAGATGATGGAGCGGGAAAAAAAGAAAAGTAATAGTAAAAGAAATATTATTTTATTGAAGCTATGCTAAATGTTCTAAATCTGTACGGGTTGGGGTAGTTCTAGTAAAAATCCGAGAGGTCGAGGTCGAAAGTTTTCAAAAGTTACAAATTCGCTACAGGCTTCCGTAAGGCACCCTCTTGTATCGGCGGATTTGTCACTAGTGTCTGAAATAACTTGCCTAACGTTTGATTTCAGCATCTCCAGATCGATGCCAAAACGAGGATGAGCCGAAACTTCCGTTTTGGGAAATGCCATGGTGAGAGAATTTCTCATTTGGGAAATTCTCCGATCTATCTGAGCTGCGTGTCAGGCAAGTCGTCATGAACGTTTCCTAGAAGCAGCAGTCTGATAACCACGGTCCGAATTCTTTGACGAATTGCCGAATGGAGGTTTCCTTTAGAGGAAAACCCGCAAGTCGATGCTTGTGTGACGGAGAGAAGTTGCAGAGTATTAAAGAGGAGGCACGGAAGAAAATGGGGGCTTGGGAATAGTAAGCTGAGTTAAGTCTTTGTTTCTCGATAAAATATACCAAATTTTTGTTACACTCTTTGAAAACATGCCTAGAATCCCAGCCAGAGCTCTATGCGGCGCTGTGGGCCTCCATGTTCCCAAGCCTCATCACCGGGCGATCTCAGGCGCTCAACCAGCCGGGAAGAAAGAAGGCGATATCTCATCAGTATTTATATCCTTGTCCGGCGGAGCCCAGAAGCCTCTACCAGAGCGCTTTCGGTATCTAAAGTCCTCACTTGTTTCTGGAAAGGAAGACCAGGTCGTGGCGAGTTGGAATAGACTACTCAAAGGATTGGCATCCGAAAACGAGTCTATTGCGGCTCGAAAATCCTCCATCATCCCTTCAATCGAGTTTAGCAATCTTGAAAGCGAGATTGAGAGACTGAAGCCAGAGATACAACGGCGCGGCGCGGCCGTTATCCGTGGAGTTATCCCTGAGGCCGAGGCGCGAGCGTATAAGTTTGAGGTTGAAAGATATGTAAAAAAGAATCCAGATACACGAGGTGAGATGCCCCATTAGACTAGCAAAACATGACCCGCCAGGACCTTCCCACAATTGACTGGATTGAACGTCAGCCTTCCCGGCTCATGACCCACAAGTTTACGAGCTATATTGGTCCGAACCACAGCTGAAGGCTCGCGCACACCCAAACCTACTGGCCACGCAACGGGCGCTCATGCAGGCACTGTGGCATAGCTCTCGTCCAGATACACCCATCTCTTTGTCGCAACCCCTCTCATATGCAGACCGTCTCCGCATCCGACAACCCGGGGACGCCACCTTTGCCCTCGGACCCCACGTTGATGGGGGCAGCGTGGAGAGGTGGGAACGGAACGGCTACGGAGTTGACGGTATATACGACCACATATTCGAAGGCGAGTGGGAGCGGTATGATCCTTGGGATGCCGCACCCAGAGTGGCAGTTGTCAGCGACTTGTACAACGGCGCTGGGGCTTGTTCCATGTTCCGCATGTTCCAGGGTTGGCTGAGTATGAGCGTATGTGGGCCAGAACAGGGGACATTGCTCGTTTATCCCGCCCTTAAGATGGCCACGGCGTACATGCTCCTTCGACCGTTTTTCCGTCCCATTAGGAAGGCAGAGGAAACCAACTCTGGAAGATTCTTGGCCGAAGAGAATTGGGCGTTCACTGGTGGAGAAGAGACGACTAGTGAGCTTCATGGCGCAACTCCCGGCCATGCCCAAGAGCTTAATGACGCACTTCATCCTCACTTGGAGCTTTCGAAAACTATGGTTCACATGCCCGAGGTGAGGCCCGGTGACTTCGTCATCTGGCATTGCGATGGTATGTTTCTTGAGCCAGATATCTCTGCAGTGCACATTACACTAATAGCGGAACTTGTAAGGCATCCATTCCGTTGACAAGGTACACTTGGGGAAATCGGATTCAAGTGTGCTGTATATTCCGGTATGCCCGACAACCGAGATAAATGCCAAGTACTTGGCGCGCCAAAGGGAGGCTTTTATCAATGGAGAACCAGGTCCGGATTTTCCGGGTGGGAAAGGAGAGTCTGGCCATGTAGGCCGGCCCGGACCGAGCTTCATTGAAGAAAGGGCCGGAAGACAGGCGATGGGGTTGGAGAGCCTTGAAGAAGATTTAAATGATCTTCGAGGAGCACAGGAGGCAGTTGCGCGGGCAAATTCCATTTTAGGATTTTAGTATGCCTACCACTCTATCAGATGTCCTGCTAATTTGATGGTGGGTTTGTTCTGACCCTGTTTCCTTTATTTCTTTTTCATCCAGTAGCAGCGTCTTAGTGAGCTAGTTGACGAACTGACACCCTTTCCTAAGACTACAAAATGGATCCCGTTTAAGTCCTCCAAGGACCACACGCAGCGACTTGGCTGTCGAACTTGTGAAGGGGGGCCAAATTCTGTGGATCTGGGGCAACGGATAAGTAGTAAACTCTTGTCCAGCAGCAATAGGCGATTCGGCACTTCGAACTCAAAAATAGCTACGTCGATTCGGCACATTGACCCAGGAGAGGCTAGGAAAGGGGTTTTAAATATCGAAATTTGCATCAATGGTATTGTGCGCTCCTGCTATCGGGATCCCATCAATGTCTTAGCTCAGCTCAATGCACCACGATGTGTATTTTAAGCTAGAGGACCGAGGTACTGAGGGACAACATGCGACTCTTCCTTCTCTGATAGGGTCACAGTCTCAATGTAGGGCATTGAGGGTTATGAATACCCTCGTTTACGCTACCGGTAATATGATTGTCGAAAGCATTGTTTGTCGCTGGATGTTTTTGCTCAACAAATTAGATTTCTACGTCCCGCAGGAGGACTGGTCCAGGAAACGAAGCGTCGGCCGCGCGAAGTGAGAATTTAAGAAAAGCCATTTTTACATCAGTCTAATATTAGCTTGTTTGTGTAGCTGGAAATTCGCCGACATTGGCTGTTGTCGTCGTTGCCGCAGGATAAAATGGATTTATTACCGTTGGCTGCCTCTTAGGCTTAGCCTCCATTGATATTGATGGCAGGCCGGCTCTGCGTTCCATCCACACACACCGCTCCCTGCCGAATGTTCTCAGGTTGCATCCTTGATAAATGCAGTCACGATGTCGGTCCAATCATGTCCCTCTATCGGATTCTAAAATGAAAGCGGCTGGTTTATCTGATCTCACTTGCAGCGCTGAGCCCTTGACGGGAAGTCCGTACCCCCTACATGGCTCTGGGCCTATAAATCCGCCAGAGTACCCACCCTTGGCATTCCAGATTCCCAGATCAAAATTATCTCTCACGCACGTCCCGTCTCCAGCAGTCAAAATCCCAACATGTCGCACCAGCTTGGTTATCTTCTTATCCTTTTAGGGCTTTTCTTTCCTGAGGCCTGGGCGCAGGCACAGGTTACGACAGCAGTGAGTAGCTACGTTCCCTAGTTGACGCCGTCTTGGTGCTGTCTGTCTGAGATGTTTCAGCTGACAAAGATTAGAATATTTACATTCCGTTCGCTGCCGAAAACGGCGCTCTCCAGTCGGCTTTAAGAGCCAGCATCGTGTCCAGTGTAAGACCACGTCGACAAAATAGTAGAGGAAATCTTTCGGCGCTCAGCATGCTAACACGCAAGGACAGAAGGACAAGACGACAGTCTTTGCGGCCACATGTACCGCCGGGCCTTGTACGGCAATTCCCGGTGGCTCTGGAACTTTCACTTTCACCGCCGGTCCTGAAAGTAAGCATTGTCAAGTCCAAAGCAGCAAAATCTAAGATGAGAAGCTAACTTTGATTTAGCCTTTGTCTATTCTGCTGCACCCAACGCGCAAAGGTACGCGTCTATCTCTCTCACGAACCATTTGCAGGTGCTAACAAACTAAAAGCTCCGTCGACCTACGTTGCACGTTTAAAGACTGCTTAACAAAGCCGGACATTGAATGCACTCGTACTGAGGTCTCGTCAGGTTCGACAACGGCTACTACAACAACATCAGAAAGCGCCAACCTCGCGACCTTGACGCTGAATCACGGAGTTCCATCACCGACGCAGAGTACGTGTACGACTAAGAAAAAGACCTCGAGTGGCGGCGGTAGCAAGAAATCAAAGAACAAGAACAAATCCGAGGGTGTAGTCGATCGCAGGCCAGACCTAGCCCTTCTGTCGGTGATGGCGATTGCAGCATTAGTTGGGGCGGCCGCTATAGTGTTGTAAATCGGGAGCCCAGATCGCGGCGTGCGAGGAGTTCGGATGAGATAAATTTGAATCTAACAACTAATATTACTCTTTCGATTGCTCTTACAACTCTCCTCATCTAGAGCCTCCACGATCGTAGTCAAGGTTGCTCAAGCTCTAGCCCTCGTTTGCGGCGTCTTCCTAAACCTAAAATCAAGTTGCTTCGGTCAAGAGTAGGAATGCAACTCTTACCCCAAGCTCCGTGTACTCTATAAACTCTCTAACATCGATAATCCTAAACCCCAGGGAATAACAACCATTTGGAGAGCCCAATCGTTCCGCTTTATGTTCTCTTCCTTTTCTCCTGAGCTATCCTGTGCCGTTCTGCTTCCCCCTCAAGCCCAAACTTCACTTCCGTATGTGTTTCGTCCAACTTTGCGTTGCGTATAAATAAGCAGACAATTAAACCTACCGCCGCGAAGCAGACTGCTTCGATCCAGACATTTCTGATGGCATGTAAAAAAGCCTGGCGGACAATATTCCGTGGATGGTCATCAAGCGACTCGATCAAAGGAATATTGGCTTGGGCATTGTCTCGCGAAAAGGAACTTGCGAGACCAGGACCGAGCTCGCTTCTCAACTGCCCTTGCTGGGACTGCATTCCATTGGCAAAGGCAACCGAGCCGATAACAACGGCGATGGCAGAGGCAACATTGCGAATGAGGCTAAACGTAGCGGTTACTGTCCCGTTGTCCTGTATAGATACGTTGCTCTGCAAGGCGACCAAGGGTGGCTGGAAGTTGGCCCCGATCCCGATACCCGCAACGATTTGATAAAGAATAATCTTTACCCATTTCTTCGAGCCTGGGAGGTCGTAAAACAACCCACACCCTAATACAGATAGGACAAATCCAAATATAATGCACCCAACATAGCGACCAGTAATCTTGAGGAAAATGCCAACGGATGCCGAAGTAAATGAAAGCGCGAGGACATAGGGAAGGAGGATCACGCCGGACATCAGAGGTGATTCCCCCAGAACAGATTGAAAGTAAAGCGGAAGAAAGTATGCGACCAAGGTGAACGTAACACCGTGGAAGAGGTCGACAAGAATAGCGGCTAGGTTGGAGATGTTCGTAAACAAATGCATCGGGATGATAGGGTTCCTGGCAAAGCTCCACTCAACTGGAATGAATAGGATGAGGGTGATGCAACCCCCGACGATGAGTCCGATTACTGTTGCTGAGCTCCAGGGGTAAGTGGCACTACCGAACTGTAGACCGAGTAGGAACATCACGAGACCGCCAGTCAAAACCAGAGTGCCAAGCCAGTCGATGACCTTGATGCCTGCGATTATGGGGGTTTTTGGTGTCTGCAACTTGAGCGTCAAAATGATGATGATGAAGGCCACTCCAGATATTGGGACTAGTAGAGGTTGTTTGGTTTGTTAGCAGATTGACAAGGGAGGGATCACTGAATGGAAGCGCTCACGGTTCACGTAAAAACACCATCTCCAAGATACATTTTTCGTGAAAGCGCCGCCAACAATCGGTCCAAGTGCTGACGCGGTCGCCCAAACCATCCCAATGATACCATAATACTTCCCACGCTCCCTGGGTAGATGCTACGGGTTAGGTTCACTATGTCCTTGGGTAAAATGGCCCGGCTGGTTCGAGGAAAGACTAACCTCGGAGAAAATAAATCGCCAACAACGATATTCGTGAGAGCCAACAGTCCTCCAGCTCCAGCACCCTGGACCGCTCGCCCAGCTATAAGCATAGCCGCGCTGATAGCCGCACCACACAACACGCTACCAACGAAGAAGACGGCTACGGCAGCAAGCAAGACGATTTTCCGGCCCCATATATCACTCAGCTTTCCCCAAGTGGCCGTCACAGCTGAAGCGGATATCATGAAAGCAGCACCAACCCAGATATACGCCGACGTGGACCGAAAGTGCTCGGATATTGTTGGCAGTGCTGTGGTGATGATTGTGATGTCTAGAGCAGCGAGGAAGACGGACAGCTAGGGAAACCCGTTAGCGTTGCGAGAGCATGGCTGAAGTAAGGGAAATTTTGCATCGTACGCAGAGAGCTAGCATCAGGAGTCCGGTTTGAAGCGCAGTGAACTCGTTGGCAGGCGCATCCTTCTGTGCCTCATCCTTCTGTGCTGGATTCTCGACATCGACAGAGGATTTATGCGCGACCTCTTGGTCTTGCTCGCCTTGAACTGAAGGCCCCGGATCCATAGTGGTCTGAAGTATCGAATGGAATTTGTTCACGAATTATGCATGTAGATTTCTGTAATCTGGGGCAAGATGCGGAACACGCGGAACGATGCCTAGCAAATCGTCGGTATCACGCCAAGGGCCTTCCAAAATAATTACTCCCTATCACCCAGCTGGTTATAAAGTACCAACCGGCGCTAGACCGGACATCGGTACTTAATGTGCTCCGGAGCGGAGTGGGAGTGTTAGACGGATGTCGGCGTTTAGTAACCGCCGAGCACCGGTCTGGGAACGAACACAAACACGTGCACTGTCGGGCCGATCGAATTGGAAAGAGAGGGCCATCCAGGTATGAAGTACATAAGATATAAGATAATTAGGAAATGTGAGTATTTCCAGGGCGGAATAATAGCTGGTTCACAATTGCGAATGCCAAGGGAGAGATTGCAAATGATGCATCAATCAGTTCCAAGATTGTGGTGGTATGGTGTTGGAAAATGTACCTGGCGCATATAATTTCCCATATTTGAAGAGCTAAAATGACAAGAAAATGCGACATACAGGCTGGCTCGATATATATTCGACATTTTATGTTTCCGGAATGTATCATTTTGCTGACAAGCCCAGCAGGTTTAACTTCAAGAGACCCGTGGGCCTATTGGGGACAAGATTCGATCACCCTTTACCAGCTCCGTACAAGCGTGAGCCACTGATGCAAGAATGGCCATTTTTGTCGCCACTGCTGATCGCGGACCTAATGTTCGGGCCAGTAATTGACCAGTTCGACAGATATTTTGACAGAAGGTGATGCCAACCCGAGCCGGATAACCGCAGGGGTCCGCCGCCGGGATTCTCCGCGACCAAGAACAGTAACGCTTCCACCCCTCTCGACTCTATTCATACACACCCTCTTAATCTAGTTTAGAAATGCCTCCTCGGGCAAAACGGCAGATGCGGGGAAAGCATCGTGATGGGAGGTCATGCTTTACACTGCTCTATAGTTTATAAACTACCAAAGCAATGCCTATTTCCGCTTAGCGCTCTCGTTCGTATACGTCTTTCTCCGCACCACATGGCCTAGCAACTTGCTTCCGAGGATTTTGCCCTCTCGAGTTGGTACGGCCTGTGAGGTCGGAGACGTCATGAACTAGTTTCAAAGGTCACTTGATTTTTCCCCAAAATTGGAAGCACACAGTTCTCACCCGATTTACCTCCTGTCATACGACCACAGAAACCCATTTCTTCGTTTTCCGTGTACTCAAGAAAATAGTACACCACGGCATTGCATCGTGGTTTACCGAGTTAGTGCTGATGTGGTGCTCCCAGCACTTCAGCTCCTCACATTCGAGACACCAAACCATAGCGAGTGTTTGAGAGGAGATTCCCCCACAGCACAGTTATGGTTCGTGTCCCCATCGCACCACTCGCGATACCAACATTGTGCGTTCCCAAAGGGTCGTGAATTTAATAGTCGACCAACTTGACCAGTTTGTACTGAGACTGGCATGGATAATAAGTGTCAAACTGTCAATCGGCATTTTTGATACCCTCCTCCGCCAAAGTAAACCAGGGGACATGGTAATGAAAATGATCGCGGAATTACTGACTATTATGGAAACACCTGGTTGCTTTCCAAGTCACGCGTCTTCCTTGACCGCCCGCACATATTTAAGCGTACGTAGTTCTGTCTTCTCATCTATCGATACGACGAGGCCTTAGGACCTGCCTCCAGCGAGATGCTGGTGTCGAGAACAAGACTCTTTAGCCAGGGCGAAGATGAGCACGAGGCTTTCGCTACGCCACATAGCTCGATGTTAGCGGGATGGAGAGATTTGTTCCAGAGGACCGGCTTCTGCTGTTCCTGACGGCGAGTTCGTTTTGACTCTCTTGCTTTACCAACCTCTATAGCCATTCCTGCCCAAGACTGCGCTGTAATAGCCCGAGGATGTGGATGACGGGCTTCTAACCTTTGCTACATGTGTATCTAACCTGCCTTCTCTTCACGGATCGATATTGTGAAAAGTATGCCCCAATTGAGAGGTAGCCAGAAACGAAGCAAATGTAAAGGATACACTGAATCAGAAAACGGGAGTTCCTGCTATATCAATTGAAGTCAGCCAACCGCTACATCTGGTTAACGTAACAAAGAACAGATACTAAGGTCATCATCGGTAAGGTATCAAGCACATAGTGGATGAGTGTTGTTCTGATATATTCGGCGGCTCCATGGTTTTGCTACAAGGACTGAACTTTCACGCCAGAACGAAGTTTCAAATACTAACAGCTTCGCCGCAGACCCCAGAGAAGTAGGTGTGCAACCGACGTCATGTAGATTTCAATGTTGCCGCATGACACGTGCCCATTGCATCGATTTTCGGTTATGAACATTATATTAAAGCATAATAATGCGAAACCCGTCTTTGACTAGCTCAGATTCTACAATCAGTTCAATATCGTGAACTTAAGCATTATGGGTGTCCCATATTCGAGGCAAATCAACGCAGCGTTCGATGAGGTAACTCCCCTCGTCGCCGCAGGTTTTCAAGTCCTACGAACATCGAGGAATATCTCCATTCTCCTCGCATTTATTCAAATTCTCAACACATTATTTCTTGGCCTCGCTGTCCTTGTTCTCATCGCAATATTACTTACGGTTAACCCCGATCTCGAGCTAGAGCGTCGCATCTTTGTGACGCCTACGGTGAAATGGCTCGCGAGTTGGCTTCTCGATAGTAGTTGGCTCCGCGTTGGGATACGGACAATGGTAGTCGGAGCGGGGTTGGGGGCATTTTCCGCGTGGTATCTTGTACCAGACAGTCCTGCCCTTCAAGACCTTGTAGAAGAAGGGGACGACGACAAAACGGGAGTCGATGGCGACGCGGAGTCGTGATAGTTGTTTGCGGGATAGCCATCGTGTTACAGAGGGAGGCTAAGTAACTGCAGATAGAAATTAAACCACTTCCGTTACTTAGTTAAGATCTGGATATATTCAAGATTAAGGTAGGGCCGACTAGATTTGTGTATTGCCTACTACGGGAAGAGAGGGAAATCATCGTTAGTATCCCAACGCCCAAGCTACTGTATGCAGACTCACATTTGCCAATAACCATGGTACCTAGGATTCCGTAAATCGTGACGAACCGCTGTGCAGAACGCCAAGGTCTCATCTTATGTCCATCCCAGGGCCCGTGTAAAGGCGGCCAAGCAAAGACCTTCCAACCCGCCGTCCATAGCCGTCAGCATCCACACTCCTAGTTCCTTGAACTTCGGGTCATTTAGCCAGCAATTAATAGGCCACTTATAGAGCTTTATCATAATATTCTCAAAACCTACTTCAGAAAGCCATCTGCTATATTTAGGAGCTTCATTAAGACTACGTCCCAGTTTTACAGCTCCCTTGACTATAAGGTTACACCATCTCATAGGCAGGGAGTCTATCAGAAGTATGCCATCATCACATAGAACAAGGAAAAGGTTATCATAAATCTCGAAATTGGGCTCTGGCTCGGGATGCAAACATATCCGCCTTGTGGGCAATACGACACGCAAACACATCTAGATTTAAGGGTCTTGTTCCCTCGTAGAATCATCGACAAGGCCAGCTCAATTGTAGCCATCTTTTTTTTTCTGTTCCATCCTCTAAACAGACTACCACAGACTCTAAGAAGTATGGCCGCAACGGAGATGACGCCGCGTAGCGAGCTGCTCCATACAATGGAGACTTTTACTAGTGGCATTATGTGCCTTCGATGGCTGCGGCAGTCATTTTCGTAATACTCTTCCTCCTGGTCTCGCTGCTGCATAGTTGGAAGATGTACCGGCATCGAATGTGGTTCTGCATACCTTTTGTCATCGGTGGTTACCGTGAGTGCCCGTCCCTTGACCAGGGCAGCAGCTGCCAGTGTCAACTCCCTGCCCTCTCCTCGCACAAAATGGCTAACAACCTACCCACAGTCGAAGTTCTGGGTTATATCGGACGAGCTCTGGCAGTCAACCAAACTGATCAACTTGGACCATACATCCTCCAATCCGTCTTCCTCCTCATTCCGCCATTCCTTTCCGCTGCGACTATTTACATGACGCTAGGCCGGATCATCCGAGGCCTCGGACCGACTGGGGAAGCCAGCTCGTTTATCCGAGTTCGTTGGCTCACGACCATATTCGTCGTTGGCGACGCCCTTGCCTTCCTCGTCCAGGGTAGCGGTGCTGGCTATATGGCAGCCGGCTCTGATGCTAAGATGGGCGAGTACATCGTCATAGCTGGTCTGGTCATTCAAATATTATTCTTCGGCCTCTTCGTCTCCGCTGCCATTTCCTTCCATCTCCAGTACCGACGACGCACTAGCCGCGACGTTCACGAGGCCTCGTTCCCGTGGCAGTCAATACTTTGGATGCTGTACATCAACTCCGCTTTGATTTTGGCGCGTTGCCTGTTCCGTGTTGTTGAATACGGCATGGGCCAGAGCGGGTATTTGCTGCAAAACGAATGGCCTCTTTACGTCTTTGATAGTGTTTTAATGCTGGCCGTAATGGGAACCTTCTATCATCAATACCCATCTGAGATACCGGCGAGTCTAGATAACGGTCAGAAGGGAGGCAGTTCGGAGGAAGGAGGTCTGGCCATGTCCTGAATGGAGGAACATGCATACGAACTGTGAATACCATTTACGCATACAACAACATCGGCACAACGCGGTCTGTCATATAGAAAGCGCTGTTTCGACTGTACATGGGTATCAAAGTTCAAACAATAAAAATTTGGGCCCCTGTCATTTTGGAAGCCAACTGATCTCTCTCTCCCCCTCTCTCCCTGTCTGTCTCTCGTCCCTATTTTCCAGAGTCTTATTAGCCAGGACCAAATGTTTTACCTACTATTCGAGCCGGTAACTGTTATTCAGATTGTGGTTAATATACACTCTTCTATCACTCCATCCTCCCTCTCCCCGCGGATACCGGAATTTGTGCCAGCTACACTCCGGAATCATACTCATTCGATAGCTTCTGATTTCTTTTACCATGGCAACCGTCAAAGCGTTGACTCTGTCTATACTGCTTTGTATACCTGTCTGGGCATGGACTATTGACTTCGTACCTGTTGCCACCAATGGCAGCGTCACCGTTGAGAAGGTTTCGATCCCCGGGCCTGGAAGTCTCGGTGCTCCCAAGATGAATGTCACGGCAAACAAGACGTCATCGGACTGGTGGTTCGATGCGGTCCACCATTCCAAGAGATAAAACAACTGTCGAGATCGTCTTCTTCAACATGGGCAATCTACCAACCCCCCACCTGCTAGCTGTGCAAGTGACGGGTACCTTCTCGAACGGGTCCAGGTTCCACAAGACCGCCATGGCTGGCGATGGCGCGACTGTTACGAACGATGCTTCGGGTGTTCGAGGCCAGTGGAAGGGTGCAGGGGCCAACTTCTCCAGCACACCCTTTGAGGGGCCGAATTTAGTCTTCACTATCAACATGGACTCTCCAGCTATCGGAGTCCACGGGACATTTGTCCTGAAAGCAGTAAGTACTAACGGCCGACTACTAACTGATATGCGAAGCCAAGCTACCAGAGGATACTAACAGATGGGGACCCCCCACTACCCCTGTGGGCCGACATTCCAGTGGGCCAATGCTGTCCCCGATGCCAACCCAGTCGTTGACTTGACAATCGACGGTGCTCCCGTAAAGATCAACGAGGGTTGGGCCGACGTCAGCATCGTCGATGTCGCCAAGTTCTGGGACTGGGGTCATGCGCGATTCGGTCCGTACTCGATGGTCTGGTTCAACCCCCTCGACAACGATAATAAGGAGCATGGGCACGCCTACGCCCTCAGGGACGGCGAGGAGATTCTCGAGTCATGTGAAGAGGGGGTGAGCCAGGTTCGGCAGTGGGGCGCCAACGCGACGTGGCCATCCGCCGTAGGCCTCGGCGACGTCGATGGTGTTGTAGCCCGGTTCAAGCTACCGACGGGTGAGGTGCAGATTGCCAATCTGACCAAGCACATCATCGTGCTCGATGAAGTGGCCAACCAGCGCGGCAACGTGCTCATTTTGAGGAGTTCGCTTTTGGGATTGCTTTCCCCAGTTCATAGTTGCCGGTCTGTGAGGAGTAAGACGGCGAATTGTGGGCGCACCGGAGCTGGAGCGCGTGATTTTTGGGAGATTTCATAAACAGACCCTTGGCAGCTACAGAATTCATAGGACAAGAGCTAAGTTCACGAACACGAGCCGTGCTGTATAAATTATACTCTATTCTCTAAAATATATTAACGTTAACTACAAATTCACTTCATTCGTTATGCAACCTGCCGGGGGACTGGCCTAAACTCAGGCTTTAGCGTCCCAAAGCTGACGGTGGGTTTATACTCGGAATTCTTCACAGTTCCCTTCGTGCCATAATCCCAAATTGTATAAAAGTGCTTCAACAGCGCTGTCCCAAACAATGCAAACCCTTCCACGTCGCCCTGGTCGAATGGCGGCCAGCAGGCACTTTCGCGATTCGCAAAGCCTGGCACAGCCAACTCATCACCCGTCATAGTAATGATCTTCGGGTCCGCCGACGATCCTAATGTGAAGGACACTGACCAGGACGAATTGAACTCGGAGCAATCCAAGATGCGCTCGCCGTTGAGGAGCTGGGTGAAGTTCCACCCGAGCGACTCGTAGATGGGCAGCGTTTTGGATTTCGGAAGGGTGATTCGGCCGCCACCAGTGTCGAAGACAGCCCATGCGAGGTCGAGGTTGGTGGTTGTTTCTACGACCTCGTCTCCAATTGTTCTCGAGCCTGTTACGGCCTTGAAGTCGGTTCGCCATACTTGATATTCTCCATTGCTTTGCTGCAGAGGCACAGTCACGAGTTCACCCTCAACGAGCTCTTCTTCTCTCGAGGAACCCAAGGTTATCGCCCCGATCCCAGGCACGCCTCCCGTATTCCTAAGCTCAGTGCCGTAGTAAATTCCGAATTTGGGTTCGTCGAGGGCGTCCTGGGCTAGCAGCGTCTCGACAACGGTGTTTGTGTCTCCGTCGGCGATGACGGCAAATGCCATGCCCAAAAAGCCGTCGCCGGGTATATTACCCCACGAACTTGACGCCGCGGCGATGAACGTCTGGTTCCACACCGCAGATCCTATGGCGAAAACATCTTGGACTGCTGGCCCGATTGTTTGGCCGCCCAGGTAGTCGATGTATGCGTAACCTCCAGTGTAGCTACCCGTTGAAGAGGCGGACACATTATAACCGACTCGGTCGTATCTAGAAAAACGGGGAAATGTTTGGTTAATGTAAGAGGTCAATGTAAAATGCCATCTGAGCCCTTTGCAAGCCTGCGATGATACTTACCCGCTGAAATTTTGACACGTTTCAGCACAATAACTGTCAACTGCCCACGATGCCGCGCTCCCGGTATCGAACAACAGTCGATATTTCGCTGGCGGAGTGCCAACCTCGACCTCGACGACTGGCTACAACGCACGATAAAAAAAATTTAATTCCACACATTCCGAATTGAGCTTGTCCAATGTCTGTACTCACGTAGCCATTGTCAATGATGATGGGCAGCTCTATCACCGAGGCATTGCCCACGCACGCGGCGATCGCGAGCGCTCCGAGAAGACGGGTCACGGTCGACATGTTTTCGAATGCAGAGGCCAATTGTCAAAAAAGAAAGGGGAAAAAAGGCGACACATCGAAGAGAGGTTATTGGGGCATATGAGATATATATATATAAATTCTCTGGGTGATCGGCCATCGTGATCCATTTTTCATGGAAATGGCCCTGGTGCATGACTGTTCATCTCCCAGGAGTGGGAATGTCGTCGTGAATACGAAGCGTAGGGTTGATGTGGGCTCCACTCCAGCTCCCACGGAAAAGGGGCGCAGTCTCGCCGATTTGCCTCAACCAGGTTATAACCCGAGGCAACATGCTTCGTACGGACTAAAAATTAACACCAATGTTATGTTATGTCGCCGATAATACGAAGTACTCCTCGGCCATTCGAAGCTTCCTGTTGTTCCACGTCGGAGTTTGGTAGGGCACTTCGTATTTGCTCACGCCTTGCTTGCTGGAAGGTACGGAGTACTGTACTCCGTAGGGTCTTGCAGGGAGTTGAAGAGACAATGGATCTAATTGCAACCCTGTACGGGAGGCTGATATCGAAAGGCTGGTCTCGCACGACGTGTGGGGCCATGGATGTCTCAGTAGCCCACGTCCCGAAGCTGAGAGAACGGGCCGCAGAAGCGCACCCTTGACGAGGAGTCAGCATTAGCCATTCTACACGATGATGAGTTATGGTAGCGGTAAGAACCGGCGCCGCCGATTGGGGAGGTTGCGAGCGAAGGCGACATTACCGGGCTCGAGGGGTACGAATATGTGGAGGTATTAAGAGATTGAGTTTCCGGGACGCTGATTTGTTTTGCTACCACGGCACTATAGATCTGATTGTTGCTTGCTCGCTAGTCTTATATTCCACTTCTACTGAATTTAGCTGACGACCATGGCTTCTGAACCGAGGCGTCGCCTCAATCGAGCTCGATAGCGGGCCATATTAGCCTTGGGAGCTACCAGCTGATTCAACAGTCGGAGTCGGGACGGTCCTCATAGCCCGGAGAGAGCTCGCCCATATTTACACTTCTCTCTATCATGCACACACCGCTGTGTTTGCCCATGCCTTCTCCCCCCCTCCCCCCCGGTCTTCGCCCAGGCGAAAATGATATGGATTAGGCCAAACGATTAAGAGTCCTCATTTCGAAGTCATCTCCGTTGTGCCCGTCATCAAGACTAGCATCGGAGAATTGAATCCTAACCTCAGTCGTCTGGACGATTCCCCTGCTCGACTCTTTCCTTTCTTTCCTTTCGCCCCCCTCCAGAATACTTTTTCCACTTTCGCCATCCCCGCCCACGGGGCTATGTATTATAACATTTTGTATAGCGGAGTCAACGGCAGTGCTATTTCCCCCGGTGACCGATGTTCCCTTGCGACGTCTCTTGGTGTTGTTGTTGGAGAAGCTATAGTAGTGGCCCGTAGTGGCAGCGGCAGCGACGTCACGGATAAGCACGCGAAGGACGGGGATTGAGGCGGCCATGATAGTCGTGGCAACTTCGGCATTGCCCCAGATGAGGAGATCCACTCCGTCGTCTGATATTAACCAGAGATGGGTTAGTTTCCGTCGTCCAAAAGCAAGGAGCTCCATTTGAGAGATGGGAAATAGGAGTGATGAGTAACTAACAAGTGAAGTCCCCGGTTGCTAGACTGGGGATCGAAACACTCTTCATGACCGATGTGACGGCAGCGCTGAGAACAAGTTGACTATTGTTAGCCACTATCCGCTTCTACCGGCGTGAATCGTGCGTAGCTGGAAGGAGCGGATGTCCGATGCCAACTCACAAAATTCCCAGACTCATAGCCACGCTAATACCAATCTTCTCCTTGGTATCCATCTTCAAGCCCCAGATCATTTTCCACGGTAATATCGCCAATACCAGGTCCATGGCTGCCGAATATGCACCAGCGAAGGTGCTGAAATTGACAAACACATCTGAGCTGACACAATTTGTCTGGCCGGGTGACGTACACGTCGTCCATGTGAAGACGGCGACAATGGCCATCATGGAGCTGATGGTAGCTATGACGAACCAAATGACGTACCGAGGCCAGCCAATGGTGATGCGGAGTAGCGTAAGGGCGAATGAGTCTTTACTCAATATGACGCCGATAATGGCGAATGTGCCTGCAAAGTTACTGGCGAGACCCATACTGGGCAAGTCCTCGGGCTTGATAAACATAATATGTTTGCCGAAGCCCTTCCCAATATTGATGGCAGAGCAGATGGTGTCTCCTAGGAGAAGAACCTATTGAAACCCGCATCAGCCATTACGAACATGAAGGAGGAGAGGCGAATACCAGACGACAAGGCAATGCCAGAACTTACCCATGAGGCAATCAATAAGTTGTCGTCCCACCAAAGCCCGCGGTGCCTCAGAAATTTGCAGTATACCCTGAGAGCTAGGAAAAGACCGGACAATGCTATGAGGAGCCAGATAACGATCTGCACTTTCTTGCTGCGGTCTTTGGACGCCAGCTCCGCCGGGAACCCGGAATTGGCCATTTGGGGCGGATGCAATATCGCCAAATAGGGAGGGACGCGGGCGGTTGTCGACCAGATTCGGTTGGAGGAACGGTCTGCTGAAGACTGCGGGACGGATCTCTCGACCGTTGGACACCAGATGAAATTCAACGATCCAAGATATTGATTGTTTCAGAGAAACATGAAATGCTCTCCAAAGGCATCGAATTTGAATGAACCCGGACTATTGGGATACCCATTGCCTAGGTAAAACCGTCCGGACCATGGTTTATATAAAATGAAAGAAAACAGAAGATCGAGACGGAATGGTAGATCCGAAAGGCGGGGATGAGAAAAGGCTTTCGCATTTACTCCTGGAAACAGAATAGACTAGTTTAGCTAAGTAGGGGAAAAATTTCCTGAAAGAGCAGGCCTTATCTAGCCTGGTGTAGATAGCACAGGGACGGAGTTCAGTAGTCATGGGGGTGAGTTGACGTTGGCTTCATACACAAAGCCGTATCCCAGCCTAGTGCAAGGCCTTAAGGCATTCTGATCGAATTGGTCTACACACATAGCGCCGGCGAGGGGGAACGTGCGTTCGAACTAGATGTAATTGCATCGCAAGCAGGGGTTTGAGGAAAGGGGTGTACCTCGCGTCCGTCCCGGCAGTCCCGCGCCTCTGGTTCGAACCCTGCATACGGAAAATATAGGAAAAGCAAGTTTTAAATCCCTTATCGAGGTGACCTGTCACGGTGTTTAAATATCGCGGGGTGGGTTGGAGGTCTACCCAGTCATATTGTCTGGACATTTGGGATACACGGGCTGCCCGGAGGGCTAGATTAATCATGGTCAAACACGGCAACAATGGTATTCCTCAGATGTCTAGGCCATCGTGTTTGCTAGGATTATGGCAGGGGAGAGGCTCAGCTCCACATTGAGGATTGCCTATCCCAGTCACACTCGAATGAATAATGCTAGACCACCCACCCGCCTACGAAGTAGAAAGGGTAATTTGATTGACCGGTACCGGGGACCCATCGCATCCATCGGCCATTTTCAGAGAGATTTTGCCTCTCGTGGCCTTACATCCTTAATACGTACATTGTAGAACTCCTCACTCGTGGGATCTATACAGCGGTTGGTGGTGATGCTCGAGACGTTGCCTTCGGGGTGGGGTTGGAGGATCGCCGTTGTAACCCGTACACCTACTTCCTTAGTTTCATCCGCAACTCGATCCCAAGTCCTTGGTTAGGGTTCTTCGGGGACTCACGCTAAACTATACAAAGTAAGCTCAACCAAGGCATAAATTGACACCCTCGCCACCCAAGCCCCGATTTCTCAGACCTGAGATCCGATTCGACGGGGATAGAGATCAACAAGTCCTGCTAACCCTCAGGCCTCAGGGAATGTGGAGGTTTTGGTCATGCTAATTTTGAATTTGGTGTAATAATCTACTTGTGTATCGCCCAGCCCCGCGTTCGCCCCCAAAAGACACAGACCACCACGGCGCACACGGCCATACTTTAAGAATGTACTTGACCAATGGCGAAACTTCAATTGATCGGTTTCTAACACGCCCACCCGGCTTCGTTGATTTACGAAGTATATCAGTGGGGACTTTGTAAAGCGGGTTGCCTAAACGGCATTTGTCGTGGGTCTCTTGTTACAGTATGCGAGTGCTTGCGATTACTTGCTACGAACGTGGTGCGGGATACATCAAACGGTCAGTTTTACCATGCCCACTACGCGCCGGTCTCGTCCACACTGCGGAAATGTTTTCGAATTGAACATTGAACATGGAAATTTTACTTCTTGCGCCCTTCAAAGCCTGCCAGATTTCCGCGGGTCCCCACTCCTCGCGGAATCAACGACAATAAGGGCCGTTTTGTAATTGCCACTGAATTGTTAGGATGAAATGCAGACTTATTCCACTCTTTGGTAGAAAGGGCAGGCAGGTCACCTCGATCAAACGACACTTCTGGAACGTATGTATAGACAGCGCAACGTAAATTTAAATCTAATTCTTTTGTAGATATGTGGTCTATTAAAGTAGGAGTTGCCCGGCCGTCCTCATTTTAGGATACCTTCCAGCTCGAGAATGAAGAAGATGTCACATTTCTCTCACGTATAGGCGCGAGATGCGGCATCTGCCAAAGCATATGCCAACCTCTAATAGATCGGACACAACACTCCGTGAAGCCACATCTATTATCGTGTGCTGCCGTTCGTTCCGCAGTAAGCGGGCGGACCAAGTTCCTTCGTTTTTTTCTTCGTCTTTTTTTCTCTCTTTTTTTAGATTAGTTACATCTAAGTCTTATACTGTATATACACTAACCTCGTCGTGCCCCGATCAACACGCACACTACTCCACGAATCGAGATTACTCGGAGCGTTTCAAAGGCAGATCGCAATTTCTCTCGCGGCTCCGAAGGCTGATGTGGCTAATCACGGACTCGGACAGCACCTTAATGGAGTACACGGGCTTGTTAATTGTTCAAGCGATTTACTAAGAGGTGCCGAGGTATGGACTGAACGTTCGGCGGGATGAGATAATCTTCACGAAGCCACCAAGATTAGAAGACCGCACTCTTTCAACCCCTCTTCAATTACATCAAAGCTAACCACCTGGGTTACCGAGATTCAGTCGAGAATACAAAGTACCAAATACTTCATTCGATCCCCGACTAGCGCTTTGAGGGCCTGGTTTCCAGGGGGCAAATCAGGTATTTCCACCACTAGTTCCCCAATAGATCGATCGATCTCCGCGGCGCTCGGACTAGGGCGGTTGGGTCAGGCCTACTCCGTATTGCTGAGCCAGCTTCTCGGTACTTGACATTATTATCAATTGATGTGTTAGTTTTTGCCACCCAAGTGGCAGGGCACTTACGGAGTATATCAAGTATATCACATGCATCTCCCACGAGTCAAAGGTGCCAGCCGGCTGGCTTATACCTTGTGGAGCCTCCCTTCCCAAGACTATCCATGACATATTTAATTAAGAAACTCAGTCCGGCAAACTCAGTTCCGGAGGCAATTACGTTACGCTTCAATGGGGTAGTTGGACTGTGACCGGCCTTTGTTCTTATCCGTAATGAGGATTTGGGTTTTTCATCGGCTACTTGATTCCTGGGGCGGCCAAAGTACACAGGAAATCCAAGCTGCCGCATTTTCCCCTTTAGTGGAAGAGGCCGGCAACCAACGTCCTCGCTTTCCGAGACTCTGTTTCTGGGGCGAACCTGTGGCTCCATTTGAAGAATGCGGGGCGGTTGCTAGTACGTATCTGAGCAGAGAATCCGCCGCAAAAGGAGAAGCCGAAGAGCTTGTATAAGCGTAGCAATAATAGCCTATCTTCGAAGATCACAAGAACCCATTGTCTGAGAGGTGCTACAAACGCTTGTGCTAGGCTGTTCCAAGAGGCTTGGAAGATTTCTCGGGAGGAACTCCCCACGTAAAGGCGAACTGTAGGGAGTATTTCTCCCAGTTTTGTTTAATACGTAGTAAGCCTCTTGTCAATGACATACTGTAATGACACTGACTATTGGGTGGCTGCTGGGGGGCTCTTATTTGGCAGGAGTGATATGTCCAAGGATGCTTCCCCCTTGTCTGCTGTTCTGAGCGAAAACGATTGTGTGAGGGATGCAAATAGAAACAAGTCGAGATTTGAAACTATAGCCACATTTCAACCTCATTGCCCTCTAGCCAATGCGTAACATTGTAGCACTGAATGAAACCCAAGTACATAGAATAATTACCCCTCACCAGCGATTAGCACTCTGCAAAAAGCCGGTACAACCACCGACCTTCAAATCTAGCGACATCCTGTGGCTCGGTTCGACAAGCACTGAGTGGTGCAGATGGCACGGCCACCAAGCCGCAAGCCTCGCACCAGGCCCGAGTTACCGCGCGCCATCACGCATTGATTCAAAACCCTCTCGGCACCGGGAATGAGATCCCCTTGGGTCAGGCCCGAGACAACATCAGACCAGCTAGCGCAGCACTGGCTTCCGTTCTGGTTCAGGCAAACAGACCGTGGGCTGTCACCGACAATAACGGCTGCGTTACTGCGAAGGCTTCCGATGAGCTGCAGACAGGAATTTGTACTAGGGCTGTTACTTCCGTTGCACTCGACATTGCTTTCGCCGCATTGGCGTGGCTGCAGCGCACGGCTGGCGAGATCTCCGGGCGGGTACCCGTAAAACGTCAAGACAGCGCCGTCGGGCAGGACCTCGGAGCTGAGAGCGACCAGGTCGCTCTCACTGTTCTCGACCGGGATTCCCTGGGCTTGATGGACGCCCAGAGTAAGGACAAAGGCAACAACAATTTTTCGGAGAAAGACCATGGCGAACGGTTTCTATGCGTGTACTATTTTCTATAAGTGTGTTATAATGAAGATTCTATGTTAAAAAAATTAAAAATTAAAAAAAAAAAAGCCTAAAGGGGTAGGCTCACATGTGAAAATATCAAGTTGATGTTTATCAAGGGATCAGCAAGAAGACTCCTGCGTTCTCTGGTGCATATATAAGGAGCAATATATTCTCTGGTGAGGGACTCTAGTAGGCTTTGGGACGGACTCTCGTGGGCATTTTCGCTCCTTTATACTTTTCTTCTGGCTACTTTATTCTTTTGAACTCCTGATCTTAAGCGGACCATTGCCCCGTGGGGTCTGTCGAGAGGTATGCTGGTCGCATCAAGTAAAGCCAAGCCAATTCATCCAGGCTAGGAAAATCTCGTAAGCTTACACCGACGCCTCGTGAGCTTCGTACTGGCTGAGAGAAAGCTCGCTGTTGTATTTGTGATCAGTGGAATAGCCGACCCAAACAATTCGAATTTTCCAACCATGGATCTTGATTGTGAAAAGTGCCATGCAGTCAGCAAGGGTACGCGAATAATCAGCAAGTACGATCCCGCTTCTCGGACGAAAATACTGCGGCTTCGTCCGTTCCGTCTTACATCCGGAGGCGTTGAAGATGGTTCGTCCGTCGCCAGGCCTCGTCTCATCATAACCTAAATCTGATACGTCTGCACTTTGACCTTCCCAAGGCGTAATAGCAGGATCACGGGGTCGTTTACGATTCGGAATTCGAGTCAATTCACATCCGGATCGGGAAACTTTAGTTGGAAAGAAACGTATTACGAATCACTAACTATAGAAACTACGCTGTATTCTCCTCTATAAACAGGATAGCCGTGGCAGAAGTGATATTCGGGGCCACTTCTTTTGGATTTTATGATTCGAGTATTGTTGCGCTCTGGCTTTTCTTCCACTTGCTACAATATCTCACCCTTGATCGACTTGAACAATTCTCGCTTTAGCGTACAACCTTATGGATTGGGTTGAAGAGGCCCATCGGCCTTTCACGCTAATACGAATAGAAAGAAGGAATCAGATAGCATTAGAAAAGGGTAACGTATATTCATTTCCTTCAACTCCAGGTTTGAACCTCATCAATGACCCCAAGAAGATCCCCCAAAATTATCGTGTTTCATGCTAGTCATCGTCATCTTTGTAGACTCTTGCTCCAAAGCACCTTCTAGAACCTATTGGTCCTTGTCTGCAGGCACATAGTCGTTCATTCTTCCGGTTTCTGTCCATAGACAACATAGCTGCCAAATCGTCAGCTAGGAGCACAAGTGTAAGATCAAATATCAGGCATCTTACATTGGCCAATATGCATGAATCTTGAGGTCTCTCAGGTCCCGACGGACAAACGCAAGAGTGACATCGAGTTCTTCCTTGGTCCAACCGAGAACCCTGGTATACACGGCAGCACTGAGGCCCTCGAGGCCCGAATCAATATTTTCAAGGGTCCACGCCCCTAGGAGTTTTTAGTCCAAGTAAACCAGGTCAAGGTTAATGCACAGAGAGACGGCCTGGGAGAGTAAAGCCCCAAAAAGAGGTTTCTTACCTAGTTCCTTGAATTTGGGGTCTTTTGGCCACGTATTCTGAGGCCACTTGAATACGCGCTGTGTGACATTCTGAAAGCCCTGTGCTTCAAGCTGCTTTTTATACTCAAAGGCGCCGTCGAAGGGTCGGCCAATTTTCCGAGTACCGTCCAGAAGTTCCGTGACCCAGGTGGACAAATGCGTATCCTTCGTCGTACCATCATCAGAAGTGACGGGACAGATGTCACAAAGTTCGATCCAGCCGCCGGGGTTGAGATTGTCGTACGCCTGCTTGAAGAACTTGGGCCAGTCCGCGAAGGCGGCCGTCATCATGCGACTGTAGATAAAGTCAAACTTGGTATTAAAGGTCCAGTTATCTTCAAGATCGTCAATTTGGAACGAAACATTGGGCGGAATGAAGGGACTCTGGGTGGGGCTGAGGTCGACACCAATCACGGACGTATCGGGATGCTCATCCGCGAAGTCCGTAGCCCAGAGACCCGTCCCGGTGCCGACATCCAGAACATGTCGTAACTGATGCCCGTCGCGGCCCGCCGGACTGAGGTAAAGATTATTGTTGAACGTTAGGAGGAACAGGTGATGTTGCAGGTCGAGGCGCTCGTTCTCGGCGGCATCATTAGGTATCACATATTTACCATCCTTATACGCATGGTAGGTTCGGCCATTCTCTTGGCGATAACGCAGAATACTGGTAGTTATCGAGGCAGTTGAGTCTTGGCCAACGCGGAGGAAGGACTCGAATGCTGAATCTTGGTCGTCTCTAGTATCAACGTCGATCGTCTCAGGTTGAGCTACAAGAGAGCGGTCGTTCGTGTCAACTGGGGGGCTTGGGCTAGCCATCTTGAGTCGGCGTCTGTTTTGAGAAGGGGATGATCTGCGATTTTGTGAGCCTTAGTGAGCTACAGTGTACACGCAGCAAGCGATCTTCCTTGTCAGGAATCAGGATGGTGAAGGTGCCATGTCACATATCGATGCCTCGGCCTATGAGACAAATTGTGGTGCTTTCATGACCCCACATCTTCCCAACAAGGATCTTGAGGGACTTTCGTCGAAGAGGTCTGAGGATGCCAATCACGAATGCTGCCCTTGCACGTGATATCACTTGGCGTTCATCACTTCTCCTGAACCCTAACGGCTGCGCATTGGGCTCTCATCTCTCACAGAGATGCGGCGTTAATGACGGGATTTCTTCATATCGTTCGGTCATGTAAGTCGGAGGTTATCGTCTTTGCGATTCTGGGATGGGAGCCATTGGGAATGTGGTATGATATCCGCCGCAAAACGAGTTGCTAGTTTAGTTCCCGCCTCCTTAGTCCTTGCTTAGCGTCGCATGATGCGTAGGGGCAGGGCTGGTCCACCAGCTCTCTAGCTCTCTGAGATCTTTCGCGCCTGGGTCCTAGATATTCTTCAATCAACGGGCGTGAATAATTCCTGAGGAAGGTTGTTCAAAAAAGCGGTCCAGAGTCCATGGCTCTCCGCGACCGAAGAACTAATGGCCGGCGTTCACTGCCGTCGAGGACGCAGTGGAGAATCAACGGTGCGTCAACCAAGAAATCTAACATAGGAAGCTGGTTGGTGCTGATGCAGTGCTCAGATGCGATTGGCTTGTGCCTTGAACCAATTGTGCAGGGTCAGTGTTCTCAAAACACACAACCCACGGCTTTTTGTACTATTTTAGCGTCATCTTTGTGTTTCATTTTCAGGATGCCCCGTTTCTAAGATGATGTGGTGGTGGCCCACTCGGACGGCTAGACAAAGTACGACAGAGTCTTTCCCGTTGCTACACAGTTAACTTCTGTATCTCAACTCGAGATTCATATCAAAGGATGCCGGGCGACTGTGGTCGGGAGCAAAATGATAGCATTGAAGTGACAAGCGCCTGGTTGGAAAAGGAACATTCCCGGAGAGTTAGAGTGGAGATGTAACGGTGACTGACCATCAAGAAAAGTGATCTACAGGCGTCGAGATCGCCTAGATTTTTCGGGGGTGATCGTCGATAACCCTTAATGTAACCCTACCACTTCGGGCCCTAAGACTCCCGCGAGGCCGCCCTGCAAACCTCGTCCGAGCCCTAAAACTTCGTATCCAAGCTTCACACGAAGCACAGGCGCTCCGTGGACCCATGCTCTGGTCGTCTCCGACGAATCCTGGTTTGCTCTAGACCTCGAAGATCTAGAAGCTCCATTCCAGGGATTCTTATTGTTTTTCCCTCCTCGGGCAAACAACAAAAGTACTAGGGGACCGGGCGCGGGAGTTCGTAGATCTCGGTTTTGAAACGGATGCACTGCCCGTCTCTCGGCTTTCACCACGCAGGACTCGCCGCACTTGGGGTACAGCCACGGTGCTGGAGAAGATGCGATTGGCCGCCTCCCCTGTGAGTCCCGAGCCTCAGCTCCATCGTTCGTTAAGCTATGATTTGTAAACTACGTTTCAAGTGCCTGGTGTAGCTATTTTCGACACCTGAGCTTCGGAGCAAGAACTAAACACGAACGTGAGACGAGCGTCGAGATCGTGAAGCGCGGCCTTGCTGCCATGTTCTGGGCCATTTCTAGGAAGAGCAACGATGTATAAAAAGTCAAGCTTCCCCCCTCAGTTCTGGCTTCCTTCCCCTTCCTCATCACGCTCCCCAGAACATCAAGCGCAGGCTCCTTCCTTCTCCCGTTTTCCTACGTCCTTTTTTCCTTTCACTTTCGCTTCTCAACACTAAAGCCCAGGCGGCTCTTTCAGTCTAATTTACTCTGCTTCTCGGCCATTTTTTTTTTCTTGTCATTTCCACTACTCAAACGTTCAACATGCACTACTCACTCCCTCTCGTTGCTGCCCTGGCCAGCATTGCCTCGGCCCACGGCGTCGTGACCTCCATCCAGGGCGCCAACGGCGTCTCCATGCCCGGCCTCTCCATCGCTGATGGTACCCCTCGTGACTGCAGCACCAACAGCTGTGGTTCCCAAGCCGACACCTCCATCATCCGAGACCGCGAGATTAACTCCGGTGAATGCGGCCCTCTCGGTCGCACCCAGGGCAACGGCCCCGTCTCGGCCGAGACCATGATTCGCAACTTCATGGGCGAGGGCGCCGCCCCAAGGAACGATGGCGCCAGCGAGTCCGTCGGCGTCGAGGATGACATCCCCAACAACATCAACCAGAGGAAGAGGCACCAGAGGCGCCAACTCGGTGGTGTTCTCGGCGGCCTTGTTAATGACTTGACTGGCACCGGCCAGGACAGCAAGGGCGGCGCTCTCGGTGGTCTTCTTGGCGGCTTGACTGGTGGTGGCAATGGCGCTACTGGAATCGGCGGCCTCCTTGGTGGAGGTGGCGATAAGAGCAATGGCCCTCCTGAGTCGAGCGTTGCTGCCAGCGCTGGAGTTGGTGCCACCGAGGGTCTTCCTACCTGTGCCGATGATGGTACCATCACCATGACTTACCGCCAGGTATGTTAACTCCAACCTTACCCGCCCTTAAAGTGTCTCAGAAAGGCTAACAGTCAAATAGATCAACCAGGATGGTGCTGGCCCTCTCAGGGCCTCTGTCGACGGCACCTCCGGCGGCACTGACGCCAACGCCTTCCAGACCGCCGAGGTCACCCAGGATGTCCCAGGCCTCGGTATCCAGGGTCTCTCCCTCGCCACCAACACTGAATTCCCTCTCAAGGTCCGCATGCCCGAGGGCATGACCTGCGACGCCACTGTCGCCGGTGTCGAAAACGTCTGCGTCGTTCGTGTCCGCAACGGTGCTGCTGCTGGTCCCTTTGGCGGATCTGCTGCCTTCACCCAGTCTCCTGCCGCGAGGAAGCGAGCTATTGCTTTCAGGCTCAAGAAGCGGATGGAATTCAATAACCGCTCTTAAGTGGATAGTCCATATTGCTAGAGATTGCGGTTTATTCGAGGAACAAAATTGCGAAATAGGGAAGCTAGTGTTAGTTATATTGTCGATAGATTTGACGATCTCGCCGTAGTGGTTCATTTGTCTTGGAAAAATGGCCGCGACAGTTGCAGTTGTATAATAGCTTTGAATTTTATCCTATTTTTCCATCTGATCATCATCACTGCTTTGCCTCGATCTTTTCGCGACGATGCGGCTTGTTCGTTCTTTCGAACGATTCGCTGTCGAGGCAGGAGTTCCGTTCTGGTCGAGCCTTCCTTGATTCCTCCAGTCGGCTAAGGGACATCGTCTGCAGCTCCTCGACCCCAGGGCAAGATACCCGGACTTGACAGTAGACCTCAATAAGCGGCCCCCCTCTAAGGCCCACCCATTACCGTAGGAAACGAAATCTGACCGAACGCTACGTATCAGAAGCCTCCCATACCCCTAGATGAGATGGGTGTGAGGCTTCTGCATCACAATTGATACCTCCTGTCTGAGCTGAATCAATATGCTTGGGTTTCGTTTCCCCTCGCGGGCGGACACGCGACCAAACGAGGATGCCGAGGTTCGCGACAAAAGCGGGGAGAAAAGGTGCCTGCGTAGTTAGAGTCAACGTGGACTCGGGGGCATGATGGGGTCGAACTTCGAGGAAACGAAGGAGATTTTATGGAAGAAAAAAAGTGACAATGGAGGGAATTCAGGCCGAGGTGGGTCGCGGCTTGATAGGGAGTCAAATGATTTGGCTCGAGTAAAAATCTCGGGCCGTCCTTCCCAGTCCAGAATCCCAGATCCGTCAGATTGTAGGTGCCCGAAGACTAAGCCTCACGAGACCGTCTCTAATTGATAAGATGGTTTCAAACTAAAAAGTCTTTGCTATTGGGGAGCTATCGCCAGACCTTGTCCACCTCTTGGAATTAGTGCAGATTATGAGTAGTGGTTACGAACAAGGTTGTCTAGAAATACAAGGCCTAGAATCGGAAAAGAATTCAGGCAGAGGGGATGGAAAAGAAAGTAAGGCAGAAGAAACAAGCCAAGCACAGAAAAACAAAAAACCAGAAGACCTAAACCGAACCAAAAGCAACAAATGCAAATCCCTAATCTAAAAGACACCCTTTATCCATGAAAAGACGAAATTCAAGCATCAACCGGCGCCGCAACAATGCTGAACTGACCACCAGCACCACTCCACGTCAACTTCTTTCCCTTCACGCGCTCCTTGGGAATCTGCTGGAATGTATCGATGTCATCGTACGAGCCAAGACCGAGCTGGCCCTGGGTTCCGAATCCAGTACTGTAGGCGACACCCTCGGAGTTGACGATGATGGTGTGCTCCGTACCGCAGCCGACGTGGACGGCGGAGCCAACCTCTGGGACCTCAGTGGGCCGGAGGCAGATACGGGGCTTCTCGCGATCATCGAGACGGACGAGCTTGGGGTCCTTGATCTGGGCATCAGTGAACTTAATGCCGAGCTGGCCACCGTCGATACGGCCCCAGATATAGCACTTGCCGTCCTGGGTAACGGCGGCAGAATGATGGGCACCGCCGCCTAGGGAGGTGACGTTCTTGCCCGAAAGCGAAGCGACCTTCATCGGAGTGGAAACAGCGCCGTTGTCCTTTCCAGCTGTCTTCGCGTAACCGGTCTGGCCAAAGCTGTTCAAACCCCACTGCAATGGCTCGGGTTAGCACATGCCCATCGAGAAATGGGAAATGGGGAAGAGGGACGAAATCCAAACGTACCGACCAGACGTTATCGTGGGTATCGACGACGAAGCTATGGAAGTGGCCGGACGAGATGTACTTGGCCTTGCCCTCCAGCGTGTGAATGGGCTGTGGCATGAAGGCCCTGGTGCGCTGTCGCCGGGAGGCGACGCGGCGGCCGAGCTGACTCTGCTCACCAACCCCCCAGGCATAGGCAGTGCCGTGGCTATCAAGAGCGAGAGCGTGATTCGCTCCACATGTAATCTGGACAACGTCCGTGAGGCCAGGGATAAGAATTGGCGTTGGCTGCACCTTAATCTCGTTGCCTTCTTCGTCGAATCCGAACATTTTATCGCCCTTGCTGTCCTAGTACGCGAGTTTCGTGTTAGAATCAAGTTGGCGAGAAGCTTAGGGAACAGTCAAATTTCAACTCACGGTAAAAGTACCCCAGCCATAAACGCGGCCGTCCTCGGTGAGAGCTAAACTGCAACTATCGCCGGCGGCGACCTGGGTGAAGACGGTACCCTTGGGGAACACGTTCGAGGGGATGGCGGTGGGAGTGGACTCTTTGGGATTCAAATCTCCCGTCTCGGAATCATCATCCGAACCCTCATCGGCATCGCGCAAACCACCTTCCCAGTTGGTGTCGCGGCCGAGAGCACCGTTGTCGTTGACACCCCAGGTGACAATCTTGTTATCCTTGGTCAGGGCAATCGTGTGCATACCTCCGCAGAAAATATCAACAACGTGAAAGCTCTTCGCGTCGCCCGTGTTGAGGGCAGGAATGAGACGCGGTCGCGTCGCCTCAGTCTTGACAGGGCCGAGACCAAGCTCGCCATTCTCGCCAGTTCCGAACACGAAAATATCGAGCACTTGAGCAGGCGTCTTGTTCAGAGGACCAGCTGGCACAACAACTTCCTCAACCTCATGCTTGACGGCACGGGCTCGCTTCGTAGGACGGCCAGCGGGGGCTAGATTCTCTTTATCTTCTTCCTCCTCGGGGGAGGCTGCCTTTCGCTTCTTCGACGCGGCGGGCTTCTCGGGGGCGGGCTTCGCCTTAGGGGGTGCTATCGAGCATGACGCGCGTCAGCAAATGATCACAGACCGAAATGGGGCAGCGACCTAAGAATCAATTGACTTACCAACAGGTTTGGCCTTCGCAGCGGTGGCTGTCTTGGTTGGCTTGGCCACCTTGGTTACCTTGGTTACCTTGGACGTGGTGGTCTTGGTGATCTTGGATGGCGCCGCCTTGGTGGTCGCGGATTTAGTGGCGGCGGCTTTCGACGTCGCCGTCTTCGTAGCAGCCGCCTTCGTAGGGGTCTTTGCCGTAGCTTTTGTAGTAGATTTGATAGTGGAGGCCTTGGCCTTCGTGGTAGTGACAGACGCTTTCGTCGTCGTAGATTTCTTGCCAGAGGCCTGGGCAGCCTTGGCGGCAGGTTTCTTCGGAGGCATTTTGGTCAAGAGAACGTGACGAGGGCAGTTTCTGATGCTTAGATCGTTGGTTCTTTGGATAGAGAAGACACGGGGGAAGATGGAAAGAGGGTTTGATATGAATCGAGAATGGTGTAGTTTGCGCGTGTGGTGGTTGTGTTGTGTGCGAGGAAAAGATTTCAAGCTCTAGAAAAGCTGTGCACTTCCTGTCGTGTTGGGTCCAGCTGTTTTTTTCCCTCCCGAAAGGAGTGAAGTACTGATGTAGAAAAGATACTAGCTTCTTGCGTCGGACGCGCTGGTGCCCAATCAGCTCACTTTGTGGGCTTCGTGGTCACTCACGTTTTTGGGTTTAGTGGCATGACAATTGCACTGGAGTGGTGACGAGGCCGGTCTGCCAAGGGAGGATATGCCTCAGGGTAGGTTGTATTGGTAGTTATTTTCAATGTTGCCAATTGAGGTGACTTTGAATCGGTCTCAGGGTTCAATCGAGTCTTTTATTGATGGATCAATTGATGTTAAGACCAGAAGAGATCCCAATCAATACGATGCTGCAGGGGAAGAGGGTCTGCCAGGTACTTCTGCCAGGTGTTCCGTGTTCCCGCCAGGTGCTCCGCCGATATTTTGCCCAGCCCTGACCATGACCTCACTCAGCCAGGGAGGGGAGGACCGCCCAGGAGGCACCAGTGGACTCATGGTACCGCAGCTGAGAAGAAGGTTGTACTCCAACCAAAATCCCGCGCGTGGGTTTTTGGGGACAAGCCTTCATACGCGTCGCGCATGGCGTCGATCAAAGCTTGACTCGATTACCTTAGTTCACTACGAAGTGAGTTAGACTGTCAGAGCTTCGACGTGATCTCGAAAGGCACTTGTACTATAATCATACAATCGAGTTTCGTCATCTGAGATCCCGACCTTGAGGTATTATTTCGCGGTCGCGTTAAGTCGCCCACGTTCATAATTCCGTATTGCTTTTCTCCCAATTTCTTTTCTTATTTTTAATGGGACGCGATTGAAAGAACAAGAACAGTCAACAGTCATGGAGAGCGGATGACTCCTCGGCTCCGTGACTTCGCCAGGACCCACGGATTGGATCGCAACGACTCTCCCTTTCTCGATCCTGGGATCAATCGCGGGAAAAAATTAAAAATTAAAAATTAAAAATTTAAAAAAATAAAAAAAAAAATTAAAAAAAAAAAAAAATTAAAAAAACCGGTATTCCGCCACAACTCTCCCGATTTTACGCCAGTAAATTTTGTATTATTATTTTATTTGTTTATTTTATTTTCCTTCCCTTCTTCTTGCCTTTCCTTGATTTTTTTCTTCTTTTTTTCGGGAAGGTGGAATCACGAAGACGAAGTACTTCACTCATCGAGTCACCGGAACAGGAACGTTTCGGGGCGTCTTGAGTCTACATTCGGTCAATTTTTAGGGATTTGCCGAAGGATTTGGTCGTTATATACATTGAACAAGGCCAAGTGATAATGTTCAAAAGAAGTCTTGACGAAGAGTACATTGCTGCATATCCCGGATATGCCTTCGGGGTCCATCAATCCACCCAGACTGTCAAAAGTCCTGATTCGAACGGGGCAATTTGTTCTGTTCGGATAATCCACGTTAGTTACCCTCCGTGACCTCCCCATAAAATCCCTAGTGATGCACTCACATTCTCGAAATCTATGGCTGAGCGGGAGCCCCCTCGTCAGGATTATCAGGCTCAAGATCCCCGTTGTCTGCGGGCTGGTCGGGAACGACGAGACCTTCGAAGCAGTCGATGTCGTTGAAAAGGTAAGGGCTGGAATCCATGACGGTCACGTTGTCTTCCACCGGAACGTCATAAAGCAAGCAGGTACCGTCGCCGAAAGCGAGACTCCTGCATCCCTCGGTGGACGCGCAGAGCTGGGCGCAGTCCTGGATGTCGGCTGTCACCTCCTCATCTTGACGGGCGATGAAGGCAGGATTGGTTCCCTTGTCGTAGCCGATGACCTCGCAGTTAGACTCCTCCTGCTCCTGGGCAGTGGCGGTGGCGATGAATGCCACGAGCAACGTGAGCGTGGCGTAGGAGCGCATGGTGGCAGATGGCAGAGTTTTTGATTTGATCTTTCTCGAGTCTCAGATGTCCGGCGAGAGAAGAAAGAAAAACGGATCGGGATTGAGGATTGTCAGGAACTTGGAAAGAGCACTCCAGGACATGGAGGGGGAATCTGGAATGGATATTTATTTATCTCGCTTCTCACCTCCGCTCCGGACCTCATCATCTCCGTTATTCTAGTACAGGCCGAAGAGCCTTCGCTGGGGAAAGTTCCGTGCTTCCCTCGGGTAATAATGAAAACTGGCAACCTTGATGTCAATGAATCCGGAATCCATGACTCGCTCTGTTACCGGATAATCAATTCCACTTCCTGTTCTGATCTACACATATTTTAATATGGTTGAATGGGCGAATTACGCAGTCGGTGTCTTTTGTCAGGAACCACGGCTGTTAATCGCCAGGACGGAACCACATTTCCTCTTGCTACTTTTACGCTTCGGCACGGGGATCTAATTATTGGACACTCACACGTCAAATTCTATACATGCTCCCAAGGCTCGAACGGCGACGGCAAACTTGGCGCCGCAGACTGGAGGCGCCTTGCCCTAACTGCGCCACCCCTAGGGGCAGGCACAAAAGGAAGAGCAAGATCGGCCTCCTTCACCTCATTCGGAAGTCACCATTGCGTTTCTGTGGATCCTACCTTGGAGCAATTCTTGCTTTCGGCGTGCGGGGGTTTCGGCACCAAGTTATTTCGCATAGAGTAGATGACGAAGCCGGCGACCGGCGATCCCGCCACCAACATATATTCGACAACCCGGATATATGACCCTTATAGCGCGGCCCTTCTAACTCTTACAAGAGGCAAAGACGAAAACGGCTAGATCGGGCGGCGAAAAGTATGTGCGCTTCCCTTCTGTCATCTTCCGTCTCATATAACTTCCGGTATATTGCCAAGGCTAAGTAGATTAAGAACGCGGCCGAAGTTTCGAGATCGACGAAAAGGCACGCAAGTCTCATTCCCCCATAATAGTCTGACATCTCCCCCAAACGAAATCAAATGGGACGGGGATCGCCCGGCCGTCAGTCACCTTTTACCGAGATGAGGGCGGGAAAACCAGGTCGGACCCCACGCTGCTGGATCTCTGACTACAGTTGAGAACAAAAAAGAGTATCACATTAACATCTATTATAAGCGGCCCCTCAGGCAGGTCCTTAAGCTCGCTCTTGGAGCGCTATATTCCATTCGCTCGTCTGTCGAGGATCGGCAGATGTGGGTCTTCTAGAACCTTGGTGGCCACCGCAGAGCAAATTGAACCCGTATCAAACACGAATATGACAATCAAGAGTCAAAGCGACCCAGCTCGGTATATTCTTTTCCGACGCGGCAGTTCGAATGGAGCTAGAGTAAGGCTGCCTGATGTAGCTCAAAGAGACACGGCCAGGCACACATGTTCAAACTGAATATACTCACCCGAGAATATCACGTCTTGTTTTGGTCACTGTCATTAGCCTGAGTAAGGTGGGAGCTGATCCGTCAAGAAATGTGCACCTCAAGCGGTGGGCAAGAGTCCATGGTCTATCAAAATATAAAGGTCTGTCGGTTTGTTTTATCGAGAATGCTCTTTAAATCGGCTAACATTGTCAGAGATCTCGGCGCAGCGAGGCTCGTTCGGCAAGGATACTACCCACAGTGTCCAAGTCATCCTGGTGTATGAAACTATTAAAGAAAAATGAAGTAGTGTTGATGCGTGGCAATAAAACACACCTACTTCTTCATTGTGTAGTTATGACGAAAGGCACAACTTCCCGTACCGCCCCCGCCCCCTAGATTCTCCTAAAAACAATAGAATTCACTCCGTACGGGTTCTTTCGTCGTCGTGCCAGCCGTCATGGCATTTCTCATTGCCAAATCCAGTCAGCACTGCAGTCTTCATTACATTGAATCTTGCAGCAAATCTTGCAGCAATGTCCGACAAATCTGCTTCTCAGGCCGGGGAGAAGGGGAAGTTTCAACCCGTCTCGTATAAACAATCTCAAAGCCTTCCAGGGTATGTTGCGAAACGAATTGATCCTCAGTTACTCGTTTGGGCGGCTTGAATTAACATCGTTTAATCTAGTCTTGAGCGGGAGATGAAGCCGACGAGCGAATCCACGGCACTTGAGGGAAGTGGAGAGTTCCACGAATATGCAGCGGCTGGAAAGTTGAAGGACCGCAAGGCCATCATCACAGGCGGAGAGTAAGTAGAATTGTGTATGAATCAATATGCGGAATCTCGAACCTGGCATGCGACTGGCCTAACTGCTTCCATTTGTCTTCCAGCTCCGGAATTGGTCGAGCTGTTGCCGTTCTTTTCGCTCGCGAAGGTGCCGACATCAGCATCGTATATCTCCCAGAAGAGCAACCTGATGCTGAAGATACAAAGAAAATGGTGGAGAAGGAGGGCCGACAGTGCTTGTTGATAGCGGGGGACCTTATGGACAACAGAAATTGCCAGAATGCTGTGTCAAAGCATGTCGAAACGTGGGTGTTCTATCTGATCCTTATGGAGGATGAAAGTCGAAGCTGATGGCTCTCTTACGAATTCAGATACGGCGAGGTTAACATTCTGGTGAACAATGCCGCGAAGCAGATCAAGTGTCCAGACTTCGCGGATATCGACCTCGAAAACGTGGAGAGCACGTTCCGAAGCAATGTCCTCCAAATGTTTGCCATGACCAAGTATTCCATTCCACATATGCCCCGGGGCTCAGCGTAAGTGTCCGAGCTACAATCGTATTGACTCCACTCATCATACTAACGATTAGGATTAGTATCATCAACACGACCTCAACGGTGGCTTTCCGAGGCACACCCTCCATGGTCGACTACTCCGCCACCAAAGGCGCTATCGTCTCTTTCACTAGGGCACTGGCCCAGAACCTCCTTCCCAAAGGCATTCGCGTCAACGCTGTGGCTCCAGGGCCGGTCCACACGCCACTTCAGCCCGCTTCCCGGTCTGCCGAGGAGATGGAAATCTTTGGTTCGAAGTCCAAGGTCGGCAGGGTTGGCCAGCCGAGTGAGGTCGCGCCAAGTTTTGTGTTCCTAGGATCTAGGGACTCAGAGCTGTATTATGGCCAGGTCCTCAAAGCCTTCCCTATCGGGGATTGAATCATTGGCTTTGTGTATATTCTGTCCTGTAGATTAGGTGCCAGTAAGAAGGTATAAGGTAGACTGCCTGAAAGACAAGATGTTTGGTAAAATCAGCCAAGTGCATACATAGAAATGATCCCTAGTTTCTTCTATGATCTCTAGTTTCAAACCGGTGCAATTGTCCGCAGTACCCACCCCCTTCCATATTCTTCCACATAACAGCCAGCTTCCATGGGAAATAAGACGAAGGACAGCTATATTCTCCGTCAAGATGTATCGTTGCGGTTCGAGTCTCACACTACAGCATCGTCTAGATCAAAGCCATAGATTGTTTATTAATCAAGACTGTAGCTATCCACCCTCTGTCCTTCACCGTGACTGGGATTATCCAACAGCATACCCAAGTGGCACCGGTTCTTTCAGCCGCTCCATGTACAACCCCGGTCTTGTCCTTCTCCTACCCGACTGTGCTTCCATCCGTAATCGTGGTCACCTCATGGCTGTTTGCTGAGATGGCCGCTTACCCAAGGACATCGGCGCAGATCTGCTCGACCTCGAGGAGGACATTGACTGGAATATACCGTTAGCACCTTGTCAAAGACTGGAGGAGAGGTATTAACGTACGGGCGGGGATAAGACCACCGCAAGCAGCAACAACACAGTCAGTAGCGGCAGCGCGGATAGCAGCCATGTTGGCGGGCTGGCAACCGCAGGCCCAGTCGCCAACGTTGCAGTCGCTGGCAGCGACAGTAGCCTCGTCGAGGCAGACCTGAGCCTTACCGCCGCATTGGGTGATCACCTGGGCCGAGGTGGCCGCGGCGAGAGTGAGAGTGGCGATGGAGAACTTCATTTTGAAGGTGCTTTGGAGGGTTCTTGAGAACAGAAGATGTAAGGTGCTTTGAATGCTTGACTGAGAAGTTGTGGAAGTCTTTGGTTGAGTAGAGAGAAGAAGAGAGAGGAAGAGAGAGGGTAGAATTGTGTCTTTATATACGCGAAGATGACCACCGGAAACACCTTTCCTCGGCCCACATGCCTCGAAATATCTTGCGACCTCGCCGACTACACGACGACGTAGCAAAATGGGAAGAGTCCATCGATGGTCTGGGGATATGCGTCAACGTGTAATCTTAGCTGAGTATTACAGGGGTTGTGGAGAGCCGTCAATACATCATGTGGACGGTGTCCGCTGGCGCCGGCATTTCTTCACGACCATGCCCCTGTTTCCCCAGACTATAATTTGCTGTTTTGTTAATACTTGGCTCTCTGTTTTCTAATTCGGCCTTATGCTGTGTATGCTCTTCTCCGTAGTAGAGTATAAGTCATAGACTCCCGTCTCGACAGGAGTAGAGGCTCAGTATTCTCATCGCTATATCACTTTGGATAATAGCCCACACCGCGTTGTACCCCATTGACTTTTCGGACAGGCTAGTTCAATGGGCGTACGGTGAAGTTGCAATTCAGCAAGAAAATGCACATGCCAATCCGTTATTGAAGTTCTTGACGACTTCCGAGGCTCGAGGACGGACGTGCCTGGGCCCTGGCCCCAAAAGTCCTGCCGTTGGCGTCACATCCTAACTCCTTGAACGGGCAGGTCATATTAATAGAGATGCTATAGGTGAAAGGGCGAAGCGGCCTTTCATGAAGTGTGGTTCGCATAGCTGTCGGCTAAGCGGGGAATGAGAAACCTGGGGAAATGCGGGATTGGAGGAGAACCTGCAGCCCAATTTCGTGTTTACTGAGCAAGATCCTCTTTCCACTAGCTCATTCCCCGCGATTGTGCCCATGCTCTGCATTGAGGCGGGAGCTATAACAGCTGGTGATAAACGCCACAATCTCCATCTTGCTGTGGGGTACTGACACCCAAGGCGGACTCACCTTCTTAAAACGGGGTGGGATCCTACAGCACGATGGCACGGGCGTTCTGGCGTTTCTTCGATGGCAATCAGTTGTGTAGTATTCGGCTGCGCCCTAGTCAGAATACAACCTCATCGGGGGACCACATAAGGCCAACCTCCCTGTGTGTAAGGGACAGTTACGAGTCATGAACACGACGACATTCAATGAATGACTTCCTAGCAAACGAGGATTGTCAATAAAATTAACAACTCCGTGCATAGGCACCTGACGTAGACGTGCTCTCATGCAGTAAACATCATTGGCTAAGAATCTCTAGACGGTTTAACAGTCAACTGAACGATACATAAATCGGGCCCATTGAGGGATAATAGTGTCGAGTATCTAGTTTCGACCAAAGCTCGAGAGTTGTCCAGACATTCAGCTGATAGTTCCCTTCCAGCGGCTGGAACAAGAAATCGCTGATATAAGTTGCTGGATAACTGGCTCACTGAGGAAATATACGTATGATCCTACGTTTACGTACTGCGAGTGTGAGAAACAAGTGTATTGTGTCATTGGTTTCATCAAAGTTCTTTAGCTACCCGACAAATGGAGGTCTTTTGTGTTTACTGCTACGTTCCTCTGACACAATATATGTGAGGCATTTTTGAAATTGACTCGGATACAGGATTTCCGATTCTGACAACTCTGGAAGTTCGGCGAGAGCAAACGGGGAGGGCGAATGGTCCCGGCCTTCATTCCTCTCCACTCTCTCCGGCCTCTCCCGAGACCCACCACATGGGTACTGGCTGTGGTCCCACGCCCCATCTTCAGGACAAGGTATAGCTGTCAGCTTTTCGATAAATGACAAGTGCTTACTTTTCTCCTTCTCTCCCTGTGACTCTTTCGACTCGGGGTTAGAAAATAGAGAAACAACAAGCGGCACGCTCTTCAGCCACAGCCAAATTCGCCCATATCACTAAGGCGCCTGCTCTGGATTGTTGGGTACACCCCATGTGAGATGGCTATGGAGAACTTGAATGACGTCTAAACCGATCTGAATGAAGTGAGGCTTTCTCAAAGTTTAGTTTCCGCTCATAGATGCGTCCCTGTGGCGTCAATACCTTTATAATTTATCCTAGTCGCAGTCCCTTTCGCGCCCCAACTCTTTTGCAGGTTGATATGTTGATAACAATACAAAACGGACCTCTGACCTGTCAGAGACACGTCACTCCCACGTCTCCTATGCTCATGATGCCATGTTAATCACGGAGCCTAATCTGCTACGATGAGCTGGAACTTACATCAACATCACTCTGTCACATGGGATAGCGATCTATCAATTGTATATGACATGCGGACGGATCTGGCCTCGAAATAGTATAAATGGACGAGGTCTTATTTTTCTATTCCTTCAGATATCTATGTTTCTGTCAACGAAGATTTTAACGCCGACCAAGGTAAAACTCGCACTTACATTTCACGACCGCTTTCATCGAAGAAAATTCAAACGCCGCACTCATGGCCGACAGGAACCCTGGCAATTTTGCCAACTGGTTAGGGAATCTCCCTTGACTCAGTTTTCAAGCCTAATTAACTAACTGCTTTCGGCTCTAGGCCCAAGGAGGACCTGAAGGAGACTGCTTCCAAGGGGGGTCAATCCAGCCACAGTGGAGGCTTCGCCAGCATGGACCCTGATAAGCAGGTTTGTTTCCTCTCCTCCTCACGCTCACCCCTTTCCATGATTATCTAGTTAACACGGGTGTATAGCGAGACATCGCTTCCAAGGGCGGCCAGGCATCTAGTGGATCTTTCGAAAAGGGAAGTGAGAGAGCCAGAGAGGCTGGTCGCAAGGGAGGTTCGAAACACCAGAGTTCACCTGAGGATATTTAATGGGCAAGGCCCGATGTCGCTGTAGCTTGTAAGGGTGAGGGGAAGAAGTATCATCTGAAGTTCCATCGAACAACTAGAGGTAGTAATTAACATAGTAACGGCTCACAGAATAGCCGTGTCCGAAGCCGCTTCCGCCGCCGCATTCAGCTTCTTCAGTGACCTGGCGATATTCTCTCGGGCCGCCTTTTCATATCCATCTCTAAACACCGCTGAATAGAAGATAAAAGGTCGTTGTAGAAACGACCTTAGTACATCTGATCGCCCCTTTCTCCACCCCTCTTGGCTAACCCAGGCATACTCTTCCCGCACCGCCGCCTCGTATTTCTCAAATGCCTCCTCCTCAGCACCTAGTATACTCAAATCCATGTCAAGGAACATTTCCGCATCCGATACAAATCGGGCATCGGTGAATTGTGGAACCGTGTGAGTTGCCGTCGCTTCAATCATGGTACATATGCGGTCGACACGTTCGCGGTCGAGAGGAGGATCCGTGCTGCTTAGCCGCGATAGTGCGAGCTCGGCACTCTTGGTCTCATTATCGGTGGCTTTCGCGTCGTATATCGCATCGTGAAACCAGATGGCTGCCTCGATTGCGTCCGGATCTGCAAGGACGCCTCTGTGCTGTCGGAGAAGCTCAAGGAGGGAGTTCACATGGCCGAGGTTGTGGTATTTCCGATCCTTGGACGAATAGAGTATCTTTAACTCCGTTAAAGTCTGAACGTTAAGGAGAGCCGCCATGATTCTGATTCTGATGACGCTTGGCTCAGCTTGTGTGAATGGGAAGACCATCAGCCGCACGACTTCGTGTATTAGGGTCCTACGGCCCCTTCAATTGCATTGCCCCGCACACCGATACCGTAGATATCGTATAGCTCCATGGTCAAAAGTCCCGTGTCCAGGTCTTTGGAAGTTTTGGAAGAGGAAGAAGATCGCAACTAAATAACTTATTCAAAGAGAAACCAAGTTCCCTCCAACATGCCGGGCCGGAATGGGCGCGTAATAAAATTTTCCGTTTTCTTGATAAATCCGACGCGTTGGCCTCAGTAATCCTCACTTCCAGAACTACTACTCAAGGTTGAACTATCCCAAGACTTGTTCTCTCTCAACCGAGCATATTGCATTAAAGCCCGGAAAATGCAAAGCGCAATCCCAAGAGCTAATACCACGGCAATGCAAGCAGTCGCCGCCGTCTTGACTCCAGAGCCAAGCGACGATGTCCAGATAGGGCCAATTGCAGCTCCACCAACAGCTATTAAGGCGAGGGGCAGCAGAACACCGCTGATCAGTATACTTTTACTTTCCCCCCAAAGGCTCACCACGTTTTGGTACATTTGGCGCATTAAGTTGACGATTTTCTCTAAGTTGAAGGCGATAAAGACAAGAGGTATGCACAAGGCGGCGCCAACCGTAACTGTTTGGAGCAATCTTTAGTTAATAACGATGCGGTTTGCGTGAAATGATGGGCAGGCCGATACATACATAGAAACGTCAAAAAGTAGCCGAGAGGTAGCCTGCCGTCGGCTGATTGAGGAAGCGAATCAAGATTAATGGCGAAAACAGCGGCAAGAAAGGACGAAGGGAGCTGTATGGCGTGTGAGTAGCTGTTCCCGTTAAGAATCCGGCTTCGAAGAACCACTCACAAAGATGATCGTTACCACGGTAAAGACCATTAAGGTCTTACCCTGCCTGCCGCTCTCCAAAGCCTGGTCGGCCATCATAGTTTGTATCCTCGTCGAAGCTCTGGCCTGTTCAGCCGTGTTTTCTGCTTGCTTACGTGCCGACAGTACCTCCAAGAAGTTGGCTTGCTTCTGCTTGAGGTCGATAAGGTTAATCAGCTGCGGGAGGATGTAAATGGTTAGCTTGCTTCACTCATTCGATTTAAAAAAAGTCGGACCGAGGCATAAGTCGAGATTGAACTCACAGAATCTTTGGTGTTCTTCACTAATTTTTCCATGGTTTGGATCCGATGGTCGTGAGTAGCAGACACTCTGTTCTCTTCCCACTGCGTTACCCCTTTTCTGGAAAGGATCTCTTTCATCGCGCCCACGGCATCGTTTTGATGTTTTAGCACCATTCTCAACATGTCGAGTTCGTCTCTTATTTCCTGGACTTCGGCGAGAAGGGAGATATCCAAACGGATATCAAGGTCGTCGGTTGTTAGGGAAGGTTGGTTCAGTCGGTTCCTAAACGCCTGGAGTCTCCTGGTTGCGGAGTTACTCTGAAGTGAGATTGTTAGTAAATGCAGAAACAAAGATACGATAGGAGCAGAGATGTCTAAAGGCGAAGAAGGGGTCCGGAGAAGCTTACCACACGCGCCACTTCGTATTCAAAAAAGTCGAAAAACTGAAGGTCATTGGGAAGGTCATGAGGATCGAAGAGACCAACGCAAGTGTCCACAACCAGCCGCGCCATGTCGTAGACCGAGGTTACCGGTTTTCTGAATGGTTTCTTCAGATGTCGGAGAATGTGCTGATAAACGTTGAGAGGGTCATCGCGGATGATAGTGTGGATATTATATCTATTGCGGTGGGTATCTTGTTCCTGTCCCCAAGATTCCCAGTTAAGTGGGCAACAGGTGATGACGGTTTCTGGAATTGCCATGTCAGGACGATTGTGTGATCATCTCCCACTGACGATGGAGAAAATTACAATAATATAACCAAGGGAAATTGAAATAAAGATTTCGGGAACTATTCCCGTGGTTGAAAAAAAAGATGTGCATAGAAGAAACTAGCATACCTTTGTTCAATATCCATACCCAGAGCTGGTCGACCATGAAGATCTTGATCGCTTGTCCATGATATCTTCTTGTGTATCGGTATATCACTTGATCCTTGGCCCTCTCATACGTCCCCTCCACGCGACCGTAAACATACTGGTCCAGCGTACGTCGTGGTTGGAGAGTGGGAACATCCTCTGGATTTCGGCTCTTCAGATAGCCCCTGATAAGATGCTCGAATGGGTGGACTATATCGAGGACTGCTGTCCCAGGCTTTTTGTGGGTTTTCTTGGGACTTTGGTTATTGAGATGGATTGTGAACGTTTCTGGCTGATTTGCCTCTGTAGCTTGGTCTGGAGATTGCGGGGTTTCCCTGGAGTTGGCCTCGTTGTTCGCGTTGGCTGAGTGGGTATCTCTCGAATTTTCCTGCTCGACGGTTTCAACTTTTGGACTCGGGGGCTGACTGGAGGGTTGTAATATCTTAGACGAATCAACTCCAGGGGTACTGCTCGTCTCCATGTCCACTTTTTCTGCTTCTCCGTTTCCCTTTGAATACTCAGCAAGATCTCATTCCTGATATACTACGTCGAGTTGACACAGGGCCAACCTACCGTCTTGCCGAACATCCATGCACGCTTGGGACGGGTTGGACCGCTTGTATGCGGTCTATCAACGGATAGTGGTCTTGAGGAACGAGGAACAGGACGGCTTGAAATAGGCGGAGGAGGCGGAGGAGGCGGAGGAGGTTGAGATGTGTCGACAGAGGAGAGATATGTCTGGTGGTGGTGTCCCTGGACAGTTTCGAAGTGAAGGTAAGGAATATATGGGAGTGTCAGCTAATTTATCCGCCTCTAGAAAGCCTCTGCAGGCTCGACCTACAAATGATGCTATTGACAACTCCAGTGCCGAAGATGTTCCAAACTCTTCTTCCGGCTCGTCCTTTAGGTACCGTTAGTCACCTCACCGACCCTTGAAGATTATCACCGCGGGCTGGGAGACCTCTGACGTACTTGAATTACTCTACATGAGGGCCTCATGAATGGGTGTCCTGTAGATTGGCCGGTACCACGAGTTGTCGAACTAAGAATGCCTAGTTCTTCCTTGAGCCTTGTCTTGAGCGAGTGGGGTCCAGACTGCTGGTCTGACAATATCCTCGTCATTAATCCCTGCTGTTGTTAGCCAAGCCAAACACAAGGTGTAATAATGGATGGGCGCCGATACCTCAACCCACTCCATCTAATTTCATATCCAGTAAAGTTAGCTGCGAAAAAAATTCTTGGGAGATGGTAGAGATGCTGGGTTCTGAGATTGAGATGCATAGTATACCTACATTGTTAGCAGGGATGTGGTACCAGGTGAACTGCGGCTTCCGGCCTATCAAGTCTTCTGGTCTCTCAGAAGCACGCACACCTTGAGGGCCTATGCCGTACAGCAGCTCATATATGGAGGCAGACTTGGAGTAGCGTCGCTCGCGACCATCCAAGTGAAATTCCATCATGGATACCTCGAACGATCGACAGGCCGCCATCTTCTCGGGGTCGTGACGAGGCGCCGGGAGTGCTCGGGAGAACCTAGCTCGGGTCTCGATATCTTTCTGACGGGGTTTACCAATAGATGGTCCTTCAAGTAATGAGCCTGAGTTTAGTAAATTGGCGATTTCCTTTCGCTTTTCTTCGGAAAGCTCGTCTAGAGAAAGTTGCCCAAGGTGATCTTTCAACGCGGTGTCGGCGCCGTGCCGGAGGAGCAATTTGACAAGCTCCAAGTCGCCCCGGATCATAGCCTCGAACAACGGAGTTGGCTTTTTGATGCCTCCCTTAAGGTTTGGTGGTGGCGGCTGCGGTTGCCCCTTTGCGGGCGGGACGACTGGTGCGCCTTGATCAAGGGGCCCAGACTCTGGGGGCCACATGAGCATCTGGATGGCCCATCCGGGTTGAATAACACTCTCCCAAACAGCAGGAAGAATGATACCCCCATCAGGACCGCAGAGGTCATACTTGCCTTGAGCCACAAGGGGGGCGAGGACATCAATACCAATAAATGCTTGTCTAATAAGATCCTCCATCCCATTCCATGTGCTGCAAAGATGAAAAGGAAAATTGAATCTCCTTCCTACAGCATCACGGAACTTAATAGTTTCGGGGGCGCCAGCGGCGCCGTCCGAGACGCGTGGACCTAGGTGATATGGAGGCGGCGGTGGTGGTGGAACATGGTGGAAATCAGGTGGAGGTGGAGGTCGAGGTCGAGGGCGTGATTGTTTAGCCTCCTCCTCCGCTAATTCTAAGAGAGTTTTCCTCTTCTTCTCAGCTTCGTCCCAACCTTTTCCAGGAATCCACGGCGAAATACCGCCTCCAGCCTTTTTTTTCTTTGTCGTTTTAATCCTACTTCCAGGCCTGGCATAAGCCGCGGGGGGAACCCATCCCCCCCCGAGCCCCAAGCCGGGCGGACGAGGGGGGGCAGCGCCTTTCGCCATCCCTGGGTGAAATGGGGTAGCCCTATGCGGCAATGGAATTTGGGGTTGTTTCTGCTTTTTCTCGCTGGCCGTGGCGTCTGCATCTGCGCCATTATCGAGCAGGAGCTGGACGATGGAGATGTCACCGCGCGTAACCGCTTCGTACAAAGCAGTAGTGCCTGTTTGGTCGTTTACCGACTCAATGTTGGCGGCGCAGTCCAAAAGGAGCCTTGCAACAGGCTCGTTGCCCAGTTTTGCAGCAATCCATAGAGGTCTCTCTCCTTCTCTCGAGATCGCCTCGACATTGGCCCCACGTTCGAGCAGGAGCCGAGCGAGATCGACATTTCCCTGACGCGCAGCCCGATGAAGTACGGTCCTTCCATCGCTATCCACCACTTCGATATTGGCATCGTTGTCCAAAAGCACAGGGATGATTGAAAGTTTGGCATGCTCAACGGCGAGATGCAATGGCGTGTGGCCCTCGAAGTCCGGCGTTTCGATAATGTCGGGATGGCGGTTTAAGAGTTCGGTTACCGTTTCCACGGACCCCGAGATGATAGCATCACGAAGACGTGTCGCTGCATCATCGGTCTCAGACTCAACGTTCAGCTTACTGCCAGAGGGCGCACCTCTCTCCTGACTCTCTGCCACGGCAGCCATTAACACTATCGTGATGGGTCAGCCTCTGGTGTCTATAGACTCTATGGTGCAGAAAGTCTCACATCAACTAGGCAGCAGATAGGCTGGGGAATAAATAAGGTGGCTGGTTATCCAGGATGACATTAAAAAAATGTTCTCACTGGATGTTCGGATCGGTGTGCGTTCAGCGGAAGTGCGCAATTGGGCATTCTGTATGCATGTAAGATGAAAAAGATGGAACCCTAGCCACAACTGCAGCCAATTACCTGGTCTCCAACCCCTGCACATCGGACAAGATAGAAAGATGCCCCTCAGCGCAAAACCTCATCGACGGATTCATCCTCGTTCTAACCCAGTCGGCATCAAACTCTTCGAGACTTGATACTAACAGTCATGCCGACTCTCATTGAAATATTACGTGTAGCCTACGCTTTATATATGCCCTTAGGCACTAGGCCTATGTCCATTCTGACCAACTTCCCGAAAACCCCACGCTGGAGGCGGAGAGGGGAGACTGGAGAGAAGGAAGCAGAAGGTGAACAGCCGACAGAAACAACAAGCCGGGGTGAACGAGCAGAAGAAGACGGCTCTGACAGAGCAGCCTCAGTATATGGAGTATGTAATTAACCCACCCCCATTCCTTCCCCCTTGTACACGACTGCAGGGACTTGAGCTGATGCAGCTGATGGTTATTAGACCCGAAGCAGTTCGAGTCAGACTCAAAGTTCAGGGACATCGTCTAGGAAGCGTTCCTTCTGGCGCCGCTGGAAATACCGTCTTAATCCTAGACATTTCACATGGTGGAGGCTGGTTTTTAGGTCCCACCGTATTTCTCGTCCCTTTTTCAGCTATCGCCACCTCCTCGTCGGCTTTCTCACAGTGTCCATAATACTACTCGGTAGGAAAGCATGAATCACCGCCACCTCTGGCACTTAACACTAATAACTCGCTTTCTATATTAGCCGTTCTCCTGGCTGGGTGCACCACTGGGGGCCTGAGCAAGGTGTACCTCCTTTCACTTTCGTACGACAGCAATAACAGTACTGCAGCTCAGAACGCCATTGGTATCAACACAACTACACTAAACACTATACTGAATCTATCCCAAAACATGTCGGGCCTTGAAGTACGGGTTTCCTACTTCGGCTTCTGCTTGATGCTTAACTCGAGTCTTTCAGCGTGCTCCAATGATATAGGCGCCTTGCAGCAGAGTGTTGATGGACATGACCCTCTTAATCTGATGTGGATGGCCAAGAAGTTCCATGATGAAACCATCTTTAGCGGTCTCATGTAAGCTACAGTTGACACCCATGTTCGGGACGCATCCTTTGCTTTACACTTTGGTCTAATGTCAACAGATTCATAGCGATCATTTTCGCCTTTGCGTGCGTCTGCCTCCTTTTGGTGTCCTTCCCAAGTTGGCATAGAGAATACGATAGCGATGACAGTGAAATCGAGGTCAAGCCGTTCCCCAGTCGACAGATAGTGCAAGCGTCACTCGGAATTGTATCGATTGCGGCACTCCTGGGTCTCATTTCTGCCTTGTGGCAGCACCTTTCTACCGCAGCCACCACAGTCATGGTCAAAACATTAACATATAACAGCGTCGTCGGACACGTCGGCACAGCAGCCATGGTTTTGGGTTGGGTGGGAGCAGCGATTTTCGTGGTGGTTGCTCTAGGAATTGTCCTTATAATGATGAGCCTCAAGGTCCTTGCCGAATTGGCAGATTAGTTTTGTTGTGGGAATGCAAGAGAAACTTCAAGGTTGATATATCGACTCTGTTCGATCAATATTTCACTGACTTTTAGAAGTCCTCGAGAGGCGTGCATGTGAAACAGAATATTATAGGACAGGCCCTGTCATAGTCTCGTTCAAAACCAAACCCGCCACTCCAACAACACCCAATAACGCTATCCTCTAGCCAGTGGTTCCCTCTGTTTATTAAACCATCTCGTTATGGGAGTAGGCTAATACACTGCCGATCCGCGATCAAGTTCGGCATTGAGAACCTCACAGTATCTTGGTCACCATGATTTTCTACTGCATTTGGTCTGGAGAAAGCTGAAAGCAACAAGGCCGAAGCGACACAAAGTTTCACCCACAGACCAACATCGGGGACTCTACAGCAGGCAGGTCGAGGTGAACTGAAACTAACAAGCTGACGTCTAGGGTAGTTACAAATATACAAGGAGCTAATCCGGCCGTGGAAACTTTGCGTGCATCCTCGTGAGGAACGTCGCCGTAGAGGCCGCCGACTGCTGGATTCACAAAAGCAAGCTCACTTGAGACATTGGGCAGAAAGGTAAGGTAGCAAAGGTATAACCCTTTTTCCCCTGCGGCCTCGATATTAACCCGCAGCATAGAATCAACAGACTATATGACATGATATTCTATTTCATTCCCTGTTTCGGGAAAGTGCGGTCAACTTAAACGGCATGTATCAGAAGATTTACGGACTGTGAATTGCTTCTCAGGTTCTGCTTTCCGCTCTTCTCTCTTGGGCACTGGAGAGAGTCGAGATGACTCCTTCCTAGATCGTATCCTGTATATCAACCCAGTGGGCAGCCGCCACCGTGGGATCAGACTATCACGGGCAACAGGCGGCTGGAGACATATTAAAAGAGCCCGGCCGAAAAAGAAACTAGCTAATAATTCCAATGGCAGATCCTCCCTGGCTGTTTCCCTGCTTAGTAGAAGTCCAACAATCTCATTCAATCCACTAACGTCGTTCCTTCCTACACAACGAGTTCTTGGTCAGGCACAGAAGAGGGAAATGCGGGTTCTCAGAGATCAAACCTCATGTTCTAGTTTCTTCCCACATCAGAATTTGATTCTTGAATCAACCTAACACGAACATAGGGAAAAGCCTCAGCCCGTATGGGGCTTAAGAACTCCTTGCCGAGGCTACTCGTGATCCCAGTCACTTCCAACATACCCCTGAAACGGCCATGTCTGACAGTACGCCGACGCCTAATAGGCGTGTTGTGATGGATCCCGATGGAGACCTTATCCTCCTGGTCGGCGGCGAGACCCAGTCCCCGGAACAAGAGGTACTTGTCTGCTCAAGGTCAATGAGGCGCGCATCTCCTGTCTGGAAGAAGATGCTCTACGGTAACTTCAAAGAGGCTAAACCCGCCCAGGGACAGTGGACTGTATCACTCCCTGACGATGAGCCAGAGCCGATGCTTACAATCTTGCACGCAGTCCCACGGACAATTTGACAAAGTTGCCAGGAGCCCTAGTGTCGAACTCATATATCAAATTCTTCTCCTTACGAACAAGTACGATATGACGTCCTTGGTTCGGCCATGGGCGGCAAATTGGCTCGCCAAGACCACTAGAACCTACCAACCCTTTATGCCTGTTCAGAACAGAGAGCTCACTCTCTGTCCTTGGCGAGAGACCTGTGAGGCGGGAATAGATCGTATGCTAATGGCTCTCTACATATCATGGGAACTTGGAAAGTATCGGGTTTTCCAGGAGGTGGCCTTCCAATTGGCAAAGGTAGCATCCATAAACGACGAGGGGGGGCTGGTTCTTGGTGGAAATCCCGCATTGGAGCCGTCTCAGGCTCTGTGGCCATTTGATGCCATAGGTGAGTGGTCTGTCACCCTATCGGACGATGCTATCTCTCCTTGTACTAACTTATCTCTCAATCTGCTACGACGTAGGTTTAATCTCAGAACTAAGGCTCGCCTTTCTTCATAAAATATTGCGGGGCATCCAAACCATAGTCGATCAACTTTCTTCACAAAAGGGCTTGTGCCGTCATTCCGCCGATGCCGCCCGCTCTACTGAATGCAGCCGTCTGGCGCTCGGGAGTCTTTGGAGCCTAATGATGGCAGAGAGGCATGCGATTCTCCCGGGGAATCCGGGAGAAATTCGTGAGAGCTGCGCACACCTCGTAAATCAACTTTGGGGGTTGTCTCAGAAACTCATCTATCTCTCAGAGGGCCACAGAAGGTCATGCGACTATACTAGTATTATCCAAAAGGCTCTCTTGGATGCGTCGCGTGACTACTATGTCAACATCCCCTTTCCTTTCATTATCCACATGGTTGAGCAAAGGGAGAAGACCGGACTCAAGTGGTAACGTGACAGGCATGGCATCCCAAAACCTAATATGGGTATCATGGGGCTTAACGATTGCACAAGAACTGCTTGCCTGACTTAGGAATTCTTGAGGTGAGAAAGATGGCGGGTCCGAAAAGCAAATTGGCAGGGACGGGCTCGAAGTTAAGGAAGAATATCATTGTTTCACGGGGGGTGGGTATGGATAAATTTAGACTCAAGATATGAAATAAAAGCGATCAATTTCTCGTTGACATGTCTTAATTACAACTTGCCAATCTGAACGACTCCTGTTCACTGTCCATACTACCAATCCCAACGCCACTTCATGCTACGTGAAGTCCTGAAGTCATATTGCCTGGAAATCCTCCGAAAAAGACCCAGTGAGAAGTCGAAACCTCTAAGCGGAATAGGCGTCGTCATCATCCTCCTCGAAAACTAAGGCAGAAAAGTTATTAGCAGCTGTCCAGGGATACATTGTTCCAGCAGGGCGAGGAACAGAGATTTACCAGAAAAAACCTTGAAGTTAGACACACCTTCTTTCTTGATAGCTCGGACCGACGTGGCGCGCTTAGCAGAGGGACTAATGTCGTCTTCCTGCTTAACCTTGCGCTTGCGGCCCGAAGGGGTCGAAGTGGCTGAGTCCGTCTTCTTGGGGCTGGGGCCCCCTCGCATCTTGCCGCCGGTGATGTCGCTCATTTTATAGTCGAAGCGCTTAAGGAGGCGCTCAACTCGCTTGGCCCTGCAATTGAAAGCCGAGAGGTTAGCATATGTCGCGGAAAACATGAAGAAGAGAGAAAGAGGGAAAGAAAACAAAACCAATTTTGACAGCGGAAGGGGCGAGAGAGGGAGACGGAAGGGAATGGGGCGAATATTTTTGGTGAAGATAGACTTACGCGGCGCCACCGCTGGCAATGTCCAGCTTCTCGGAGAGATGGTTCCAATCAGGTTTGACGCCGTTGCCAGACTTGCCACAAGAAACGAGGAGTTCGACGAGAAGGCGGGCGTCAGCCTGAGAAATGACGGGCGCGTCTCCGCCAGCCGCAGCAGAGTTACCCTTGCCGCCCTTCTTGGACTTGACGGTGCCGTTATCTTGAGAATCCATGTTTATGTTTTGTTGGTCAAATGATACAGTGAGGAGATGGTGTTTCAAACGGGGAATGTCGTGTCGGTGTCGGTGGGTTGGTGGATTGTGTCGAGAAGTTTGTTGGAGGAAGAGATTGATTGACGGATTCCGACTGAGGAGGGAAAATAAAGAGAGAGGAGGGTAAGAGGCAACCGCCAGAAGAAGAAGGCCCAAGGCTGTGGAAGACCCTGGCTTGTTCCTTTGCGTAGTCGACGCAAGATTCAGTCGAGTTTGATTCATTTTGAAGGTAAAAAGAGCTCGCAACTACCACACACTCCCCTCACAAATTGTCTCGAAGGGAATGACAGCAGCTTCTCGTTGAGAGGTTGGAAAGAAGATCTCATCCACTCCCTGCCCTATTAGGACCAGATTTAACAATCTCATTATTCCTTAGGATGAGACTAAAGAAGCCAGGCTTTTAGTCTATGTGCATCTTCCAAAGCCGAGATTATTGTATATGTAGTTCATCAGACTAAGAGAAATCTAGCGCACATGTGAAGGGCAACTGGCTCGAGGGTAAGTAGGTCTTTCTTCATGTCAAGCATCAAATCAGATCCATTTTATCCTTCAGAGCGGTTCTTTGTCACGACCAGTTTCGGGTTTGGGACTCCTGGACAAGGATTTAAAACAGTGGCTGAACTCAGCTGAAGAGTTCCGTCCCAAACTGTTGTCCCAAACGGGCACCATGAGAAACCAGGTTTTCTGGTTTGTATTTGGTTAAGGCCTGCCCAAAGCCTTGCACTATGATTCCGCGTTGACGCTGCATGTGGCATATAAAAATTGACGTTTCCAGTTGTGGCTTTGGAGTGTAGTCTTCGGCTGAAACATCAGCACACGATTACCCTCAGTTTCGCGACGATGGACAACTCCAGAACGAGTATGCGCCCTCGCGAGCAATGCCATTGTTAATAAGGGTAGTTTAGTCTTCTAATTGTTTCTTTATTAAATCACTCCGGATCTTCCGAAATAGCACATTTAGAGTCTTCAAGTCTCTCGGGCGGCTTTCCATTCATGGCCCGTTAATATACTCAATATACTAGTAGAAACCCGAGGCTAATCCAAATGCACTGGGATATGGCATAAGGGAACAAACATCTCAGACTCCTGGCGATATAGTGCAACCCTAACCTTAAGGTAATGTGGCTTCCTCGCGTCTAAAGAAGAAACACTCACATGGACAAGTTTTGGGAAGGGCAACAGGCATCTCAAAAAAGAACGGCTCCTGGGAGGTGGCTGCTTGCTAAAGTGCTACAGTTTTGTGACTGAAAAATGCACCACTTCTTCTTCACCAGAATGCATATCTCGACAGTAAGTGATGTGCTTCGCGTTTTACGGCGAACCTAGAGATATCTGGAGGGTAGGTGTATGACTTTAACAAGGCGAGCGGCAGATTTTCTCTGAGACCGAATAGGCCGTTAGTATGAGAATCTGTGCCCCGCAGCCTTGGTCGTGGCAGTATTTGATAGCCAGCAAGCAGTCCGTGCCATGGATGGGGTCCGTTGACCATTGTGGCTTGTGGGGAGAGCAGGGGCGCCCAAATCTGCGCGTCGCATACGCAGGCAATCGCTTCAATGGCTTGGGTTCAACATGGGTCCCTGCCCGCCGGACTCCTCTGGAGAAGGGGGAGGAAACCCATACATAGATTTAGGCAAAGGTTTCGACTACGGGCGATGCTTAGAAAGAAAGCGTCGTCTTCAATTTCGGGTTTGACTATCCTGGTCACAAAATGTCAAGACAGACTTGGAAACAGACCCGCATACAATTCAGAAGAGGGAAGGCGGTCTCGAAGAGCTGTGACCGACCTTGGCACCAATGCCCAAATTGACGGCCCTGATTGGAGCTGCGTCTGTTGAGCCTGGGAATCATACCAACTGGCACAGCAACATACGTCCAGAAACAATGCATGAGGAGACGTTCCAGGCCAAGATCAAGAATCCTGCTCCCCTCGACGGCCGTTGTGGACTTTCAGCGAGAGTGGGTGGGTGTAGCGTGGATACGTGGAATGCGACAGAGATTAGATATGCATCTATGTATCTTCCTATGATCCCGTCTTTCATCTTCCACCAACTGGCATCTCGTTTTGAGAAGGACTTGCAGCAATCGATTCGTAGTAAAATGTTGTGAAGGCCAATACTTCGCTCTGAACACTAGGGCATTGTCTTGGAAAAAGAAGAACGCGTCAAAAGGTTGGGAGAGATTAATTAACTAGATCCCCGCAAGTAGCGAGGCAGGCAGCGACGCCAATTCTAGAAAATGCCCGAATTCATCTAGAAGTATCGACGGGCCCTTCGCGGGGTGCAGACCGGCTCCCGCATGCCAAGACGGGATCGGTGAATTTAATAGATGCATCGTTCGGATTTCTTCGTTCCAACTCTTTCTCTTGTACTCTAATCTCTACTTCTCCTTTTTCGTACATCGCCCGAGATAAAGAGGAAAACAAAGTTCGAGCCGGCGCAAAATCCACCCAATCTTGAAGCAGCGAACCCTCCACAGTCCAGGGACGGAAGCCGGGCCTGGTACCAGCCTAGTATACTACACTACCAGGCATGGGACGGCAATTGGTCCCCGAATCGGGACACGCAGACACGCAGATACGCAGACCAAGACGACTCAGGGATGGGAGGAGACGCTACCAGCCAGTAAATCTCCACAATCTGCAAAGAATAGAGTTCATAGCTCAGCACTGCCCTGTGGAGCAGCGCAGGGGTAGGCCGGCAAGTTCCACGGCCAGGCCAGGCAACTCCGAACCTACTCCTTGAACCAGCTGAACCCCGAGGAAAAAAGAAAAGCTGGGCTCGACTTTCTCGGGAAGGAAGAATGGGATTGGAGAAAGCCGGAGGAATTGGGGGCCGGAGAAGAGGAATCAAACTCGACACCTCGACACCTCGACACCCCCGCCTTTTCGAATCCCTTTTTTGAATCCCTCTTCGAAGAGAGGGTGAGGGATTCAGGATTCACCCGCGCCGCCCAACGAGTCCCGAAGTGATTCGGAGAGAGAAGAAGAACATAAAAGGAGAAGGACCAATCGAGTTATATAATAGTCCCATCAGCCGAATCATCCTCGGATTCCCTCCGAGATACATCGGCGAAGTGATTACCCGCCTCGTTTCTCGCGTTCGATTGCGATTTGCGACACACCCGAGAACCTGCGGGCATTTGCCTTTTCTTCTTCCCCTTTCTTAGATTCAATTGCAACTGCCCTTTAAGAATATATAATCCATTGTCTCCCTCGCAGGCACAGCCAATTGAAGCTTCTTTCCCCTTCCTTCCTCTCCCCAGTTTGCCATCCGGTTCGCATACAGCCCATCGACCGCTTTCCCTCGACATTAAACCTAGCGACTCCCTTTCTTTCATCGCGAATCGACGAGATCCATACATCGCCAGCCTCATCCGAAAATGCCTCGTCCATGCCTCCGTCGTTGCCGCCGGCCAAACGACCCCGAGCGCAGCAATCCGCTTCGCCTAACCCGCCGCCTCGAACTCTCGAGGCGCGTCCAACTCCTGCTGCTCCTCGCGAACCTCGCCGTGGCGGTCCCCGTCGCTTTCTACCTCCGTGCGACAAGGGCAGGGCCCTCGGGATGCCTGCCTGGGGTTTTCTTCTGCGTGCGTCGAATACGTCTCTTCTTGCCGCGTTGGGCCACGTTGGTGCTAATGATATATCTAGGCTGCCGCGACGCTGGTCGTGACGACATCGATGGCGTACGTGGGGAAATTGCGTGGAGGATACAGGTCTAGTCGGTTCCTGAAGAAGGCCATCGCTGTAGATATTGTCTGTCTCCTTATGCAGGCCTTTGCGCTTGCGGATCTTGGGCGAGGACGCTCCTTCCATCACGGTCAAGAAGGTATTATCACCTTGGGTCCATCAGGATAGCAAAGTGAGACCGGAGTTTCTAACCTTCGTCGAGCAGGATATCATCACGGGCCGTCGGCCAGTTCCGCCCACAAAGAGCTCAACGGTGAAGAGACGGAGGGTGCGTCGTGCACCCTCCCCAAAATCTCATTGATCCTCACTGTCCTTGTAATGTAAGAAATCGGATTCCCCTACTCTCCGTCTGCCAAGACCTGATCTTGCTAAGAAATCCCGGACAGCGTCTCCTACATCCACACCGTCGCCCGCTCCGTGCGTCTCCTCGCTTCGCTCCGCCGCCAGCCCGCCCAATTTACTGGCACCGGTTACCGAGTTCTGCCCACCGACGACGTCAAAGTCCCCATCGCCCTGTCTCTAATCAAGGTGCCTACGTCCACCTTCGATGGAAATGGCAACGGCGCATCGGTGGCGTCGTCCACAACCTTGGAAAAGGCCCTCACTCCAACCTCCTCAACAGACAGCGGAGTAGTAACGGACGAGCAAGAGAAGTCTTAAGCTGAGTCTCTCGTTTGGAAATTAAACAGAAGACAGCACTGGGGACGTAGTCTGAGCAGAAGTTCCTTGAATCATTGGTTGATTCTGGTAGCGATCCGACTTTACAGGCTTCAATATATGGAAACTTCGGCCATGAAATACTCTTCTGTCATGATGACCTGGGAAATCGTGACGATAAAATGAGCTGTGACAGCCCACCGAATCTAGCTCCAGCAGAGCCCCTTTTCCAATCCAATCACTAGTAGAGTACGACCTTGAGAATTATGACATGTGCGTCCTCTCCCAACATTCCACCTCATGTGAAAGAATGCGACGAGACGGAGGGAACACCTTCGAGCTCCCGGCAAAATACATCTCGAGACGTAAATTCACATCCTTTCATCCCATGCTCATCTTAGAACCCCGCAATTTTGATGGTAATGCCTCACCGGTAGGGGCCATATGCCGAACGAGAGCCCGGCTAAACTTGGTGGGGTCGATTGTAGATGGGAGAGTGTTAATATGCATATCGCGCGCTGTCGCCCGATATTTCTTGGGAGTTACAGAACCTGGGCCTGCCAAGTGGAAGAGGCTAAGATGTCGAAGCGAGTGTTGAGTGCTGTCCGCTAGAGAGTTAGACCGTTGATGTCATTAAAAGGGAACATGAAATAAAGAAGGTTTGACATGGGTGCCATCGCTGTGGAATGAAACACGGAGGGAAGCTGGAGAGCCAATGTCACATCTGGCGGGTCTGACATCAAATGGGGAATTGGACAAGGCAGAAGCCGATCTTAGGAGGCGTCCTCATTGAGACATTGAGACACACGTTCATGGCCGCCAGTCGAGGTCGAACAAATCGAATGTGTGTCGGCCGACATAGTAGAGTTTACATCACGCTATCCCAGGCTCGATGCACCCGGTCGTAAACGGAATCCCTGGCCAGGAACATTCGACGGCCTTTCGTAACCAATAAGACGTCAGTCTGGGTCACGGAGCTGTCCTTCGTCTGCATCGCTCGATATTATCACGACGAGAAGAAGATGAAGGGACAGCTCAAGCGACTACCGGAGACCGAGAAGCTTGTTTTGCCATTTGTTCCGTGACACACGGCTTGAAATTAGTAGCCCGGCCAATGAATGGCTGAGAAAGACGGCGTGGCAGAATTCGAGGAATGTTCCAGGAGTGCGGGGGCCGGAGCGACAAGAAATATTGGCGGAGGGTAACTTGATTGCCTTCCCACTTTCGACGACTGATTCGGCTTGTCTCCGTGCAATTGCTATGATGAGAGAGCAAAAGTTTACGGAAAATGTGAAGGTGGATGGAGATGGGAGAACCGATGTGATTACCGGAAGATCGCAGGCTCCTGGTGTTGTGAGTCGAGAGCGTGCCGAATGAGTTCTTTTGATCTTTTGAAATGAGGATGTTTTCCATCTTGCACTTGGGAGGAGGGGTAGCTGAAATATCATGAAGAGGTCAATACTAGGTCCCAATATGAGTGGACCATTCCGGTTTGTCGAATGCCTAAATGTTCCACTGAAACGATAGGTCGTTCCCCTCATCGATCTTGATGTTCTCTTGATCCGGGGGCAGCCAGAGTGCTTGATGTCAGTGGTGCAGCTCGTACCTGCATCAGCATGGCCTGTGCAGAAGCTAGAGTGGAAGTCCGACGCTCATCCTCAGCCATACAAGCAATATATCGGTTAGAGAGCTTGCATCTTAACACGAAATGAACGGCAAAAGACCACGGCTCGTTCTCGATCGACATTGGAGGTTCAGACCCAGCGGGGTTCTAGCAGCGACCCCAATCTATAAATCAGGGCTGTGATTCCGGGTTTTCACCCAGGAAACCCCCCCGTCTCTTTTACGGTCCCGAGCAACGGTCGCTTCCGTGTTGGCAGATCAACTTCGTTACCGAACATTGTGCAAGGAAAACATCCGCCCTAAGTCGATCAAGATGTCGCTTAACAAGCTTCTTCTCATTTCTTTGTATCTATCGGGCCTCGCGCTGGCTCACCCGGCCAACCACCACCGCCGCCAGGATGACGACGCCCCTGCGGTCCCCGAGGAGCCCGCGGCTCCCGAAGCCCCCGAGGTTGGTCCTCCGGAGTCGGGCGAGGTGAAGCCTGACCTCCCCGTTGTCGTGGCGCCAGCGCCAGGTGAAGGCGAAGGGGAGGAGGAGCCTGAGGAGCCCGCCGAAGGCGAGGAACCCGCCCCAGAAGAGCCCGCAGAGGGAGAAGAGCCTGCTGAGGGAGAGGAACCAGCTCCGGAAGAGCCTGCTGAAGGCGAGGAACCAGCTCCCGAAGAGCCCGGTATGTAACAAAAACATGGCCAGAAAAAAAAAGCCCGCGCTGACATGATAAATAGCCCCCGTCGGACCCCCGACCACTCCGGGCATCCCCAACATCCCCATCCCAGGCGGTGCCGTGCCCGGCTTCCCAGGAGGCGGTTTCGGCGGCTTCTTCGGCCCCACTCCCTACATCTGCTACCCGCTCATCACTGGGTTCCCTGGATTCGGCGGCGGCTTTCCCGGTGGCGCCACGCCCGGCGCGCCTACCGCTCCCACCCCCACACGGCCCGACGTGCCAGCGGCTCCTCCTAGCGTTCCCCAGATACCCCCGCCATTCCCTCCCGCCGAGGGTGAAGAGCCGGCTGAGCCCGTCGAAGGCGAGGAACCTGTCGAAGGTGAAGAACCTGCGGAGGGCGAGGAACCGGCCCCAGAAGAGCCCACCGAGGGTGAGGCACCTGCTGAACCTGAGGAGCCCGCTGAACCTGAGGAACCCGCCGAGCCCGAGGAGCCGGCCAAGGAGGAACCTTAGCTTGCTGGAGAGTGGGAAGTCATGCAACTGGACTGGCACGCCTCTACTCCCTAAACTATGATGGGAGGAGATCTCGACGGAGACTTTTGGTCAATCAGAGACACAACTTAATTTTCTTTCTCTATACCCCAGTGGACGGTGGGGCTTGAGGAATTCTGTACATATTACGCCTGAAATGAAATATTACTGTTGAAATGATGCACCCTTGAATCACACTTCTGTCGGGACGTTAACTGAGCCTTCCGTGGAAGACGGGGTTCGCAATTCAGGGTCAGAAGAACAATTCCATCTTTGTATACCTTGAGAAGCGAGAGTCCGGGGCATTCAATCGCGCAGAAGGTCTTGACAGTGATGGTATTCGTCATTTTCCGCTCGACACCAAATGCGCTCGTGGCGTCTCCCATTGTGGTGTCGCGGGCGGTGTTGGGATTAGAAAAGTGCCTCGAGAAATAGGACGAACCACCATGGCTGCATATCAGGCAGTCTCGAATCAATGAGTGAAAAGAAGTTCGTAGAGGTAATTGGAAACTACGAAGTAAATGTAACAAACTTCATGGATCAGCGACTCGATTAATAGAGCCCAGTTGAAGTTGCCGTCCTGACGCAGCACGAACAGCGCAGCGTCCAGGTCCAAGTCCAGGCGAAGACAATTGCACTCCGGGCTATTCCTACCACGTGAACAACAGACAGAGGCCGTAAACACCCTAGAAAAGTTCTTTCACGGACGCTGAGATCAACCAGCAGCACAGAAGGCACTAGTGGTTTAGTGGTAAAATTGGTCGTTGCCACCTTTCCGCAGCTTCGACTAGCCCCCGGTTCGATTCCGGGCTAGTGCAATCAACATCCTTTCCATTTTTTTTCTTTTTCTTTTTTTTTTTTTTGTCCATTTTCCTACCCTCCCCGTATCATTGTCTCTTTTCCTTCATTCTTTTCTTTTCTTTTTCGGCTTAATCTCGTCATCCTCTCTTTTCCAGTAGAGGACTGGCAATTATTCGTCCTGGCAACGTCGAACGGTTCGTTCTATTCCGCACTCTTCAGACGTGGCTCGTGGGTGATGGACGGATCAAGCAATAGGAAGAAGATGTCAATGCCACTCACTCACTACCTCCCGCTATAATAACTATTCCCACTACAGTCAATCTATCTTACACATTCATATGTGTCTTTTTTTTAAATGAAAGCTTGTACGACACCCCCGCTCGTCATGAGAAGAAAATAATATCCAACCCGATTGCATCACTTTCTTGGAACAGTCGACTCTAAAAGGCTTCCCTTTTATTCGGCGGCACCCCCGCCACGCTCGGCAATGACATCCTTGATGTACTTGATGAGGAGGGGACCGACCTGGTCGGCAATAAGGGTGTCTCCGGCGGCGTTGGGATGCACGCCGTCGCGGAGCATCGAGGCCATGAAGCCGTTGTCCTCGGAGCAGTCGGCGATGACGATGGGCGATTCGGGGGTGGAGTTGGTCTCGACCCAGTCGGGGATGAGCCCGTTGACCTCGACGATGGGGCCGTTCTTGAATGGGAGGGGGATAATCTTGTCAATCTATTGTGAAAAGACGTTAGCCAGCTTGAACTGGAGAAGAGAAATCATTGAGGACCCCACTCACAATGACCTTGACCTTGGGGTTCGCCGCCCTCATCGAAGCAAGCATCTTATCGTAAGCCCCAATGATCTGCGGCACGGTCTTGCCCATATTCACGTCATTGGTACCAAGCATAAAGTTGACAATGTCAGGCACCGTCTTCTCGACCCAGCCATCGATGTAATTGTTGGCAATGTCGACGGCCTGCCAGCCAGAGTGGCCCTCGTGGCCCGTGTCGAAGTTGCCCGACTCGGCGCGGCAGTTCTGCGGGTTGTTGGTCTGGGACCCGACGAAGTCGACTTCGTCTGTGAGGCCTTCCGCCGCGAGCATGTCCCAGACATCGGCTCTCCAGCAGGTGATTTCGGTGATGGAGTCGCCGAGGGGGACTGTTGGGGTTATACCTTGTTAGCCTTCCTGGGAAGCTACTTCTTATGTGTTAGATAAAGGATCACTTACGGAACTTGATCTTCTGGGCAGAAGCCGCAAGGGCAAGGCCCATGACGACTGACAGCTTGGAGAGATGCATGGCTAACGAGCTTCAAGAGGATTCTACAACTGAGAAGCCCAGTTCTCACAAGCTCGGATTAGTGACAAGAAGGAAAGAAAAGGGAAAGGAACAGAATCAACCCAAGTCACGAACAAGGAGTCGCCGACAGAGAAGAACCCATGGGAAGAAAGGGAGCTGGATCATCGAGGATTATATGTTCTCTCATTCGTCTACTTCTCGGCTCCGCAAGATACAACCACTAGAATCTTGAGATAAACGGCACGCACGGCGGGAAATGCTGGCTACGCGGCATGGGCCTGCAGGTTCATCTTCTTTTCCTTTGGCCGGAGGAGCTAAAGAAATGAAGAAAACCTGGGGGTGTGTGCATTTCGACAACAATATATTAACATGGCTTGGTAGCCGATTGGTGGTATTATATTCATATTATCATCCTGCCCACGATATCTTGAGGGGGGAGACCATCGCTTCAAGGGAAGTGGAACACATTGGCGGAGGGATCGGAGTGAAAACCAGATTATCGGGGCATGCCTCCATGGGGGCAACCATTTCGCTCTGCCAAATTAAATGGTTAATTCGGAATTGGGGGAGCCACAATTGACGAACAGCCTTCAGACTTCTTCTCGCTTCATCCGGTGACTTTTTTAGCCGCTGGGAGTGATGAGTCTGTGGAGGAGGCGTACCACGGTTACAGTCACAGAACCGGACTTGGCCAGGACATGCTGATCTGGAGTCTCCTAATGATAGGATGAGTAAATCTGTGTATCAGAAGGCCTCTCATGGATCTTGTAGAGTTCACAAATCGAAGGTGAATGTAATACGTCAAGGAGCGTTGACTCGGCCGAGGTGGTAACCAGCGAAACATCCATTTCAATAAAAATCGAGGCAAAGGAAAAGAAGGCACCGGTAAAACAGAAAGTAGATTCAGGGCCAGTTCAAACTCTAAATAAAATTGGAGAATCTTGGCATAAGAATCCCATCGTATCATATTGACGGCTTGATCCTTTTCTCTGTTGAAATTGAAAATATCAAAAGCCACGAGGTGAGTGGGGAGCTTCTCCGCTTCTCCAATATCCGGACTCCGGATCGCCCCCGAGATCTTATAGCAGCTTGTCCTATAAGTCCAGGCTGTGTGGGAGAGCTCCTCGTGAATGAATACCAAGTAAAATCGTCCTGGGCGAGCCGCACGTCACTAAATCGGATTGAAGCCTCCGGAATGTTAATATGCCAATTGACCATCCATCTCGAACCCACAGCGCCCATGGACTCATGTCGTTTTGAACTGCACCCTGAAGATCCAAAGGTGATCGACAATCAATAAACCTAGCCAGGAGGGACACCAGTTTCCCCAAGCACGGCATACAGGAAAAGGAGAAGAGAAAATAAGAGAGGGAATGCAGCTCAAAATTGTCAATTTGCAGGTATAAATCACAACAAGCGAAACCATCTTTGCCCGCTTCTCGGCATCCATTCCTCCAGAGACTCTTTTAATTGGCAGCAAACTGACACTGCAGCCATCCGTCGCTGACAAAAAGAAGCTCTTCATGTCGTATAAAAATGAGATTGATCGTAAGGGCCAGGTAAACGAACAAGAAATCCAAAGATCCGGAAAGCATTCTTGCAAATCATCAATGCAAACGCCCCACAAACCCATTCTTCCTCTCATATTTCCCGGCCCAAGGCATAATGGAAACCCAAAAATCCTCCTAATAGCCTCGTGGCATACGATATTTCTGCTCGTTCTTCCCCATCTCATGCCGTCTCAACAATTATAATGATCACCAGCTAACCCCCCAAGACAGCCAAACATTCTTATGCGCCACGTGGTGAGACGAACTGATGAACTAAAAGAATCCCTTTAGAACCAGGCCCGAGTCCCTCGGGATACTGGATCGAGCAAGAAACCCGCCGAGGCCCTCTTCTATTCCACGTGGCGGACGACTCGAGCCAGCGGCGAGACCGAAGAATAGGTCCATCGAGCAAAAGCAAAAACCAGGGCCGAAGGTTAATGAATTGCCATTTCATCCCAGAAAAGGTTGATATCCTTTTTTATGCCACGTGGCGGGGAAACGAGTTCCTTTCCGCTTGAAACTAGAACTGGACGCATGAGAGAGGCTCACGATATCAATGACATCCTCGCTGACGAGAATCAAACTTTGTCTCATGTATGGGCTTCGTCGTCTATTCCCCCCGGAATTGGCTTTTGCTGTTCGGAACTTCTCTTTCCTCCTTCCTCCCTCTTTCTTGTCTTATAATTTGTCTGCAAATGATATCAGACGACTCTGTCCTTGACCAAGCACTTTCGGATCCAATACGGCCTGACGGGTAATCGGACCTCGCAGGCCTTCAGCATAGCTTAAGTGTGTGAATAGTACAACTCGCAGTAGCCTTTCGTACTCGGGTTACCGGCCTTGGGGGGCGTCGTCCGCTATGAAGCTCTTTTGTAAACATTCCAATCTTTGGGAGGGGTGTGTGTTCTGCTCCTCCCACCACACTCCATCGAAAATGTCCTTGGCAATCTCGGAGAATCTTGATTAACCTCCTAATGCGTACCATAGCTCTTCCCACCTAGTAAGGGACCTCGAAAAGGAGTGAATGTGTCACTTCGACCTGATGGCTTCCAGCACTCACCAAGTAGTCGAAGCGATATAGGCTTAATAGTGTAGCGTGTTATAGGACCGCAATTTAAGAAGCTATAGAGCAACCAAGTTCTCCGTTGGCCGAACTCGCGATGGTCACAGCTTGCCTCCCTTGGAAGCAAACCACCCCCGCGTCTGCTCGGCGCCCATAAACGAGACCATTAGCATCCTTCCAAATTCATCAAGGTCGTCCGGCTCCGCTTCCCGAAACATATCCTCGAAACTAGAACACTTGACAACGAGGTGCCGTCTATCCCTCCACGCCACGGCAAAGTCCACCGCGTTGCGCGCCGTCCATAAATAGGTCGACAGCGTCCACTCCTCGCAGAGCAGCGTGTCCTCGCACGAGGGCGGGCCCTTACAGCTCAGGATTTGGTAGGCAACTAGGAAGTGCAGGGTGAAGAGGCAGGTGCGACGCGCGGACTCCGTAAAGATCCACGAGCGCCAAAACGCCTCGGTCTCGGTGATGGGGAAGAGGGGTAATTCCTGCGTGCTTTTGGTGAGATTGGTGAGACTACTGGACCGGCTCTCGTGGGCCGAGATGACTGGCAGTAGGGCCGTCGACGCCTCCCTGAGGAGGGGTATGGTGCTCTCGGTAGAGGCGCGGAACTGGATATCGCCGTCCAGGAGGCCCATCAGGTGATAGACCAGGAGGGCTTGGCAGCGAGCGAGGGCTTCCAGCGGGGAAGACGGGATGGGGGACTCGGCTAACTCTTTGGTGCGGGACATGATAATCCTCATAATGAAGGGCTTATTGAGGCTGTTCCTGGCATTGTACATGGCACAGCATGCAATAGCATCTACGGGCGGAAGGAAGTAGGTTAGCACACGCCCCCCAGCAATAAAGGAGTCAGGTGGCCCACACAGAAACGCGTCAGGGGGTGAGAAACAGCACGGGAACAGGGGAACAAGGAACGCTCGGCACAGTAACGAGAGTAATACACCATGAAGCAAAGGAACGAGGGCGTGCGGAAGTAGATGAGCGGGTGTAGATAGATACCTTGAACAGACTTCGGCATATTATCTTCGTACAGAGACGAGTGGCACCAAGGCGCCCGGAGCTCCTCGACGAGCATCTTGGGCGTCCTGCGAAGCAACTCGAGCGAATACTCAAGCCTGTCGGCAATGACATGAGGCAGAGGCTCGAAGCACCCTGGGTCCGCCCAACGAGCCGGCAAACCGATGTCGAGGGGGACCAGTTGACCCGTATCACCCGCCATCAGGAGGTCATTATTATTATCCAACCCGGGCAGATCAATCGATCCAGATTGAGGAGACGGTTCCTGGACCAGGTCGCACCCATACGACATGCAGTCAACACCATTCATAGAAACCGGTTCCCGAGTGAGAAACTCGTCCAGCAGTGCGTCGAAGGCGAAAGTCTCCGTGGTCTTGTTCAGGACTGGGGTCGTCGGCACCGGCGCCTCCAGGATAACAGAGGCCGCATGGATGGAAGAGGGGGTGCTGGGAGTGCTGGGAGTACTACTGAGGGACGTCAACCTATTGCTGTTATTGGGCCGGATGCCGTGGGGGTAGTGGCACTCAATTCCGCGACCTGCGCAGCGGAGACAAGAAGGTTGGGCCAAGTCGCAGCGTCTCTTAGCTTTGGTGCACGCAGCGCAGGACTTGCGCCGAGGCGGCGGATTTGCGCGTTCGACAGCGGTCATCGACATGGCTTGGCTTTCTGCTTTCTGCCCTGTTTCTTCCTTTCAACGGTAGAGGTAGAGAGAGGGGCGAAAACAAGGACGGATACACTGGATATTGCAATATACATGTATCTTGGAAGAAGAAGAACACAAAAAAACACAGAAAACAAAAAAAAAGGGGATGAACATCATCCCGATTGTTCCTTCCTTCGCGATCATCGTCGTGGGCACTGCCGCCTGCTGACGGATGCTGATGTCTTTGTAAGCCGGCAACTTCCGAAATTCTGCGGAACTCCGCCCAAAGACCGCAACTTTGACGCCGCAACTCCACGATGTGATCTCGCCGTATTACTCGTTTGCATTTCTTTCTCATCTCAACGGTCATCGTGCTTCGTAATCCCCGACGGGACGTGTGGATGTAAGCCGACCGTCATAGGAGGTACAGACGGCAAATTCCGTTCCGTCGTCCAGTGTCACAGTGGAACTCCATGGAAATCCGCCCAGGTCCCCATCGCGGAGGTCAATCTCACCAGCGTGCGCGGACATGATAACCTCGGAAGGATATCGAGGAAATTGAAATGGTTATAAAAGGCGGCACTGGCAATCGCGTGGAAACATGAAGGGGAGAAACTGGACATCTCAAATCCATCAGCATCGCAATCAATCACATCAATCACATCAAACAGCTCACCAAGCAACCCCGTGCTAGACTTCTGTAAACCAATTTCTCATCCCAATCAATAAAATCACCATGTCTCCCCAAATCTTTGTCTGCGGCGCAACCGGCACCCAAGGCGGCGCTACGGCCCGCCACCTTCGCGCCGCCGACGTCACCGTCCACGCCCTCGTCCGAGACACCTCCTCGCCCAAAGCGCAGGCCCTCGAAGCCCTCGGCGTCAAGCTCTTCCCGGGCAACTACGACGACGCCGAGTCCCTCAAGGCTGCCCTTGCGGGCTGCACGGGCATCTTCCTCAACTTCTCACCCTCCTTCACCGACTTTACCCAGGAGACGCGCCACGCCAAGACCGTCATCGCGGCGGCCAAGGAAGCCGGCGTCAAGCATGCCGCGTACGCCTCGGTCCTTGGCCACGATGAGTTGCCCGAGCTGCTGGCGTCTTCTGGGCTGGTCGTGGCTACCGCCTTTATCCAGAGTAAGCATGACAATTTCAACGCCGTGGTTGAGGCTGGCTTCGATACGTGGACGAGGTTGCAGCCCGGCAAGTTCATGGGTGATTTCATTGCCCCCGGCGTGCCCATGTTCCCTGATCTCGGTGGATCCGGAATTTGGGAGTCGGGCATCCGGGCCGAAGACGAGATCCGCCTCGTTGATCCCGACGATATCGGCATCGTCAGCGCCGCTGCGCTACTTGACCCCGAAAAGTACAACGGTCAAAAAGTCGACATCTTTTCTCAAATCGTAAACCCCGTTGAGCTTGTGAAGACGCTTACAAAGGTGTCCGGAAAGAAGGTCGGCATCGAGTTCCTCTCCGAAGAGGAGCTCAGCGCGAGGATCGCTACCAATGTGTATTTGCTCGGCCAGCGGCTCACCAGGTACTCGGGGCTCGGGATCCCCTTGGAGACTGCCAAGAAATGGGGCAGTAAATGCCAGACCTTTGAGAACTTCTTGCTCAGGGAGAAGGCCACGGTTGATTCCACTTTTGCCAATGTGCCTTCGGCATAATGTGCTTGAATCGAGCCCGGGTCTGGTCAGGGTGGGTAATTTCTCTTTGGATTCTCTGGTCTGGAGAATGATTGACAGGGGCTAATGACCCGGCATCTGTCCTCGGGACTGCGGGCCCACGGGATTGTGGAATCAGCGGAGACTTTGTACCATTTAACCTATTTTCTAATTGATGTTAATCTTCATTATTGTGCTGTATCGTGTCTTGGAAAGAAAAGGGTATCTAACAAAAGCCTCCCAAAAACACCAGAGCTTTGACACTCATTCTCTCTCCCTTCTTCATTCGTAAGTCCTTCCCACCTCTGGTCGGACCACTCCATTCTCGACCGTACCAAATGTCAAATGCCCAATCCCCATACTTGATTCCTTTCTCGCAGGGAAGAAGAACTGAACTGAAGCTGACCGATCCCCAAGAGGGACAATCGTAGCAACCACGCCCCACCTCAACTTCCTCCTCGCCAACCTCAACCTTGCCTTCCGCGCCTCCTTCTCATTCTTGAATTCCTGCATTATCATCATGCCGCCCTGAGTGATTGCGCTCTGAGGACGATAAGGCGTCGCTGGCGTAGATGTCGGCATCGAGTCAGCATTCTCGTTACCTGCCCATGGGAGTCTCCTTCCGGGCTGTGACGCGGGGGTTATGATACTAAGCCCGCTGACGGGTAACTTCCTCTTCGACTCGTTGAGGCGAATGGTTTGAGCGAGGGGTGAAATCTTCTCATCCTTATAGCTATCGATCCAGGGTGCTGCTGGTGGCTCTAAACCGGGGGTCGGAAGCGGGGGTGCCTGATCATGCTGGTGGTTCGGCTCGAACTTCATCTGTCCCCAAACTGAAGGCGGCCTGGTCTGCTCAGCAGAAGGCGGTGTGGGTGGCTCGATAATTGTTCGCGCCTCAGACGTCGCTCGCTGGCGATAAGAAGATTCTGGCCTTGTATCGTTCGCTGACGGCAAGGACGTGCGATCGTGCTCTCTTGGCGTAGGCGGGACGATTGTGTTTGCATCAGATGCGGCCCGTGAACGTGCCGATACCAGTGACCTGGTGTCGGCTGCTGACCTCACGTTATAAATCGACGAAAGTGGCCTTGTTTGCCGATACGGCGTTGGGGTCGGCGGTTCGAGTGTCTGGGTCTCGGACGTTGCCCGAGGACGATACGAAGTAACCGACCTCGTGTCCCGTGGAGACCTCGCATAATATGGGGATGGCAACGGCCACGCTTGGAGCAAAGGCGTTGGGGTAGGAGGCTCGACCAACTGCGCATCTGACATGGCTCGAGGCCGATACATCGACATCGTCATCGACCTCGTGTCCCTTGGAGATCTTTCTTCAAAGGGTGATGCAGGGCCGATAAGTTTCTGGCCTTCTACGGCTTGATCCTGTATCCAGGGCGACTTAAATACAAACGGGGAATACGGAGCGTTGCTTAGCCGAGCCTCGTTTCCAATCGGACGAACATGGCATGCTGCCGAAATCACCCGTGAGTTGGCTCCAACAATAACCATGTCGCCCTTCAGTTTGGTAAAAGAGATGAATAAAGGCAGGAGAGCGAGAACGAACGAAACAATGCTAAGGATTAGCAATGCTTTGACGGAGTAGCTGAGAGCGACGAGAGTATTTGGCTCGAAACCGATGCCGTCCTCAACATCACGGAGACCGGCTCCGTCTTTGCCAAGATAATCTAGTAAACATCAGGTTAGAAAAGAGCTTAGGGCAATATTGGCATCCAAGTTTAGACTTATTAGACTTACTACCCTCGAAGATGCTCAGGAAATACGTGTTAGACAGAACCCAATGGAGTAGCCCACTGATAACAATAAGAAGAATGCTAGCCGTGAAGGGCAATTGGAGACGATAGGTCGAAACCTGCGAGCCTCTGGGCGTCGTTACCCTCAATGGTTGATACGCAAGACTGTACGAGTTCCACTCCTTTTCAACAAAGAAACGAGTGACAAGCCCGTTATAATGATAGTAACAAGCCGCCAACACTACTTGAGGCTTGTTCGCAAAGAGAAGCGCTAAAGGAAACGAGTTCTCAGGAACATCCAGGCTCGTCATACGTCCATTCTCTGAGTTCCTAGGACCAAATCTAAAGTAAGAAAAGACGAGGATGCTCAGTGCCCAGAGGTGAAAGGCGTAGGTAAGAAACCAACTAAGCAATGAGACAGCGGATCCCTTGTAGTTGGCTCTCTTCGTCCACTCGCGTGGAGTGGCAAGGCCGAAACTGCCATTTCCTTTCTTCCTCATAATGTATCGTGAGACCAAAGTTGGTTTATCAGAGATGGTTAGGGTGCACATATTCTCCGTTGTAAGGTCCGGATCGGCAATAAACGAAGCAATGGCGTCTCCGGGGGTTACCAACGTGTCATCCGTAATGTTCTTCAGAACAAGGCTGGAACCAGTCAGCGATTTGGATATCACCTCGCGGGACCATAGCAAAGTGGACTTACAGAGATAGCGTTGCGATCAAGGCAATGCAAAGTGCTGAGAGACCCATCATAAGAGGAGAAACCCCTAATTTGCACAGCGGCCTTGACTCCTGAGCAAGACAGTACTGGACGTCCAGATTATTGAATTCATCGAACCGGAATCCGTCCCTCGACAATCTGGATATCTGATCCCCTGACTCGTCTTGTGATTCCTGGAACTGAATCGTCCATGTCTTGTTGTTCTCCGGGTTATTCAAAGGATCGTCAATGACGAGAGCATCGTGGGCCCCCAACGCACGCCCGCAAGACTGTATGCATGCTTTGCTGCCTTTTGCGGGCCGGGAAATCATCTCGCACACGGTAGAGAACCACAGCGAGTTCACTTGATTAGTCGGTACGAGGCTGTCCCAGTCTGATGAGGCGGAGGGACTGAGATCAAATACCTGAGATCGCGTCCATCCTCTGGTGTTCGTGGTTCCTGCCGTGTTCACCACGACGACGAGATCCTCGAAGTTCCGCCCACCGTGGCATTTGAGATACTTCTTTCGACAACTCGCAGGCTCGAGGCGCCTCCAAGTCGTTGCGGTTGCCGCAATAGCTTCAAGTTCGCGGACTACCTGAGGAGTATTTGCCAGAAACGAGCTAGCGTTAACTTCGCGACCGTATCCCGGCTCGAATCCTGGAAGAGCAAGACTGGCTCCGGGAGGAAAGAATCCTGCACCATTCACGAAAGGCTCAGCAGCTATCGTCAAATTCCACAGCCTTCCTGGGAAATCAGTCGCGAACACGGCGCTGTTAAATAGCATGTGGACGGGAAGCGAAGCAATGAGCAAGCACAGCCACGCAAAGACTTTGAACTTTGACAGCACGAAGAACAGGTTTGTGAGAGATGGCACCCCAATCTCCACGGATCTGCCCTTCGCGTGTGCTGCATCGACTTCTTCTCGGTTCGGCGAGTTGAGGACCTGCATCGAGAAATTCGCGGCCGAAAAGACGAGTGTCGCCACAATATTTAGAATCAAATGAATCGCGAAGTTGTATATCCTCGTCCTATCGCAGTCTCCCCCGAAGAAAAGGTAGTTGCCCATGAACGATTGGGTCTGCTCGCCGACGAAGAAGGTTGAGATGACAAGGCCCGCGAAGAGCAGCGCCAGGAGAAGGATGTTGAGTCCAGCCGCGCGCCTCCAGCCCGTTGCCTGGGAAAGAACGAAGAAGCCGGCCATGATGGTCTAGTGGCCGCGGTAGTAGAATACCCCCTAATGGGTGATGCTGGCTATCGTAGATGCGTGAATAGCACCATTTGCTTCGATGAGTTAAGAGAACGTACGATGAACCACAGCCGGGGGCGAAACGGTGTAAGGTCGTAGTCCAAGAGCAGATCAGTATGGCGTACGACCCTTGGCTTCAACCCATCCTCTCTTAGGATACCTCCGATCCCCCTCTCTCTCCACATGCGACGCGCGCGGGAGATCACACTGATCCCTGCGCTTCTGTCTGATTTTCATGGCTAACCGGAAGCTCTGGTCAACATGCGGCATTTGAGTGAGTAGAGGGGATCAGGTAAATTGTTAAGCAAGATAAAGCGTTCGGACCCAGCAGACTGGCAAAGGCGCCACGATGCTCGAGTCAATCCACATTTATCCCGATCCTACTCTATGCATCTGCCCGCACCCAAGAACGGGCAGGAATCGAGCCGCTGCGAAGCTGAAACGCGAGGGGCAGCCACGGCCCGGCAAGTCCCATGCCTTCAGCTGCTTGAATTCACAAACTCCCAGGTTCGCGAGAAGGACGGTATCATCACGTCTGAAATCGTGTCGCAAGGGTGTCCCAGTCCTGCATAACCACATAGGGCTGCTACCAACGTCATTCCAGTCCCATGGGGTAAGTGGCATGGGACATGCAATTTCTTAGATTCCGCTGAGCACGCTTTGATCAATCGAGATCTGCCCCTCTGCCCACCCCGCGCTCCAACGCGACGGCGATTCTGTCCGAAAATTCCTGGTATTTATTCCGGACAAATTATCGCAAGGGGATCGAGATCCCCAGGACATAAAATAAATTCTCCGTCGCGAAGAATTCCTGGCCAATATTGTCATGATATCCGACCTGCCACGATGATCTCACACTCTCCTGCAGCCCAAGGACCGCCCGCACCGGCGTTTGACAAGCTCGAGGCACCACAGTCGTCTGTGCAGCAGTCCCCTTGGCGTCCTGGGAAGCAGATGAAACCAATGCCTCCAGCAACGACGGTTTGTGCACGACAGCTAGCGCCCACGACCTTGACTGTGGCACCTCAGCTCGTAACAGGTCAAAAGGCGGCCCTTGAGAGAAACGTCAGATGGTTTTCTCTACCACATGAATTGAAAAGTTGGCAACATCAGCACAAGTAAAAATCAGATTCTCCTCGCTCTCGGGGAAAGTGACAGTTGATGTATACAAAGACGAAGATCAGGCCATTATCCACCAGTTTGACCATTAATGCATCTCAATTCAAGGAAATGAGACCGACCATGCTGAGGCCAACCTGTGTATCTGTCTATGCAAACTTTCTCTTCCACTCATCATTGATGTCGATGTAATCTTCGGGCCCGTACGGATCCGTAATTTCCTTCAGCCACCCACGTTTTCGATGGATTTGGAGGCCAAGATCCGCCATCAACACATCCATGTACGGAACGGCGTCAAACACAAAATCAGGATATTTCCATCCATGGTCTGCAGGGTACCTCCACTTCCCAAACCGATTGTACAGCACTGTTTCGTACTGGAGGTCGTCCAGCGACAACTTGTCTTTCCTAACTACCTGTCCCATTTCGCCCACAGCCTCCGCTGTGTTAACCGCAAGAACGCTGCTCGGGTCACGCGCAAGCTTTCCACCGAAGTAGGCCGCGATCCACAGACCCTGGATGTGAGTGCAAAGGGCATTGCTGAAATTCATGACGCCCCCTGCCACCGCGAAGTCCTTTGTACGTAGGAACTTAGGGGACACGGGCGCGATGAAATGGTAGAGAAGGGGTGGACTGAGGGGCGACTCGGGTGCACCGGGCTCATCAGTACTGAACGCCCCCTGTTGTATAAGGGGCTTGTATCGTTTGTTGAATTCCGGAGGGTTGCGGAGACTCGGGAACCGCTGCAATATTTCTCTGTCAGCCCTCTCAAATAGTCCGGCCTGTGAGGCCAGATCATGCTCATCATCTCCATTCTGGATGAGGTGGGGGAGCCCGATTTCCCTCTCGATGCCCTCTGGGAACATCTTCAAGGCAGGGGCATGCTTCCAGCCGGTCGCGCAAAGCATTCCGTCGGAATCGAGAACATCTCGGGTCGCGTTGGCTAAGTGCACTTTCCCTTCGCTCAAGTAATCGAGATCCGCAATATGCACCTTGACGATGCCGCTCCGGACTAATTCGAAGAAGTCTGTATCATAGTTGAGGATGCTGAAGGTGCAGCCAGTGAACATGGCGGTGGTCCATGGCTTGAGCTTCGACGTTTCGGCATGTTTATCGAATCCACAAAGGTCGTGGACATCGGAGCCAAGGATTTTCCAAAAAGCATTCGTGATTGTGCGTCCTATCGCCGTACCATGGAGAAATGAGCGGATCATAGAGTAGCCACCATCTGCACTCCATACACAGGGGCTGAACCAAGTAAGGAGTCGAGTATCTAGAGATACAAGTTAATAATCCTAGATCAGATTTGGACACCTTTCTCGAACGAATCGCAAGTGAGACGTACTAACAAGCTTTTCCAACCATAACCTCAGGGGAGTCACGAACGGCGGCGCCATCCAACAGCTTCCATGGCCCGACTCTGCAATCTCGTCCGTCAGCTTCACCACTGATAAAAGTTCGCTGCTGTGTCTCGGTACTTACCACGAATGACCCAATCAACCTGAACACCCTTGGTCCCGTAGGCGTAGACAGCATCCCAAGCAGACTTTGTGCCCCCAAAAACAGTCATCCTCTTCGTGTGTTCCGGGCTAACAGTCTCTGAATGTTTGAGAAAGTCTTTCGCGTGAAACAGGGGCCTGGCAAAGTCCTCTTGTCCTTTGATACGTGGCATAAATGGCTCTGAGGTCAGCCCAGTTGCAAGTACGAGGCGGCGGGCGAAGATCATCGATTCCTCGCCCTTCACATCTTGTCGGTCCGAGCTATCTACTGGACGGATTGTCAAAACCCATCCTCCCCCCGGCTGGTGCTCGGCAGACAACACATGTGTTCCACAACGTATGTCGTCGAAAAAGCCGAATCTTTTTGTGTACTCCGTTAGGTATGCATGAATGGCTTGCCCCGTGGGATGCTGGCGTGGCTGGATACCAAATACAGCAGGATCCATGGGGAAGTCGGGGAATTCATAGGTTCCTAGGAGGTTATTTGACTTGAGCCCGGGATAGAGCCGGTGCTCAGCCCATACGCCTCCAATAGTCGAAGCGTAGTCCAAGATGGCGATGGCATGATCAGGATGAAGTTCGCGGTACTGTTTGGCAGCAGCAAGACCATACCAACCTGTATTGAATATTCAATGAGCACATTGACGCAAGAGCAGCCCCGAGAGAAGTTTACTCACCCGCCCCCACAACAACAAGATCTAGTTTTTCCATAACTTATAGGCAAGTTCTCCTGACGCTGTTGGCGAGAGTCTATTCCTTTCGGGCTGATAACGATCGTTGTCCCAGTCCCAGATATCCTGAATTAGTAGTCGAGTGTGGGTGAATCCAATGTGGTACGAAAAGTATTTCAAGGCGACCTGGCTCTTACCTTACTCCAACTATTTCGACTCGACTATGATGCTAGTTATTAGGAAAAGCGGGAGATCAAGAATAGAATCGTCGAGGGCAGTCTTCCGCATCGCTGATATAATCGGGGGCAGGAACCCTCCCAAGTTTCATCGTTCGTCGAGAATGTGACCTTTGACCCGACCAACCAATCGTCCCCGCGACAATCCTTTCCAAAGGGAAGAATGCAAAGCGTAAGCTTGTAAGCTTACTTGCATCAAAATCTTACACCATTGGGTAATTGTGCTGACTTTGAAAGGCGGCTGACAAGACTTCATTGAGGAGGCACAGACCCATGCACTCGTTATCCCATGCTTGTTGTAGGGACCGAGTCAGTGTCGTATGCATCCCGAAAAGCACATAAATACTGGATGCATGTCCTGAATACATACTTTGGACGTAGGTAAATCATTGAGAGCGCTCGATTGTTGTAGAAACCAGGGGAGTCTCTGAGGAAAGAGGATTGAAGCACGCAAGGCCCGTTGGATCGAATAGCAACTTGGATCGGGAGGCGGTAAAGTAGTCGGCCAATTACTGGAACCAAGAATGCCGGGCCGACGACGTGCTCCGTGAATGAGTCTAACCATCGCAGACTCTCAAAGCTCGGAACTCGGCGCCGTTTGTCTAGCACAGCTTTGGGCAATGCAAGTCCGGGGGACCAGGACGAAGACTTCGATGTGCCATGTGTCAACACAGACAGTGTATCGATTGTTTTGCGTATGGTGATTCTAGAAGACGGAATTCATCGTCTGTGTGAAGCTCTTGCGGGGTCTGTAGAGAGGGATATGAATGATCCAAGGAGGCTCCGGAGAGAGCTTCGACTGGGATGCCTAACTTGGTACGTACCATCGAAGGGTGGAAAGAGCATCAGGGTGGTTGGGCAACTCGAAGCCCACTACTCTTTGTCCGGAAAGTCCACCTCAACAACTTGACTACGTCCCCTCTGGAAGGAGATGGCAATGGGAGATGACGAAGATTAACCCCCGGAAAGCGAAGTCGCGCCGATGATGTCAACATCGAGGGTACGTAGCGCTTACAAACGGTACTTTGACGTCCAAGACTGAGCCCTTGACTGTGCCTGCTTCAATAGCTCGGCCGATATCGTGAGGCTTTGGCAGGTTCGTGCTCCATTGATCCATTGATGCCTTGATCCATTGCTACGACATTGATCTGCCTCCGAACTACATTTTTCAGTCCATCCCTGGGACCCAACATCAGACTCCATCGTACACCCCGTTCTAAGCCCGAAACGATATTCATTGTCATGGCAAACGCCGCCACTTCATCCCTCTCGTCCCCGGCTCCATGATTCATAATTTCGACAATCTCTTGATAAACAAATATTCCTTATCCGAAATATCACACCCATGTATCGATCCGCTCGACGCCGACCCTCCCTCGCCTGGTCACGACGCCCATCGCCACCAAAACGGAGGAGAACAGGCCGGGAGGCCTTCAGGAGAGTATCGAGGTGCCTGTAGTTCTATCTTCCCAACAGCATCGCCCCCCAGGGGCATCTGTTGTTTTCCGCCCATGAAGGTTTCGAGTCAAGCACCTAGGGATGGACAACGAACAACTTGCCGAAATACTAGCCAGTGAGTTACCCCCCTTCCGCGGTTGATTCCTATGCCCGTATCTCTTTGTTTCTCTCCCTATCCCGGGACGCACTGTTCCTTCCACTAGCCAGCTCCCCGACTTCCGCATAATACAAGAGCACGACTTCTTTTTAGTGGATAACAATTTGACCTTTGAAAATAGGGGAAAACCTGGCGCTGGCAAGATCGCAACTCCGTATCCAACTCCTCACAGCCTGCATAAACATCGCCGCCGTCGTCCTAACCTTCTGTACCTTGCTCTGGTGGTTCTTCGAACACTACCTCCTTTACAAAAGAGGCCACGTTGCGCATGCGCATATAGTCCGAGATTATTCGCAAAGAATGAGGTTTCCGATGCCGCCGCCCGACCTATCCTTACTCCACCAACGAATCGCGACACGCCAGATGTCAGATCTCCAGCGCGACGTGGACTTTCTCATCCGGGAGGTGAGAATGAGACCACAGAGATTACGGATCCCGTATACTATGGAAGAGTTACAGCAGATATTTGAGTTTCCGCAAAACAGTCAGCAAAACAATCAAGCACACAGTCAACAAGACACGATACCACCCGTTTGAGAGGAATTTGTGCTCGGGGGAGGAAAACACATCCGTCTCTGCCGGTCACTGGGATTGGGCTCTTTGTTTCTCTAGGCGAGTGAGGGAGGTAGGCAGGATGGGCATTTTGGGAAGAAGAGCATCTCCGAGCAGAGCCATTCAATACGATATATTCCACAAAAATTGTTTCATCATTGACTAGTAATCGTATCAAACTCGATTTGATATAATAACGTGCCGAGCCAACTACAAGAAGGAGCCGAGAGAATATGGAGAAAAGGCAAAAAGAATGATCTAGGCAGGGATCGAACCTGCAATCTTTTGATTCGTAGTCAAACGCCTTGCCATTGGGCCACTAGGCCATTTTTCCGAAGGAAACTGGGTTGGGACTTCGCCTCTGATGGAAACCCCATTAACGGAACCCACTGGATAATCGCGCATAGCTTCTGCGTTTCTGTCAGACAGGGCATCCACTCGACAGTTGAACTCTTACAAAGGAGACCAAGACGCTGACAATTGCTCTCCTCAGCCACTTAGTGTGCTAACATTGCAGTGCTTCGTACCTCCAGAGGGCTCATTCGGCTTAGGGCCGGAGATCCGGGTCCAGCCACTGATCTTGCTGGATCCAGATGAGGCAGGAGCCTAAATGATAGGGTTGGACGGCAGTCAAAGGATCTCCAGTGCCTGGCAGTGGCTTGCACCTTGCTCCAGGGGCCAGTCCAGCCCTGCACAGGGGAGTTCGATGCCGGGGGCTCTAAGAATGGAAAACCAGGCACGAGGACAAACGCCAATTTTAGCACTTTGGGATGTCTTGGTCGAGGGAGGTCTTGCTGGATGATGAGAGGTGCCATTGTTTTGCCCCTGAATGCAATTAATAGACTACTACTTCGTACTATTACTTCAAATTGTTCGCACTTCGTATCAAATGCTTCGAGACTATTTGGCCATTTGAATATTTACTGGATGTCTTGGGAATTTGATGGGTCGTTGCCACAGGCTGTGATAGGCCGATGAAGACGGAAGCGCTCGATTTTGTCAAGTATTGAGATTACACGGCGGCTTTTGAATCACACATTGAATGATCATATTCTTCGTTGTTTCCTTGAGTGGAAACGCCCCCTTATTTCTCGGACCTTGATGGGACGGGTCCGTTTGCAACTCTACCCTCGTCTCGTCCGAAGCTACGAGAACATCTCTATCGAATTTTGAAGTGTGAGGTAATGTTACAACCGATCAATGTACCGATACGTTGAGGATGCACGTGAGTAATGCGGCGTTCTAGTTTAGGCACCACGCCGACGGTGGAGAATGGATAATACTGCAACGCACTGCGCTCGATATTATTGCAACCTAGGAACGCTGGATGAGATGATGGGTGATGATGCATTGTGGTGACTGTGCTGGTGGCTGCCTCTGCCGCTCTGCAACGCCAACTCCAGACCACATACTAATATCCGTCTCCAATCACGTCCAACCAGTAAGTCATATCTCATCGTCACCTGGCATACTTTGCCTGCCCTCCCCGCCCTCCATCAGAGGAAGTGTACCTCTCCTCTTTACATAATGAAGCTGAGGGGGAGAATGGAGAGAGAGCCATTTCGACCCAGGCACGTGATGCTCGAGTTGGTGACTCCGGGCCGTGATCCATTGCATCGACTTTGTGGTGCAATCCATTGAATAACTTCAATGTCTTTCGTAGCCATTAGTGGGTACTGGATTGGTAGCCGCTCTCAAGCCGAGAAGATCCATTTTCCCCAATCGAGTGGGACCTTAGCTACGGAGTTGACGGAAGCCCAAAAGAAAGCAAAGTCACCAGAGGATGGAATGGAATAGAAAAAGAAAAAAAACTTCTTCAATAAAAAGAAAAATCCCCACCGGAAGCCACTAGAGGAGCGGGAGACGGGGGTGTTGCTTTTGGAGTTTGGACGGCAGCCGCCGTAAGCACTTTCTGCCTTAATTGGGAACATCGAAAGCCATCCAATTTTACAGACGCAATGCACAGTGGGCAAATGTTTAGTTGAGTCGGTGGAGTCTCGGGGGTACCTGAGTCAACACTCCTATTTGGACTATTGACATGTACATTTATTCTTAGATCTTGGTCATTTACAAAGATAGTGTTGGAGTGTGCGAAATAGTGTAGATTTTTGTCGACAACAGACAGCAAGAGGCGATGTCCTCTATTTTCGTGGTGTTAGAATACCTCGTTCTCCAAATTGTTCTGCTTTACTTTGCAGCTTCGCTCTGATCCCCTTGTCCCGATCGTCGAATATCTTATGGTGGTATTATCCGCCCCTGCCTCCACTACCAGAGCCACCCAATCCCTCCCTTCCGGTACCTTGTACGTGACTACCGTGGGTCATACTTCGACTAGTTTAGAATAGTACTGCACCCATAACATTGAACTTCCCCGTCTCTTCAATGTTGTCTCTTGCTTGTTCAGCGTGGGCTGCACGACAAGTACATTTGGCTCCATTTTGAATTATCGATACTTGCCCGTTACTCGTGGAGTCGTGGCTAAGTTAGGTAGTTATTGTCCAGTCCATCCAGGCTCTCCAGAGCGACAAAGTTACTCCTACTCGCCTCAGCGCTCAGTGCTCTGTCACTACCAAATCTACAGAAAATTCCCACCCCCAACTTTCTCTGCATGTACGGAGTAGAGACGGTGGACGATTCCATCCATCTCGGCACCGCTAAGCCTAGTTCCTAGTTTTGCATACAACATCCCCGGTCTTTCGCCTCGCCTCCTGTGGACGACCACGCCGCTTAATTCCACTCAACTTCCCCTCCTTGAGCCTCCCTATCCAAGAAAAGCGCGTTTCGCGAGCCCTTTGCCATCAGCGACCACATGCGACGCATGCCCAATATAATCGTCTCCTGACCGAATCTCCCCCCTCGTCGAAGCGTCACGTTTGAGGAAATAAAACGACAAGCCCATTCTGCCCTGCCTCCTTAGTGTGCGACGACCTTGAATATCCGTGCTGTTTCCTCAACCACCCCCTTCCTTTATCCTCATGACGAACCGACAATCCTGAAGAATCCCCCCCCCCCATTCGAAGGAGAGAGAGAGCGTGCATACTTTCGTGTACAGCAAAGGGGGAAAAGAGATCGGAGTTTTAAAGTCTGAAAGGCCGCTTATTTGGCACTTTGCCCAGTTCAGGGCCAGACTTTGATCCTCGATGATGGTTCGTTCCAGCGTTATATGTCGAGATGCCCATAACATTGCCTTACTGTGTCCCCCCTCTGCCCTGTCAACCGTCGATAGGCAGGAATGGCCCGCTCCTTGGTCTTGGTCTATGAGATCTATAGGCCGGGCTCTCCCCCCTTCGTAACAGGCAACAACACATCCCCAGGAGCCCGACAAATGTGGCCTTCCCTTGCCATGCCTCCCTAAATCGTTGTCAAGAATACACATGTTGTTTTACCTGTTTGGACTAACATGTGTCTCATTCGCTTCTTTGTGCAGACCTCATCTCGACCCAACCAAGTTGGCGCAAGCTTTTCCAGCCGTCGCGGCCATTCCAACAAGCTGTCCATATCAGATCCGAGCCACCACGTAACAGAAGCCATCGGCACGTTGTACGATGACGAGGATGACGATTCATCGCTCGACCAGCCCCACCGACATTCCGTCGGCGGGCGACCGCTCAGCTTCATGCAAACCCCATACACCGAGCAACTAACCAGGGGAGCCACGCCCAACAACTCGGAAACGCGACCCTCTCTCGAACGATCGACGTCCGACAACACAGGGTTCCTAAGCCCCAATTCCGCCAACACTGCCAACGCTGCCAACGCCGCGCTAAAGAAGGCCCAGACGATGCCCACCAGGATCCCGAATCGCCTAAGCACGTCCTTCGATTCGAGCGGCATGCCGCCGCTGTCACCGACCCTATCACTAAAGGATGTGCAGGCCGACCCCGCCACGTCTCAGTTTGCCCTGACGAATATTGACAATCCAAATGATATCGCCCAGGAGCTCAGTAATCTCCAGGCTCTCAGGAGGATGTCGATGGATGTGGGGAACAACAATGACCCTGACATGCTACCCTTTTCGGCCATGTCCCTCATGGCCATGCCTTCCATTGCTCCTTCGGGCGGCGACGACGAGGCCGACCCCTCCAGGTTATTATGGGTACCTGCTAGGGTCCACCCTGAGTTGGCACCCATGGAGTTCAAGTCCTTTTTGGAGAAGAGGGTACAGTCTATCAAAAGGAGGTCTGCGAGCGAGTCATCCCTGTCGGAGGATGACGGCTTAGCCCGTAGCAACTCGGCTGGTTTGAGGAGGAAGAAATCCATGCTGTCGAGGCAGATCGACCCCTCTGGAGCCAGCGGAGGCTCAGGCTTTGTAGACGGTGCCGAGAGGCTAGGGCGCCAGGGTAGCGGTCGATCGACGCCGGAGTTAACTATTGACGAACTGGTCAAGGACCCGAGCAAGGTCGTGCAGAAACTCACCCAGGAGTCGAAGATGCAAGAACTCGGTGCGGAGTCCAACATCGAAGATATGCCCATCCTGCCGATGCCGCCCGGTGCGGGGCTGCGAAGATCAACCCGAACGCAATACAGGAAAGGGGGAAGTTTACGCAGTAACAAACTTCCATTTTCGAAACGCATCGCTTCACGGCAAGCCGAGGCAGCTGAGGCAGCAGGTGACGATGGTCAGCTCCCACCTCCAACGGCACCGCCGGGCCACGGCCTCTCTCGAACGCAGTCAGAGCCAATCTCTGAAAATTACTCACGACCAAACCGCCCTTTGCGGAGACAGCACAAACTCTCCCAAGATTCAGGGTCGCCAATCACTGCATCACCTACCACAGCAGACGCAACAACACCAACCGCGAAAGATGCCACTGCCTCTTCACAAAACCGTACATTCCAGGTTGACGGAACCAGCAGCCCAGTTCCCCAAATAATAGAAACACCTCCCGAGGAGACTCTCTCTACTACACAACGCTTCCCCCAAAGATCATCCTCCCAGAAAGCCGGAGCCCAGATGCTCACAACCCAACCTCAACAACAACAACAGATTAAGCAACAGCAGCAGCAGCCGATAATCCCCGATGAGCCACCAGCGAAATCAAGCAAACGTCAAGCAGTTGCGCGACAAGCTCAAGCATCTCCGCAGTCCCAGGCAACCAAGACCGCCTCGAGCCCAAGCGAGATGAGCCCCAACTCCACCCCGGTTCTCGCCGATGGCCGATCCAGCCGAACCGACACCCTCACCTACATCCCGACCTACACTGGAGACGACAAGAAGCACGACAGGAAGAGCAAGCGAGACAAGGACGACGACGCCGGCAGTACGACCTCCTCCAAGTCGGGCTGGAAGTGGTTCAAGGGGGACGACAAGAAGAAGAAGGACGACGACCATAAGAAGTCCAAGAGTAAAGGGTTCGTGGAGAGCAATGTGCGCCTCGACGTCATCCAGACATCTATTGAAAATGCTGTATCCAAGGGCCGCGAGAGCCTCCTTCTCGACAGGGACAGCCCGGACAACAACAAAACCAACGAAGATAGGAAGAAGGAAAGCAACCGCAAGTCCGACTCCAGGAAAGAGAAGGACGGCAACATATTTTCCAGCCTGTTCGGCGGCAGCAAGAAGAAAAGCGAAAAGGAAAGCGGCAAGAAGAGCCACAGTCGGAAAGTCTCCGAGGAGCCCCCTTACCGACCGCTACGACCGGACATGGACTACCCGTGGACTCGATTCCCCCTCTTGGAGGAGCGCGCCATCTACCGCATGGCCCACATCAAGCTCGCCAACCCGCGCAGGTCGCTGCATAGTCAGGTCCTGCTCAGTAACTTCATGTACAACTACCTCGCCATCGTGCAGGCCATGCATCCGCAGATGCAGATCCCCGTTTCCCCGCAGCAGAGGCGGCTCGAGGAGGAGCGGAGGAGGAAGGAGCAGGAGAATCAGTATCTTGCGGAGCAACAGCAGCAGATGCAGATGCAGGGTAATCAGGATAGCATCGACCGATATACATTTGACTACCATAGGGTAAGCGAGTTAACATAAGTCCCTTGAAGACAGTAGTTCGCTAACTTGGGCGGTTTATCAGGATGCAAACCAGGCGCAATATGGCGAGGCGCATGCTGCAGACGAGAGCGTCGATTATATGGATGACACTCATATTTATGACTACGATGAGCACAGCGATCAGAATGATCCGAGGGATCATGGGAACTCTTACGGTGGCCATGATGGCAACTATGGACAGCAGCAGGGAGGCAAAGACTACTACGCTTACGGGAACAAGCAGGATGGTGACGACAGTCGAAGGGGGGATTTGTGGTAGCCTCCTCTGGGAAAGCTGTGATGGTGCTCTGTTCCTCTTTTCTTCACAGCTAAATCCTCGTCGAGAGGTGTGCCGACTCGAACATAATGCCCCTTTACTCCTGGGACCCGAGTTGCCTAAGTTGAAGCCTTGCAAGATCCGCTGCGGAAAGGAAGGACGAAGCAGAGTGCGCGGGAGACTTGGTGCATTCATGGAGGATTGGATGACGGGAAGAGAACTACAGCAAGGATCGGGAGTTTCTATTGTGCGTGTATGAATGTATCTCCGAAAGCTTACCAACATCTTCTTCATGCATCAGGGCGGCGTTTTATTTTCATTGGGAACCGGAGGAAAGGAGGAGGTGTAAACGTTTTTCTTTTCTTTTTTTTTTATGTGATGGGGAGTCTGAAACATTTTTTCCTTTTGTACGAAGATGTCTATTTCTTTATCTATTTTATTTCAGGCGCGGTTTTATCTCCTTTTTCTTGTTTTACTTCTCGTTCCTCGCCTCTCCCTTCTTCCCTTTCCCTCCGTTTTAGGCCGTCTTTTGCTTATTTTGGTCCCTTTTCCTTTATATTTCTAGGAATGAAATGCGGAATGAGTGGTTGTCGAAGAAGGAAATGAACAAGATGCAGCGGGAATGGAGAGAGAGAGAGTGTGTGTGTATAGCTTTCTGGCGCGGCACATAGGGAAACATGAGATATTGCCAGAATTCCAAATTGTGGAGGTAACCAACATTGTTTCCTAAGGTTGGCTCTACTGTTTTCAAATACTTGGTCCTGGATCATGCGTTTGTGTAGTCGTTGTGTGTCTGGGTTTGCTGGTGGGTGTATGGATATAAGCGTTGCCCTTTGATGAGAAGAGTGTTTGTCTCAGCAGTTAAGACAAAGAAAGGGCAAAGGAAAGACGCCAACAATCACGGTCACAATCAAGATAAGCAGGTCGAATTTCTTAGGATTTCCGTGCTACCATCGAGGACTTTTAAGCTGAGGGGAAGGAAACACAAATGTTAATCAAGTCTCTGAGGCTGCTTCTGGACGTCTCGATATTGGTTCTCCCTCCTTTCGAATGTACTGTGACTCTAGCAATTCGAGAGGCTGGCCGGGTGTCTAGTTCAGAGCGAGCTTGAATTATTGTCGACATCATCTCATCTTATCAATCAGATCGGGAGAGGTAGTTGAGCGTACTCATCGGATGAAGATCCATGTCCAGAGGTTGAGGAGGAATCAAATGCCCAGTCCAGTCAGTGAAGGTCAGGCGAGTATCTACCGATATTTTGCCGCTCGACACCTGCTCATGCGGCTTGACAACACTGTGCTAATTAATAGTACAAAATAATTGGTGGATGCCCCCTAATACGATGGGCAAACACAACAGCACATTTCACAATTTTATGAAGATTAATCTCAAAACCCACTGTACCTCTGTATTCTCCCCACGCAACTTCATTGTAGGAAGCCGCTCGGTCCACTTCATACTTCATTGGGACATTGCAGGCGAAGTGGCACTGCACCTTTGGAATTGAACGTTGATTCTTGAGGCTGTCGACTCCTTCCCAAACCCTGGTCCGCTCTCAGTTCCTCACTGCCAAATTGTACCAATCCAGTCCCAAGGAATTTTTTGTCCCCATTCAGCGTTTGATATTTTCCTAGATCATCACCAACCCAGCCTCGTGCTGCATCCCGACCTCTTCTCTAAACCCTCCCTTTTTCTTCATCCCCCATCCGAACCTTCCCCCATCAAATCGACCTTCCACACATTTCTCCTAGCTCTCTCTTGATACCCCCGACCCGCCGACGCGATCGATATCGCGAAGACTCCGACGCCCATTTCCTCTTGAATCGAATCGTTTTAACCCAAAGCTTGCCTGAGGTCTCTCCTTTCGAAAGGCCAGGCTAGCAGCACTCAACCCCATCCCGAAACATCCCCTCCTCCTCCTCGCCGGATTCTTCCACGCCTCTTCTGCAATCTTCCTTTGACGACTTTCTTTGAGCTCGCCCGATTTTTTTTTCTTCCCCTAGGATGGCCGCTGTAAGTAATTTATCAAGCTTCCACGTCACCTGCGTCAGCCCATGTCTAGCTCTGCTTGAGCGCCTCGCACAGGCAAGGAAGCTTTTGCGACATTTACCTACCTCCGCCTCGTCCGTCTCCTCTGCCCAGCCGTCGACAGATAATCCCTCCTTTCCTTCCTCCATCTCTTTCGTCGACAGGCTCATAATTACGCTTTCTTCCCTACCCGGCGCATCTTTTCTCCCCTCGCCTACTTCATCAGACCAAACATCATCTTGAAATTTGATACTAATGACTCGCCGATCTCGCCAGCCTCGTATCTACAACAATTCAGGCTACCTGCCTAATGGAGCCACCAATCTTCCCCCGGGTGCCGCCCCTCTGCTGCCCAATCAGGGCCGAATAATTCAGACTGGCCCAATCCGAGTACTTTGCATAGCCGATGTTCGAGGTGCGCCCATCTCCCCTATACCGAATCTTACGTTCCGAATCACCCAGAGAAAAGGGAATGAGCTTTTGTTAACCGTTCTTGCTTGTAGGAAACCTTCGTTCCCTTAACGAGCTCGCCAAGAACGCCCGTGCCGATCACATCATCCATACTGGCGATTTCGGTTTCTACGACGACACTTCTCTCGAGAGGATTGCGGAAAAGTTTGTTGCTTCCCACTCGCTCACATAACCCGTCCCGGGTCCAATGCATTTTGGTGTCATCAGCTTTGGATGGTGATGCTAACGATTTGATCGTCTTTAGGACCCTTAAGCATGTCGCCCAATATTCCCCTCTGATCTCCGAGACCGTCAAGAAGGCTATCCAAGCCGGCCCCAGCCCCGTCAAGACTCGCTTCGCCCCCCACGATCTCCCTTTATCCGAGCTTCCCCTCTTGCTCAGTGGCGAGCTGAAGCTTGACGTGCCTGTGTACACAGTATGGGGAGCTTGTGAGGACGTCCGAGTGCTGGAGAGGTTTCGATCCGGCGAATACAAGGTGCACAACCTCCACATCATCGACGAGGCCCGATCCATGCTCCTAGAGATTGGAGGTGTCAAGCTGAGGCTCTTGGGTCTAGGTGGTGCCGTTGTCATGCACAAGCTCTTCGACAATGGTGAGGGCCGAACCACGATCGCTGGTGGCCAGGGTACCATGTGGACCACTTTGCTCCAAATGGGCGAGCTCATCGACACGGCAAATCGAGTTTACGATCCAACCGAGACCAGGATCTTCGTTACCCACGCTTCGCCTGCGCGGGAGGGCATCCTCAACCAGCTTTCCGTCACTCTCAAGGCCGACTTTTCCATCTCCGCCGGTCTTCACTTCCGTTATGGCAGCTCCTACAATGAATTCAGTGTGAACCCGACTCTCGATCACTACCGTGGTAAGCTTGCCGCGTCCAAGGCCTCTTTCAACGACGTCTGGGAGACGGTCAAGGGTGAAGTAGAGCCCGCCATTCAGCAGAACGAGGCACAGCAAAATCTGCTCAAGAACGCTCTTCAGATCGTTGAAAAGATGCCTACTACTGCCGCTGGAGGTAACCCCTTCGGAGGCCCCGTCGCCGGCCAGACAGCTCTTGGCCAGGTCGATGAGAGCGCTTTCAAGAACATGTGGAACTTCAACCTTGCAGATGCCGCCTTTGGCTGGCTTGTCCTCGAGATCCAGGATGGAAGGATTGGTACCGAGATGCGTGCCCAAGGCTTCAACTTTGCCCACCGTGGATCAAAGCAGCCACCCGCGTCCATCCCCGTACAGCCAGCGCCGGCTTCACCTGCAGTATCTTCCCCCAACCCCCAGGCCAGCCAACAGCCCGCGCCTCCTGCTGCCGCCCCCAGCCGACAAGCACCTGCGGCCCAGCAGCCTAAGCCCGCTGTTCCTTCTCCGGCCCCTGCCAGCGCTCAACCTAAAGTCGTTACTCCCCAGCCTGCTCCTACCAAAGAGCCCGAGAAGCAGGCCCCTGCGGCTAATGGATCCACCCCTACACCCGAAACGTCGGCCTCGCCAGCGCCCAAGACACCAGCGCAGGAAATCATCGGCCTTTTCATTATGAACGTTAGCACCGATGACCAGGCCCGTGATCTCTTCACAGATGAGGATAAAGCCAAGATTCTCAAGATCGAGAAGTGGGGTGCATCGAACAAGGTCGCCCAGTTTAAGACGACCGAGGAACGCGACGCCGCTATGGCTCGACTACCCGATGACATCAAGAACCGAACTCAGGAGGACCGGTCTAAGCCCCTCGTTAAGATCTTCCAACCCCGCGAGTCCAAGCCGTACAGCAGGGGCGGCGGTGCCGGGAATTGGGGCAGCAGCGGTCGTGGCGGTTCTTCCAACGCGGGTAGCGGCTACCGAAGTGCCGGTGGCGGCGCGAGCGACTCAGAGAGCACCCGACGAGGTGGTAGGGGTGGCCGTGGTCGTGGCGACCGTAGCCGGGGAGGCAGGGGCCGAGGTGGCCTGAAGGATGGCGGCGCTTCCTCGCCTGCTCCCTCTTCTGCCACCCCTGTTCCGGAGTCGTAAGGACATCTAACCCCATACGTCTCAATCCCCTCGCCATCACTTGACTCTCTATTGTGGACGGTACCCCTATCTACCGTCTACGACAGCTCGTCACAGGCGAGTTAACAATAGCAAGCACGTTAAAACAACAGCCTCGTACGGCTACAGTATTACTGCTGCGTTGCGAACCTTGGAATGCGAGGACGTCGCCCGAGGAAGAGCAGAGATGTGATGTACTCCTTTCAAGTCTTAGAAGAAGTGGATTATCTAGTCTTGACTGCAATGATACCACGGTGATATTTTTCTTCCTATCCGCCAAAAGGCGGCTATGTATTGGTAATACGATGGAAGGATCTGCACCTTTTGGAGGGGAGAGCACAAAACTCCTCGCAGAGTCTGGTATCGTACTCCTTTCGAAGTACCTATTCTTGTTTTTCTTTTTCCTCTTTTTTATTCCAAAATCTTGTCCTCTTTTTTCTGGGATCAAAATGTCACCGTTCTTGAGGGTGTTGTTTTCCCGGTTCGCGATGTTTTTTGGAGTCGGGAGGAAATTTAGTTTTAGCGCTTTTATTTTCTCATTCCTGCGCTTTCTGTCATGTTAACTAGGTGTCGTCTAATGGAACCTCTGTTCCCAATCTTGTGTTTCACAATCGTCGTGGTTTTGAAAGATTGGTTGTGGACTGTTTGTTTTAACCATCATTGTTCCTTTACACACCTTCTCCCGAATTCACCTTGGCAACAGGGTGGTGTACCGTCTTCACTGGAACCCTCTTGTTCTGCAGAAAAGGCTTTCTTTTTTCTTCTTGTTTCTCTTCGCTTGTGTATCTTGAAAGTGCGTGTAACTGAAAAGACGGGGCTGTTTTGGGGGCGGAATGAACGGAGGGTTAGGGAGGGACAATAAAAATGCTGCGTTAAACCTCGAACTCGCTGATGATATCATTCACCTCCCTACAAGCTGTGACTGGCATCCATACTTGTAAAGCATATTTCTTCTCTCCGGCTTAGTGATACGCGAGGAAAAATGTAGGCATGGCTTGATTGTAGAGGGATTTTATATATGATCATCTTTCGCGACCATCTAATTCTACTAATGTACATTGCCCGACCTGGGCTTCAACCCAATACCGCCCATGCCCGTAAACTAGATGCATGGAAGAAGCAAAGACCTGGAAGATCAGCCGTCTCAAAGGCCTCCTCTCCACAATTCTATAATTACACGACAGGCTTGATACCCTTGTGAATGGCGGCAATGCCATTCGTCAAGTTCTCATAGCCGTCACCCGAAACAGCAAAGCCCGCATCGACAATCATATCACGGAATTCCTCCTGCTTAGGGAACCGCTCAATGCTCTCAACGAGGTACTGGTAGCTATCCCTATCGCCAGCAACGACTTGGCCGATCAAAGGAATAGCGCTAAACGACCAGCGCTTGTACAGGGCATCAAGGATAGGGTTGCCCTGCACGGCGCTAAACTCAAGACAAGCGAAGACACCGCCGGGGCGGAGAACGCGGTGCGCCTCCCTCAACGCGGCAGGGATATCCGTAAAGTTACGAATACCAAAGGCGACGGTGTACAGATCGACCGAGTTATCCGGGATGGAAGCGGGCAGCTGGGTAGCGTCGGCGACGAGGAAGGAGAGTGCGGCCTGGTGGGAGATGGGGAGGGATTCGGAGCGGGAGCGGCCAACGGCCAGCATGGAGGGGTTGATGTCGGAGATGGTCAGGTGTACGGAGGGGTGGTTGTGGATGTCGATGGCGTGGCGGAGGAGGCGGAAGGCTATGTCGCCTGTGCCGCCGGCGATGTCGAGGAGGCGGAGGTCGGAGGAGGGTGTTGTTGGCACGAGGCCTGCGGAGAGGCCGGAGACGAATTGGTCTCTTTTGAGGGGGGAGCAAGTTTACATGGTGAGCACAATTGCACAGTAGTTTCAATTTCTTTGGGGGGCCATGAATTGTTTGCGGTTTCTTGACTATCACGGAGCGGAAAAAAAGAGAAGAGGAATGGGGGTTGTGAGAGAGAGTGAGAGAGAGATTAAGAAGAAGGGAAGACATACTTCCACACCCTATGCCAGCCGAAAGACATGAGATCGTTCATCTTGTCATACGACTCAGCGACACTGGAGAATACGCCCGCCACGCGCTTCGTCTTTTCTTCCTCCGTGACGGTCTGAAATCCGAAATGTGTCGTTCGTGAGGAGCCGTCGCTTGTTTGCGATGTCGAGGTGTCGAGGAGGCATGTGGATCGTGAGAAGGAACGGAATTGAATCGATTGTCGGGAAAGAGGTGATACTACACGCCTTGCGGCGCGTAGACACGGCCGTGACGCCATTGTAAAACTGAAAAGGAAAACGAATTGGGGGGGTTGAGCTGGAACCTATCCCAAGCGTCAGCAGGAGATTTTAGAAATCGCCAAATCGGAAAGTTTGAAGCTTGAGGTTCGAAATGGGATGATTGCATGGGGCTTTTCCGGAAGGTCGCAGTGTGGCTGAAAATGGGGCCCGCCACACAATGTGGCTTGGGTTTTCCCTGCAGGCACCCGCCCAAACCGCGAGCCTGGAACCGAGTGCCAAGCGCGGGGCACAGCTTGAGGATCGATCTCGACTTACCGCATGACTAGCTTGAGCTCACGAACGCAATTCTTCTTTAAGACACCGATCCCGACCGATGTCTGGCAGGCGCTAGGTGGGCAGGAGGAGGACGCTGGATGACTCCAATCTCTATATCCTCATTGTGCTGTTCGAGCTCTCGCTCTTGCTGGCGGCTGAGGACGGCGACGATGAAGTTCATCAGGCTCTTGCGGCTCAACCACGTTACGATTAGGATCAAGATGAAAATGACACAGAATGTCAATGCGATTCCGTCTCCTGGATCCATTGTTGCGTATTCCGTAGGGAGCAGTTGTTTGGTTTGTCGTTTTTCTATGATGCGAGTCGGAAACGTTTGCTTTGGGAGTCGCTGGACTGAAGGAGATGTTTAGAGAGTTTGGATATGTTTACGTTTTTATTCTACTGAGGATTTATGTTTGAAATTTGTAGGGATCAATGATCCTTCGTTCATGATGCTCTCTGCGTTCTGAAGCTTTGAGATTATCTTTGAGATCATCGTGAGTCTGCAACTCCTCGTTGAGTGTGCTTCTCCAGCACTCCTCTTGGGGGGGTTGGTGGGGTGTTCCTGAGTGAATCCAGGGGTACCAATTTGGTGTGCCCACCAAACAAGGGACTGGCACAAAACTCTCCAGCCAAAAAAACAACAAAGAACCTTATCAGAGCCATTGAAGGTGCCAATTCTGGAATTCCCCAGGAACCGTGGGTCCGGGGACAGACTCGTTTTCTGTCGGGTTTTTGCTGGGGAAGCCGGCATTTCATAGTCTCGGCCTCAGCTTTCGGCGTCGGCTTGCTGGGGTATTCGCTTTGCGTCGGCTCTTATGACGTCGTCCAGGATATCCGCGCCAGCCCGCCTAAGAAGAACAAGACCATGAATTCTTCGGAAGAGGACTTCTCCTCAATGTTTATTTTTTCTAGTTTGAGCAGTGAAATTCCAATTATTGCCCTTCCATTTCATTCAATTGCTGTTCCTGGGGAAATTTCCATCATCCTCACCGGTAGAATATAAGAGCCATCAAACATGTCTTCAGCACGGCTTCTACGAGGGCGAGCGATTGCCCGTCTTGCGAGACCCCTCGCTCGGCCTTCGCAACCCTCCTCGGTCCTCCTCATCCAGCGCGCCGCCGCCAGCAACCTCTCTCAGCGCCCAGATTCAGAATACGTCTCCTTCCCGGGAGCCGTCAAGAGTGCGTTCACAACAACGCTCAACTTTGACAAGCCGTCGGATCACGCCGCGATACCCACCTATCGCGTCGTGGACCAGCATGGCGCCGTCGTCGACACTTCCTTCAAGCCGGACCTGTCGACGGAGGAGGTGATAAAAGTTTACGAGGATATGCTGTTCATTTCGCTTATGGACTTGGTCATGTTCGATGCGCAGCGCCAGGGTCGTGTCAGCTTTTATATGGTGTCTGCTGGTGAGGAGGCTGTTTGCGTCGGATCGGCGTCGGCGTTGACTATGGAGGATGTGATATACTGCCAGTACCGCGAGCAGGGCGTGTTTAAGCACCGGGGTTTCACAGCTACCGACTTCATGTCTCAATTGTTTGCCAACAAGAATGATAATGGACGAGGACGGAACATGCCGGTTCACTATGGAAGCAAGGAACTGAATATTGTAAGTTTCCAAACTGTACACCTTGCCTCTATTGCGCTGCCACCAAAGCTCTAACACCATAATCTAGCATACTATCTCCTCTCCATTGGCAACACAGCTACCCCAAGCATCGGGTGCTGCGTACGCCCTGAAGATTCAGAGGCAAAATGATCCCACGATACCTCCTCGTGTCGTGGCGGTCTACTTCGGAGAGGGCGCGGCAAGTGAGGGTGACTTCCACGCTGCCTTGAACATGGCGGCTACCAGGTCTTGCCCCGTAGTCTTCATTTGCAGGAACAACGGCTATGCTATTTCTACGCCCACTCTAGAGCAATACCGTGGTGATGGTATTGCGAGCCGAGGTATCGGATACGGAATCGAGACCATCCGAGTCGACGGAAACGACATCTGGGCGGTCAGGGAGGCAACGAAGCGGGCACGTGAACTCGCTCTGGAAGACGGCGGAAAGCCCGTACTTATCGAAGCCTTGACATACCGTGTGAGCCACCACAGTACCTCCGACGACTCCTTCGCCTACAGGGCGAGGGTGGAAGTTGAGGATTGGAAGCGAAGGGACAACCCCATCATCCGGCTACGAAAGTGGATGGAGGCGCAGGGTATCTGGAGCGAGGAGAAGGAGAAGGAGGCGAGGGAGAGGCTGAGGAGGGAGGTGTTGCACGCTTTCAAGGAGGCTGAGCGCGAGAAGAAGCCTCCTGTGAGGACCATGTTTGAGGATGTCTACGAGGAGCTGACTCCGGACTTGAAGAGGCAGATGGCGGAGTTGAAGTCCATTTTGGAGAGATACCCTGACGAGTACGATGTGAACGAATTCGAGGGCGGAAAGAAGTCTTTGGACAGCTGAAACTATTTTACACCGGGGAATGGCGTAATACGTACTGATTATTGAATCAATATAGAAAGTTCACCATGCTCGTTGAATTGTTGAAGTTAGATTCATGACAAGCACCTAGTCTTTTTAAAGTTGAGGAGGAAAGGAGCATTTCCTAGCACTGATCTTGGGACTTGCAGTTGAGTACCAGATCAGTGGAAGTAACGAAGTATCTTTTCTCAACTGGATTCTTCCCCAAAGCCAAATGGAAGGAAACAGACATCAAAAGATCAATTGATGCATAAAGTAAAAATAGGGTTGTGTCCGTTTTAGCGGGGTAGCAGTATGATAGTACTCATAATTGTACCGTTCGCTTTATGACGGAATAACTTTTGGCGCTGAAGTTATCAAATGGCACTAAGTCTTGGCATTTGGAATCGTCATCAGAGCGTGCCTTCCCCAGAGCCAATAAACGGTGCATTACGAAGTAATTGGTGGAGCATACTCGAAGCGATTGCAGACAGCGAAACACGTCCTTGCGCCACCGTATAACACTTGGTCTGAAGTGTCTCGCCCATTACGGTGACCGATGACTCCGTGGTCCTTGACTCCTTAATAGTCCTTATTAATAGATTCGGCGGGTAGCAGACTTCACTGCAGTCGCCCTGAGTAAGACCGGGCACTGTTTTAGCACCTAACGACAACAGTCGTCACAATTGCAAAGTACCTTTGACCACCGCCTCAGGCTCTCAGCTCAGTCATTCATCAAACTTGCCCTCTGAAGGCTGAACTTGATCTCGTGCACCATCCCGTAACAACCCCCAACTTGCGATGAGCTTCAATAGACGCCGGTACACATCGACGAATTTGAACCGCCGAGCTGTCGATATAGTCCTCCCTTTCCTCTCCACAATATAGAAGCGGGGCTTTCGAGAGCGACACTGAGCATCCCGTTCCGATCACCTGTTAAGTTAACCGTTAAAGCGACCTGCTTCTTCCCCCCGAAGAGCAGCCCGATCTCCAGTCCGATCTCCCCCCGAATAGCGCAACTCATCCAACCCGCCGGACGTATCTGTATACCCTACGATTAATTTACGGCGATACCGATAACAAGCCCTCTCCCAACTCCTCCGGGGCCACGGCCTGTCTGCCTCATGGCGTAATCCATGGCAGAACGAACCTCGGTCGTTGTCGATAGCGATCCACGTCCTTCCGGTCGACACTCCTCACGTTCCCATCATCAACCATCCATACTTAACCAGACGTCTCCACGGCCGGCCTCTTCATCTCACATCCAAGGAGATAGCGGCGCCGCTCCAAGCGTGACGGGAGGCCTATCTGATTCTCGACAAAGGTATCGATCCTTTCCATCCTCGCTTGATTTTCCTGCGTAGTCTTGCCCCAGACCGTCGTAATCTCGTCTTTACCCCCCTCCACGATTCCCCGAGGCTCTAGTCCGTTGCCACCTGCCGCGTTCCCTTGGAAAACCCACATGCACATAGAAGAAGGTATTGGTGTTCGGTAGAGCATCGGGCCTCACTTATCCCGGAGCCTAGTACGTCTAGTACAAGCCCAGCCGGGTTGCAAATACCTGTGCCTGTACCTGTGCGGTAATTCGTGCATTTGGCGAGGCTTTGCTCCTGCCTCTTTTTTTAATATATCCACGTCTGCACCTTCCACCTCGTTCATCTTCCCTCGGTCTCCCCAGACTTGGTCTTTCTTTCCTTCGTCCTGACAAATTTTCCCTAATTCCACTTCGAAGAAAGAAGAATCGTCTTTTGCCAAGTGGAGCAAGAATCGGACCCGTCCAGGCACACCACCTAATCTTGGGCTCTCTCGACTTTTCTGGGCCCCTCCCAACTTCCCAACTGCCAACACCTCTATCCTCGCCTTCTACCTCTTCTCTCCTCCGCTGCTCCCAAGGCAAATTTTCTTTCTACTTCCTTTCCCCTACGGCCTCTCTACCTCTGGGCGACTTGATTCAGATTCTGACATCAATCCCACCTGGTCATTATCTGGATGCAAACAAAGCCGCCCAGGTGCTTCCTGGGAATTCCTTCCTCTCCCGAACTACCATCATCGCCTCAGCTCTAGAGTTGTCTTCGTTCCTCATCCCCCAAGGCTGATGTTTCAGCTCATGACACGAAGCTCTAGCCATTTTCCAACCGCAGCGAGCTGACCTGATGTCACCTAGAATTACAAGATCGGCCGCTCGCCAAGCAGCAAACCGAGCGGCTGCCCAGTCGTCAGCCTTGGGCCCCACCTCCGTCCCTTCTGAACCCCCGGCTGCACCTTTCAGCGCCACTGGTATAGCTCCTAACGGCCAACCCGCCGCCGCAACAAGCACCAGAAAGCGAAAGCTGCCTACAAGTCGGGACCAGAGTCCTTTGTCTGGTGGGAATCAGCAGACATCTCCCACTCGTCGGTCGAAGCGGCAGAAGGGCTTGGATCCAACCCAGCCTCCTACAAACCCCCCGGCGCCGTCCTCATCTCGACCACAAACGAGAAGGGGCAAAGCCGCTTCCAACATGTCAGCTCAAGAGTAAGTTCTTCTTTAGGTCCATCCATGAAGGTAGCCTCTGTGCCAGTTCTCACTGACCACTTCACTTCCTCTCTCTCCAGCGATTCCTCGGCTCCTTTTAGCACAGCTAGATCGGCTACTCCGTCAGCGTCGTCCAGCAGGAAGTCGAGCCGAAGCAAGAAGCCCACTAGCTCTACTCCAGGTATGTGCTTTCTACCGGGCCTTAGTATGGTGCCTCGTCGTCCATGCAATGTTCTTGTGGCATAAACGCACTACGTGTGCTCTTGGTGCTAACTCTCATTTTAGATACGGGTTCCAATCGTCGGTCAAAGAGGAACGCAAACAACTCCAGCGATGCAGCAGACCAAGACACCGCCATGACAGGTGCGGATGACGAGCCCCAAGACGCTCCAGACCCTTCGACATCTGTACCCGTTGACGAGAATCGCTCTGCCGATGACGATAGCGACGAGATGGACGAGGATGATCCACAACGGTACGATGAGGAAGAAGAAGATGACGGCCCTTTCGGTGCTTTTGGCGGACGACATGGCTCAGGATTTTCGAACACCCTTCGGGCTCTCACCGGCATGATGTCTGGTGTGTCCTCGCGGTTGCGAGACATCTTGAACAGTCTACGCCAACCAGATGAGTTCATTCAGCAAGCCGCCCTCCAGGAGCTCTCCGAAATCCTCCTTGTTTCTAATGAGGATAACCTGTCCGGTCACTTTTCCCCAGATTCCTTCGTCAAGGAGCTTGTTACATTGATGCAGCCACCGAACAGCCCAGAGGTTATGCTCCTCGCCTGCCGTTGCTTAGCGAATCTTATGGAGGCTCTCCCGGCTAGCGTGGCTAACGTTGTCTACGGCGGTGCTGTTCCCGTGCTTTGCAGCAAGCTACTTGAGATCTCTTTTATCGATGTGGCTGAGCAATCTTTGAGCACTTTGGAGAAGATTTCGACCGAGTACCCTACGGCCATCGTACGAGAGGGAGGTTTAACCGCCTGTCTCTCCTATCTCGACTTCTTCGCCACCAGCACGCAGCGGACTGCCGTCACGACTGCTGCCAACTGCTGCCGCAACATTCCTGAGGACTCATTCCCCGTCGTCCGAGACGTTATGCCCAAACTCCTTGATGTTCTCGGTAGTAGCGATCAACGGGTGGTTGAGCAAGCGTCCCTGTGCGTCTCGGGAATTGTGGAGAGCTTCAAGTATCACCCATCCAAGCTCGAGCAGCTGGTTGACGTCGACCTTCTGCGAGCCGTTCTTCGCCTGCTTGTCCCAGGCACTACTAACCTGATTGGACCTAACATTCATACCCAATTCCTTCGTGTACTGGCCTTCACCGCTAAAGCTAGCCCGCGGCTCTCCGCCGAGCTGTTCAAGCTTAATGTCGTCGAGACTCTCTATCAGATCCTCACGGGCGTCTCGCCACCAAGTGGCACAGAGGATGTTGCGTCCAAGCTGGATAGCGTTGTCATTATGCAAGCATTGATCCATCGTCCACGGGAGCAGATTATCGAGACTTTGAACGTTATTTGCGAACTACTCCCCGGTCTCCCGCGTAGTATCGAGTCCTCTCTGCTCCTCGAGTCGCACATCTTCCCAGAACCCATCTCCCTCCGCTCGTCCATCGGATCTGGAAGAAACCAGGATGAATCCAATGACAAGAGACTTGAGATGTTGGAAGAGTGCAAGGATGAAGTTAGAAGATTCGCTTTGATCCTTTTCCCAACTCTTACCGATGCCTTCTCCAGCACGGTCAACTTAACCGTGAGACAAAAGGTCCTCACCGCACAGTTGAAGATGCTCTCTAACCTCGATGTGAGCATCTTGACCGAGGCCCTTAGGTCGGTCCCATATGCCTCATTCCTGGCCTCCATCTTATCTCAGAAGGATCATCCTTCCCTCGTGATGCTTGCACTCCAGGCTACTGAACTCTTGGTGAGCCGGCTGGATAAAATTTATCGATACCAGCTCTATCGCGAAGGTGTTATGGCCGAGATCACGCGACTTGCCACCGAGGAGGATGCTCAAGTTTCGTCGCCCGCGTCAGCAAAAGAAGAGGAGAGTCAGAATCGTGAGTCCCGCACCTCGGCGGAATCAGCTGAGCGATCCTCGGACCATGAGGCATCTGAAAACGAGGACGACGAGGAACAGGCATCCTCAGACGAGGAGAATGAGGAAGAGGAGGGAAACTACCCACGGGGTGACGAGGCTTCTGGGTCTCCGGTCAGTTCTCGGGGATCTACTATGTCCATCGACGACGGGCCGCGTCATATTATTTCAGAGGAGGAAAACGCACGCAACACGATTCGGAATGTTGCGAAGAAGTTCCTCGAGACCCACGAGACTGAGAACCAGAGTAGGGTGATGAAGGAGAAAGCCGCCAAGATTCTTGACAGCTTATCTATTCTTGCAAAGGACCTCGGTAAGCTGTACCTGGAGCCAGCTTCAGGAGCTCACTCTACCGAAGCGGGAATTGCATTGTTCTCGAGACTCGCTGCGTACTTTGACACAGACCTGCTGGAGAGTGTCACCAGTGCCGAGCTTTTAGCCTCGGGCCTTGTGCGTGTTCTTCTGGACGTGTTTAGCAACCCGGATGAGGACCTCGCCCGTGCAGCTCAATCCGCCTTCCTCCAGGTTTTCATGGGTGGCATTAGCAGCCTCAACTCTAAACTCCGCCGCGGCGGCGATTCTTCAGCCACTCCATTCAGCATCATGATCCACAAGCTGCAAGATTTGCTCAGTAGGTCCGAGCATTTCGAAGTCATCACCGTCCATAACAACTCGGGTGATGGTAACCGCAGTAGTGCTGTGTCTATGCTTGGCAAGCAAATCCGCCTCCGACTTATCGCAGAGGACGATTCAGATATCCCCCGTCCGTACCGGAACATCGTCGTATCTATTCAAGCGATAGCTACTTTCCAGTCCCTGGACGACTATCTGCGCCCTCGCATCTCTATTACGGAAAGAGCACGAAGCGCTCGTCGAGATGGGCTCACCAAGGCTTTGGCTGCGATGGCTGGAGCTCGAGGACTTCCTCCCTTCGCTGGCTCATCGTCTTCTGGTAGGCTCGCCGACCGATCCGCACCTGGCTCGGTGGCTACTCCACCTCCACCCGCATCCAATACGACTTCCTCGGGCACGAGAGCTTCTCGGAAATCTAAGTCGCGGCCTACCGCCGAAGCCGATGAAGCACAGGCGTCCACGCCTTCGGGCCCGTCGCGTGAGAAGCGAGCTTTGCGGCGATCATCTTGCCGTCAAGGTGCGTCTACGGAGACGCCACCTCCACCTTTGCCGCCCCCAGAGGAAGATGACGATCTACAGGACGCCCTTGAGTGCGCCGATGAGAAGCATCTGACTGATGAGGAGGAGGATGATGATGAGGATGAGCCGAGCGAGAACCGTACTCTCGCGGATCTGGCGGGTGATTTGGATGAGGAAATGGACGACGAGCCTACCCCTGACCCGTCCGCTGTCAATTTGGAAGTTGCTGGTGACAAGGTCACCGCCAGAAATGAGGACGGAACAAGGGTTCATACTCCCAGCAACGCCAATGGCCGCCACCCTCCCCCCAACCCTGCTACTCAGGCGACTCCTACCCCATCCGCTTCCCGCCCCATGACCTATGCGGCCGCTATCCAGTCCACTCCCCAGGATTGGCACGTTGAGTTTAGCTTGGACGGAAAACCTGTTGGAAACGACACTACTATTTATAGGGCCGTTCATCACCTAACAGCTTCTTCCGAGGAGCATGTTGGCCGAAGCATTTGGTCCCAGGTTCACTCCGTCAAGTTCAAGCGAGTCCCCGGACCTGTACCTCAGGAGTCGTCATCTTCATTCACAGTGCAGTCGGATGGCGAGCCTGCTATTGATGGGATCCCGGCGTCTCTTGCTAAGCATCCCACTACAGCCTCTATTCTTCGCCTCCTGCGAATCTTGCATGACCTCAATGCAAACCTCGAAGACGTGCTTGTGGAGAACCAAGAGAATATCCATATTTCTGCGGAGCCCCTCTCCCAGTTTGTGAACACGAAGTTGACGGCGAAGCTGAACCGTCAACTTGAGGAGCCTTTGATTGTGGCGAGCAACTGCCTTCCAAGCTGGTCCGAGGACCTAGCTAGGCTTTATCCATTCTTGTTCCCATTCGAGACGCGTCATCTGTTCCTCCAGTCGACCTCGTTCGGCTATGCCCGCTCTATGACACGCTGGCAGAATGCACAGTCTGCGGAAGACTCTCGTCGTGATAGGAGAGACGATCGACCTTTCCTGGGCCGGCTTCAACGACAGAAGGTGAGAATAGGGCGCGCCAAAATCTTGGAGTCGGCTCTCAAGGTCATGGAACTTTATGGCGCAAGCCAGAGCGTTCTCGAAGTTGAATACTTTGAGGAAGTTGGTACCGGCCTCGGCCCCACCCTCGAGTTCTACTCGACTATTAGCAAGGAATTCTCCAAGAAGAAGCTCAAGCTCTGGCGCGAGGTTGACTCGAACGAATCTGATGAGTTCGTCAACGGCCTTACGGGCCTGTTCCCGCGCCCGATGAGTGATGAGGAGGCGTCGTCGCCTAACGGAGAACGAGTGCTCCACCTGTTTACGTCCCTCGGCAAGTTCGTTGCCCGTTCCATGCTGGACTCTCGCATCATCGATATCAACTTCAACCCCATCTTCTTCCGAATAGGCGACGAGTCGTCTCCCGTCGGTATTCGACCATCCCTTGGCGCAGTCAAGGTTGTTGATCCCGGCCTAGGCCGCTCGCTGAAGGCAATCAAACGGTTCTCCATCGCGAAGAAGGAGATTGACGAAGACCCCAGCCGAACGCCTACGCAAAAGGTCATGCACACGGAGGATATTGTCATTGACGGTTCCAAGATTGATGACCTTTGCCTCGATTTCACACTGCCAGGTTTCCCTGATATCGAGTTGGTTCCTAATGGGTCTCAGATGCGCGTAACTATCTCGAACGTGGACGAATACCTCGACCGTGTTATTGACATGACCCTTGGTTCTGGTGTTCGTCGGCAGATTGATGCCTTCCGAGCCGGTTTCAGTCATGTGTTCCCCTACTCGGCACTGAGTGCTTTCACACCCGATGAGCTCGTGTCTCTCTTTGGCAAGGTTGAGGAGGATTGGTCTCTTGAGAGTAGGTGGTCACTATAACACAGCCCCCACCCTGTAACTTAACACTAACATACCTGTTTTGCAGCACTTATGGATTCTCTCAAGGCAGACCATGGCTACAACATGGATAGCAGATCAGTGAAGAACCTGCTCCAAACAATGAGTGAGCTTACTCTCAGCCAGCGACGAGAGTTCCTCCAGTTCACGACTGGTAGTCCTAAGCTACCAATTGGAGGTATGTTACTGATGATCATAGATGACTTATTTACTTATATAGTTACTAACATATTGATTTGCTTCTAGGATTCAAATCTCTAACGCCCATGTTCACTGTTGTTTGCAAGCCCAGCGAGCATCCCTACACGTCTGATGACTATCTGCCAAGTGTCATGACCTGTGTGAACTACCTCAAGCTGCCTGACTACACGACCATTGATGTCATGAAAAAGCAGCTGTTCACAGCCATGAAGGAGGGTCAGGGTGCATTCCATCTCTCTTAGGCCACCATCTCTCATTCTTTGTCTGAGGGCCAGTCAACCTGTCCTCGGATGCAAAGTTCTTTTACTGCCTCTTTGATCAATGCGGTTTTCATAAGAGTGTACCCATTGTGGCCTCTATAATAAGACCATTTCTTGTCCTCTTATTTTTCTCTTCTTTTGCTGTTTCACACACTTCCCAAAACACCCCCAAAACTTATGAATCTCGATATCTGCACAGCTTACGACTCATGCTGTGGACAATGGATGACAACTGGAATTGCAGGAGGGTTAGGTGGCCAATACAGTACATGCATGCATCATGAAAACAGGATGGGTATGGCGTAGGAGAAGGTGTTTCGTCCTGCCGTCTCTTGATTTCGAATTCCTTTTAGCTTCTCAATGTACAGCCACGAGGATTGTACGTAGCGCGTTTCTAACGGCTCCAAAGAAAAAAGAAAAAAAAGAACAGAAAAAAAAAGTGGCGGAAGCCTCCCTTGATGGGGTTCGGCCCCTTTTGAGGTGGAAGGCTTCGGATGGTCGGTTTGATATTCAAAATTGCAGCTTTTATTAGATTGGTCCCTAAAACACTTGATTTTACTCTGCGGATAACTTGATTACCGGTAGACGATGTCCCATTCCTATTAATGGGTTGTGAAGTAGGTTGCCGGTGTACGTTGGCGCAACAATGACAGGACGGTTGCTAGATCCCGTGCGTTGCTAACCACGGCTCGGTTCGTTCCAAGATTGTACGAGAGCCGCATATATGTAGTAGACAATGAAAGTAGAAGACCGACAATTGATAATTCTAACACGAGTATTTTATATACATAGGTTTCTTTTAGAGGATACTACCCGCAATTTTCAATGCTCTATTTCTTCGGCTCCTCCGTCTTCTCCTCAGGCTTCGGCGTGGGTAGCTTGAAAGAGTCAGGTTTGAGATCAACACCGGGGCCGATCTGCTCCCAAGCACTAGATCCGCCCTCGAAGTTGCGGAAAGCCTGGGTAAGCTCGAGGGGCTCGGTGACGATGCGCTTCTTCTCCTCATCGTACCTGATCTCGGTGTAACCGGTAAGAGGGAAATCCTTCCTCAAGGGGTGGCCCTCGAAGCCGTAGTCGGTCATGATGCGGCGGAGATCGGGGTGGCCGACGAAGAAGACGCCGAAGAGGTCGTAGACCTCGCGCTCGTACCAGTTGGCGCCGTCGTAGAGCGGGGTGATGCTGGGGACGGGGGTGACCTCGTCGGCGTAGGTCTTGACGCGGATGCGGGAGTTGTGGCGGACGCTGAGGAGGTGGTAGACGATCTCGAAGCGTTGGTCGCGGGTGGGATAGTCGGCGGCCGTGACCGTGCTGCATTGGGTGAACTCGGCAGCGGTGTTATCTAGGTAGAATTTGGGTTAGTTTTCTTGTGAAGGGAGAAGAGAAAAGAACAGGTAGAGAGGAGAGGAAGAGATAGCGGATAAAACGGAGACAGCCTGCATACACTTGAGGAAGGAAAAGACGGGAATAACACCGGACGGAGGGATGTAGATGGTGAGCTCATCCTTCCAGACCGAGAACTGCTGGACGTATTTGGGAAGGCAGCCCATGACCCAGGTTCCGTATCGGTGGAGGGCATCAGCCTTGGAAGCGTACTGATCGGCAGGGTTGACAACAGGAGCCTTGAGAGTGCCAATTGGGTTCCTGGGCGCGTGCCTCATGTTGGGGGAGTCCTTGCCGACGGTGACATGTTGCGCAGTGGCCGCCGTCGCGGACAGGCAGCGGAGTGCCTGGGCATTGGTGGCTTGGATGGAGGGCTTCGCAGGCTGGAGAGCCGAAGCCAGAGCTCTGCTTCGACAGACCCGGCTGGCCATTGTGTGTATCCAGATGCCTGATGTTGGCCAATGGACTGAGGGATTGGGTGGATGTCGAGTGAAATCTTGCGGGATTGAGGAATTGATGATGTCTCTGGGAAAGGCGGCATTAACAATTTCCGCAGTGGTATTGGCTAGCCTCCCGAACTGTTAACAGGATACTAACGGTGCTCTATCAAAACCGTACGGAATTAGAGTATCTCGCTAAGAATTATCATCATGAGCTTGCCGGGTATAAAGTCACGCTTTCATCCACGTGACATTTAGGCAAGCCGGTACCTAGTACATTCGTTTCCATGCTAGCGTGTTGTCCGGTTCTTTCCTTCCATCTTGCACTGTGATTGCAGGCGGAAAAGGCTCTGTCTGGTTCTTTCCCTTTCAAAACCTTATTGATCTATCCATCTCTCTTCTCTCTGCCCGATCTCGATCCACGACATAAAACCTTCTTCCAACATCCTGAAAACTATCTCCGCATTCCTTACTCTCTTCCTCCCTACGTCTTTACATAGTCGTCCGATAATTAATCTACTACCCTCACAATGTCGCCGCAAGATACCTTCATCGATGATGAGGATGATTCCTGGTAAGTCTTCCCAGCCGACGCTGCAGGTTTTGAGCCTGATCTATGGATCTTGATTTTCGCGTCACATCTCAGAGCCGCATCGCCGACGACAGTCCATGATATCTAACTTTTTTTTTCTCGTGCCACAGCCCTCTCTGCATCGAAGAGTTCGATCTCTCGGACCGTAATTTCAGACCATGCCCCTGCGGTTACCAAGTATGTGATCAAATTTCTATCCCAGGAGCCGATCGAAACACACACACCGATCCAGCTGGTTCTAACGTTTCACACCCACCACTTCTAGGTATGCCAGTTCTGTTTCAACAATATCAAGACGAATATGAACGGACTGTGCCCGGCATGTCGACGACCTTACGACGAGAAAACGATACAATGGAAGGTTGTGACGCCCGAAGAGTATGTGTCAACATCCATTCCGATCCCCTTCATCGCTGCCCCCGACCGGCTTTATTTGCTAACTCATTGTCCAGAGAGGCGGAATTTCGAGCGAACATTACGAAAAATCAAAAGAAGCGAGCTCAAGAGCAACGACAGAAGGAAGCTCAGAAACGAGAGGCCGAGAAAGAAAACCGAAAAAACCTCGTCGGCGTACGCGTTGTTCAGAAGAACTTGGTCTACGTAACGGGCTTGACCCCGACCGTTCGTGAGGACGAACTCACCAAGACGTTACGGAAGCCCGAGTTTTTCGGACAGTACGGTAACATCCAGAAAATTTCCATTTCGAATCGAAAGGGTGGCGAAGGACAGAATCCTTCGCTCGGCATCTATGTCACTTTCGAGAAGCCTGAAGAGGCTGACCGCTGCATCCGGGCTGTCAATGGATCACAAAACGGAGACCGTATTCTACGAGCTCAGCTCGGTACAACCAAGTATTGCTCTGCTTGGTTGAAGCATGAGCAGTGTACTAACCGTGGATGCATGTTCCTGCACGAGCGTGGTGATGAAGAGGACAGTTACACTAGACAGGATCTCTCGTCCATGAATAGCATTCACACCCAACGACCCATCTCGTCCGCCAGCTCTTCGCGCGCCGCCCCTCGTCCCCAACCCGCACCGCCGCAGTACCAGGCACCTCAACTTCCTCCACCCCCAACCGCCCAGGCTGCTGGCCGACCGATGAGCAAGGATGGCTCCGAAGAGAACGGAACCGACGGGTCCGCCCTACCCTCTTCCGCGAACTGGGCGCGAAACCCACAGCGCAGCCGACGAGGTAGTCATGCTACCAGCGGAGCTGCGCCTAGTCCCGCCATTTCTGCTTCCTTGCCCGCTACGACCGAGGAAGCCGTCAGCGATTCTCCTGCGCCAGAACCGGCAAAACTTGCCACTACTCAACAACAAAAGGACCGCAAGGCTTCGAAGTCGCCTGAGGCGGTTGCCGGACCCTCCCAACCACCGGCAAGGGCCGGTGGTATCCCCGAAGATGTCCTTAAGAGCATCGTCAAGAAGCTCTACTCGTGGAAACTCCCCGAGATTACTCCCGAAATCAGCCAGTCTGTCGAGCTCTATCCCCCCTTGTTCGACATCCGTGGTGGTGAAAAGAGGAGGGCTATGCGCGAGGAGGAGGCCCGTCTTGGTGGAGAGCAGGAGGAAGCCGTTGAAACACAGGAGCCATCAGAGGAGGGTGAACCCGAGACGGGCGGTAGTCTCGCTCTCGGCGGCGAGCCTGAGGAGAGGGAATCGACTCGGGACGGACAAGGATTTGACCCTCGACGTGGTGGAATTCAGCCACCTATCCAGCGATCCAGTGCCGATGGTATCTTCGGTCCTGCCCTCGCTCAGAACGCCAACCTGGGATCTATTGGAAGCCGCACTATGACTCCCCAGCAGCAGGCTTACATGCGACCCCAAAGCGCATTTGCCGATCACCTACCCCCTGGTATCTCGGCCACCCAATCCCTCACTTCTCTGATGCAGCAACAGGGCCATAGCCGCCAGTCATCGAGGTTCAGTTTCGCCAACGAAAACGCCGGTGGCTCTGCCTCTATCCAGCTCGCTGCCAACCCTAGGATCATGGCGCAGCAGAAGGCTATGATGCCCACCTCCTATCCCTCCCAGCCGGGTAGCCAGTACTATACCACCTCGGTTCCTGGCCCTCCCCCGGGCTTGAAGTCCACGGGAACTCCCCCAAGCATGTTTGGCCAGGGACCGACCTTTGGCGGGTCGCCTTTCGGTGCAGCACCGAAAGACACGAACAGCGATCTGTTGCAAAGCATCATTCGCGGAAGAGCTGCTGGGAATGCCCAGGCTCATGATGCAGCAAAGCGTGAGTACATTAATTCTCCTTTTTCCAACCAGTACCCATCTTCCACCTCCTCTACCCCAGCTCCTGCTTCGGGCCTCCTGGCGTCGCTCTACGGTAACCAGCCTGGAGCATTCCAAGACTTTGGTTCAAAGCAGAAGAAGAAGGGGAAGAAGCACAGACATGCTAACACTTCCTCCTCTGGGGGGAGTGGCTTAGTAGATCTTGCGGACCCGAGTATCCTGCAGGCGCGAATGCAACACCAGGCTCAGAGCAACGCCGGGGTCGGACAGGGATTGTTTGGTGGTCAGAGTCAAGGTGGGTACAATCCCAACATGATGTATAATTCAGCCTATGCCCGGTGGTAAAGAGGTCAACCTTCTTTTTTTTTTTTTTTTTCCCACTTTCCCCATGTTTTTTGAAGGGTTTCACAGTCCTTCTCAACCGAATACCAGCGGGACAGCGATGGTGGAGGGAGTGTATAGGATACCAGCCTCAGCTTCGTTTCCCCATACTTTTTTTCCCTTTTTCCCTCACTCTCTCGTACTTTTGTTTCTTCTTTTTATCATGTATTATGAAGGGCGTCTTTTGGGAGGAGTTTTTATCCAGCCATGAGCAGGCAGGTCAGGGTCGGCGGAAAGGCATTTTTCTCTCAAAGTCTTGTTTTCCTCACACTTCTTGTGGTCTGGAAAACAAGCATGCATGAATCGCATTTTGTTCTTGAGCCATTAAGCATTACAAGGACCTGGGCTCTCTATACCCCCCCCTGGAGGGTTTGCATTTGGGCGTCGTCACTATTCTTACTCTTCGATTCTCGTTCTCCTTCCATCAACTCTATTCTCTTTTTAATTTTTTTTCAGAAGGAAGACAGCGGCTTGATATGGTGGTCAGTCCTCGGAGGAAAAACACAACATACTCAACACCCTCTCTCTACGGCTTTCACGGATATCTGCATTTCAAGAGGTTTCATGGATCATATCTCGTCAGGCAAGCCATCATCGTCTTCCTCAAGCCTCCATGTATGTTAACTTGGCAGATGGAATACTTCTTTACCCTCTTGCCTAGATTGGAAGCAAAATTCTAAAGGGTCAAATAGATGAGATGACCCGCTCTGTTTCATCACATTGTTGTTCACTCGATGAACAATTTCATCATCTTCTTCTTTCTCCATCATATCTTCTAGCCTCTGCACTAAGACGATGATGGAGGATGCTGTGACTGAGAAAAATCCAAATCATGTATCTCGTATACATTAAGCGAGCATGAGACAAATGTCCTCGCCTGACTGCCTGCCTGTGGGAAATGAAGCTGCGGCTGCAATCTTGTACCTATCTCTGTTGTTGTTGTTCTTGTTTGGTCGGAGGTTGTTGGTTTCTATCTTTGACCTGCTCTTGTTTCGCTGCCCTTCCGCCTGTTTGGTTCCAGCTGCCGAAAAGGATGTTACTCTTTGGGGATAGCGTTGTGCTAACTCTTCGTGTTTATAGATGATGAGTTGCCTTCGCTTGACGAAGCATCCAGCTCAGTGGATGCCCTGGTGGCAGATGACGATGATATGAGCCTCCCAACTAACCAGCAGACACTATGCTCACTTGAGTCGTTCATCCTGCCTTTGCCGACTCAGTCTGGACACCAGAGTATTGGTCTTGGAGGATTTCCCATCCCATCTATTTCAGCTCCTCCAGGGTTGGCGTTTGGACCCGGTAACATTTACGGGACTGGCCAAATCATCCCTATGCAGCCCATCCTCCCAGCTACCCCAACAATGTCAGTAGCTACTCCTCCTGGGCTTCGAAGTGCTACTGGCAGCCCGGCGCCACGTAGTGCCCCTGCAGGACCAAAACAAGAAGCCTCCAAGAAAGCATTGAACAAGGCCGAAGCTAAGAGCAAAGTCAGAGCGTTGGCAATAGACAGCGGCCTATCGAGAGATATTGCGTCGCAGTCGAGTGCCTCCAAAGGCAAAGCCATTCTGCAGGAAGAAGACTTCCCCACTCTAGACTCGCTCAAGTCCGGTGCTCAGCAGGCTACGTCCCAATCCTCCGCGAAGGCTCATCAGGTTCCGACACCCAAGCCCGTTTTCGCGACTCCTAAGAAGTCGCAACAGGAACCAGTAGTAGCCTCGCCTGCCAAGCCCGAGAAAACTAGGCGCGCCGCAGAGAAGCGACCACCCAAGAATACCTTGAATATTGCTGCGGCAACAACTGCAAAGATGGCGCAGTCCAAGCCTGTCGAGACGGTCACGCCCATCGAGAAGCCCATGGTTGATACCTCCGAGTCTTCCCCCGCTACTGGTACTGGTACACCCTCATCCACTATCCCAACGTCCGATATTCGACCCGGCACCCCAGCTTCCGGGGCTGGGCCTTCGACTGCCTCGAGCCTCTCGCGGGCGGGACCGAAGACCCTGAGGCTTGTGTCGACACCTGGCATCGCTTCGGCGGGCAGTGCAATTCCTGGCCTACTCTCCATGGCTGGACGAGTCGTCCGTCCCGGTACTCCAACCAGCGAAATGTTTAGTGACAGTGCGTCTCTCGTCTCGCCTTCTATCCCGCCGTCGCGCGTCGGTTCCCCTCCGCCCGTTCCCGCATCGAAGATTGTCGGGTCTGCTGCCGTCCGAACTACCACGAAGAGCCAACAGCGCAAGCAACGCAAGGAGGCTCACAAGGGTATGACGGAGGCTATCGTTGAGGCCGCAAAGTCCGAAGTCGAGGTACACGCGCCTGTGGTGGGCCGTAAGAAGAAGCAGAAGAAGGAGAAGCCCGCCAAGGCGGCTGCAAAGGTGCCTGCGAAGGTCACCAAGGTGGACGGGGGCGAATCGAGCAGCGGCGTCGCAGAGGAACGGGATAGCAAACCCGCCACAACCGCAAAGGATGTGAACAGCGCTAAGGAAGAGGAGAAGCCATCCACCACTCCCCCTGTAGCCGCTACCATGTCACCGGTCAAGAAAGGAAAGGAGAACAAAAAGGCCAAGGGTAAATCAAAGGAAGCGGTTGCTCCAGTCCCGGAACCGGCTCCCCCTCAGCCAGAGCCTACCCTTCCCGAGCCCGAGAGACCCTTTGACAAGCTACAGCCGACGCCCGACTCAGTTTTTCGTCGCCTTGTTCGGGATGGCTTGAATCCTCACAAAATCAGCATGCTCCGCCCCTTCAACAGTCATGCCATTCGTCTCGAGGCTAGCGCGATGGCCAGTAAGACTGGCGGTAACATCGGAAGCCCCCACGACCCGAAGCAATTCTGCAAGGACTTCGTCTCGAACCACGAGGAGATTGTTCTCCGAGCCGGAAAGCCAATCCGTCGTATGGAGAATGGCCAGCGCGTTCTCATTACTCCCCACGGCGACGTGGTCCGCGGCTTGACCGAGGAAGAGGAAGATCACTACTTGATACTCCAGAACCGAGTCGCCAAGCACGCCAACGACCCCGTCGCCTACAAGAACGACCAACACAGAGTGCCTTCCGGCGATTTCTCCATCATCCAGGGACGCATGGTTGCCAACGGCCCTCCCAGCTTCTTCCCGCAGGGTGAGGACGACATCCCCAAGTCGTACAATTCCAAGATTCGCCGTGAGGAGGCTATCTCCTTCGCCAACCAGTTTGCCATGCCCAGCATGCGACTCGGCAACCGTACGTTCGTGGGCGAAAAGTGGCGCGACCAGCTCGAGGACGATAACACGGCCGAGGTTATGTACCGTCTCAAGGCAATGTTTTACGACCAGAAGCCGAGCGATTCTCAGAAGCAGCCGCGTGTTGGCGCTCTATTCCAACCCATTTTTGACGGAAGCAAACAGGATGAAGCCGCTGCTAGAGAGAAGGAAGAGGCCAAGCCCCCAGTCAAGACTACCGACAAGACAGTCCCGACTCAGGCCCGTGGTAGCCCTAGCCCTTCCATGTCCAGGAAGAATCTCTTCGCCGACGAGGTAGACGAGAACCCCATCAACGACGAGCACCTCCCGCGCTATGGTCTAGAAGGCCGCGACACATCCACCCCCAGACCCGCACCACCCCTCACCTTCGAAGAACTTGAAAAGGCGTTCTTCTCCTCGAAGAAGGAGGTCGAGAAGTACGAGAAGATGCTCAACACTGTGATTAGAAAGAATAGGCGGATCCTTCTCGGGCAAAATCATTGACTCCTAGTAGGGTTCTGGGGGTTTGCGAGCTGCATTGACGTGTTGGGGGGCTTGATCGTGGTGGTGCTCGGGGTAGGCCTGAGCGTTGCGCTTGAGGTGTTGAGGATGTGTGTTTGTACGTGCACTTGGTTGATAAGTGGGATGGCGGCGTTGGCCGTGATACGTATTTGATGCCATGAATGGTGTTTGTTTTGTTGGTTTTCTGGTTTTGAGCATCAGAGTATGTATACCAGCGGACATCATGGTGGATGAGTTTGAGTATTCAGATGTATTTCTGGCCTAGACTTGCATGTTTCTTCGTCAAGACTTTCTGCCCTCCTTTGAGAGGTCAAGTGCTCGGCATCTTGCATTCATCATACCCCATGCAGCGGTTTCTCTTTCTCCTTTTCTTCTTCTGATTGTCTGTTTTGTTGTCAAACACACCACACTCCTCAGGATCAGCAACTCTTCCTACTCAGACATGCATCCCCTTTCTTGATTAGCTCTCTCCTTACATTACCCCTAGCGCTCTTGGAGGGATCGGTTTTCTCTGCCTGTGCATACATGTACACGGATCATGGTTTGGACGGCGTTTGTTTGGGCAATACCCGCTTCTTGTTTTGTATTCGTCAGGATAGAATCGCCTTGTGCATGCACTTGGAAGGGCTGTGGGCAGCAATGGCACCCCTTTGAGATGGAATAGAGTACAGAATGTGTACAAAGTTGTTAATAAATTGTCCTTACTTCATTTCCTATTCCGCCATGGTTCTGCCATGCGTCATTTCGTGATTTTGTGAATCATTTTAAGGAAGAGCAATATGTATCGCGTTAGTTTTAAGAGGCTTCCCCCTCGTCGTTTTCGTCCTCGTTGGTTACGTCTTCGTCCCCGGCCTCATATTGTGCATTTTGCTCAAGCTGCTCCCGTCGTTTACTCTCCCAGGCGGCCTCCAACTCCTCCTTCAACTTGCAGGTCAACTTCTCCAGGATCCACTCCCCCTCCGAAACCTCCTTCATCAACGGGCTATGATGCCCGACCCAGCTCCACCTATCTCCATCTTCTTCTTCTATTATTTCCTCTTCCTCCCTCACCCGCCCCTTCGAGCCAGGAGGGGGATGAATTCTGGGCACACTGTGCATCTCCGGTGAGGCTTCGTCCTCACCGATAAGGCTGAGATACTCGACCCACTCGGCAAAGGAGTAGCGTTTTCCCGGCTCGTTCTTAATGTCGTCCGAGACGGTGGAGATGGCGGATATGAGGCGGTAGTGGTAGTGGGCGGGATCGGCGGGCGGAATAGTCTGAGGCAGGCTAGAGGGTGTCGGCGGAGGTGATGGAGACGGCGATTCGCTCGAGCCGGGTGCTGCTTCCGGCGCCGTGGCCTCGTCTCCAATTTGGCCGAGGCAGTGGGGACATTTCTCGCCCTGGATATGCTCGCCGTGCTCGCCGTACTTTTTCCGAAAGATCGACAGCGGGCGGTGGTAGTCCTTCACGTGGCGGCTGCGATAGATGCTGAACTTGTCCTTCGAAAAGTGACCAAAGGAGATCAGGTACAGGATGTATTGGACGTCGAACTCGGAGCCGTGCTCACCCGGCAAAATGGTCTTCTTGCCCAACTCGAGCGTCGTGACGCGGATGATTTTGATCACGGTGTCGCTGGCGTTGGAGATAAGTATCGTCATGGTGGGGAGAGCCAAGAGGGCCCAGAAGACGAAAAAGGAGCGGCCACCGTTGGAGACGGGGGTGTGATCTCCGTAGCCGAGCGTCATGAGCGACACGAAGGTGAAGTAGAAGCCATCGAAGTAGGACCAGTTCTGGTAGGGTTCCTCGAACTTCTGGAAGATAACGGCGCCTACGAGCCAGAGGAGGAGCCAAGGACCCATGGAGAAGGCCAGCGAGATCCAGCGGCGTCGGCTGTGGGAGTCGTGGCGGATCATGCGCATGAGGTTGAATTCGGCTTCGCGGCGGGCGAATTCGGTTCTGCGAGCGTCCTGTTCCCAGATGGCCTGGCGGTGATGGCACACCTCAGTTTCGTCGGCGCCGGTCTGGGTGGCCTCGTCCTTGGTGGGAATCTTGGTAGTCGTAGAGGAAGCTTCGGGGGGAGTAGGAAGTGAGGCAGGATGAGGAGGGGTCTGGATGGGATGGAGGATGTCGTCCTGTCCGCGGGCCTTGAGACGGCGTAGGGCTTTCTGGCGGCGCTTTTCCATGACGCGGATGTCTACGCGGCGGCTTGCGCGTTCGAGGGCGAGGGTCATTATAGAGCTGATGACGAGACCGATGCTAATAATTCCGACGAAGGCGTATGGGATCAGCAGGGCCCTGGCAAGATTTGTACTCGGGACGAGGTCGCCGAAGCCGATGGTGAAGAGGGTGGTGTTGGCCCAGTAGACTCCCTCGAGGTAGGCCCAGTCCTCGATGTAGCAGAAGACGAGGGCGCCGAGGAGGAGGTAGATGAGGAAGATGATGGTCTGGAGCATGAGGGTGCGCTGGCTTGAGTTTAGTTGGAAGTCTTTGGGGTAGTGGCCCCTTTCGGCGCCGGTGACGGTGATGACCATGAGGGATGCGACGACGAAATAAAGGATGGCGGCCCAGACGCCGTACCAGAAGGCTTCAGACCAGACATAGTCTTTGAAGTCGGAGAGGAGGCCGCGGTAGGCTACGGCTATGATGATGGTGAGGAGTATGGAGGAGAGGTACCAGCCGACGATGATGATAGGCTGGGCTATAGAGAAGCGGACACGTCTAGTCATGTTGAGGAGGAGGAAGACGTTGGAGGTGATGGCGACGATTAGCTGGACGAGGTTGACTGCGAACATCCTGGTGACGGTGGAAAGAGAGTGTGCGTGAGCTTGTTCTGAGTTGTTCTGAGTTTTCGTCCTCAGTTGATAATAGAAGAGAGAGAGACCTACCATGATGGGTTGTCTAAGTAGATGCGATGCCGTGTGCGATCGAGACCTGGACGATATTGCCTCCACGGCTGGACCAGGGCACATATACTGAACGCCGACGCTACGGGCCCAAGAGTGCCGGCGATGAGAGGGAAGGCCGAGGAGGCATACCACCATCGGCTCGCGAGACTTTAAACATGTTTGTTAGCTCCGAGGGTCTTTTTTTTTTCCCTTTTTCTAGATCTTGCAACAAAATGGGGAGGTGGAGAGGGCGCGTCATATACTTTAGGTCCAATGCCGCATCATGGAAGATGTTGCGTCTTTGAGGGCCTGCAGGCTTCTCGCGTGGTGGAGAGTTGTTAGACTCGAGGTTACTCGCCGATTCGGCCATGGCTCAAAGTTGGTCGACCTCGTCTATCTCGAACGGAAGGAATCTCGACGTTCAATCGCGGACGCAGCGCAATCCCGTTGGATCATAAAATGGCCGGGATCTTGACGCTAAGTACCATGGTGACGCGAATGTTTCAAAGGACAGAGGGAGTTTTCGATGGTGCAACTATCGTGTATCTCAAAACATCATTTTATAATTCGCGACCAGAATACAAATGGAAAAAGACAGCTAGAATAATGTATCATAAGGATGGGATATGCCTCGATTTCGGCTAACAGCGTTGATAGAATCGTCGAGGGGGGGCAGTGGCGTATTATATGCTCAGTAGAACAGGTGGTTCTCAAGACGTTCGTGGCTGCGACTAGAGGGAAATGGTGGCTTTTTTAAGGTTTGGAGGCGGCTCTGGGGCTATTGAGATCGTAGGCGGACCTCCAGGAGGAATAGACCCTCGACGATGTGACTTGGCGACCCGTGATGTATGGAGAAAAAAAATACGAGGTGAAAGAAGGACGGGTCGTCTCATCGGATCAGGCGGCTCATGGACTCCCTTTCCAGGCAAGGGCTGATTAGGTGAGGGAAGCGAGGTTCAAGATGCTTGACCCTCGGACGGTTTTAAGGGGGCATTCAAATGAGGATTTAATTGGAATGCATCGCCATTCGGTGTAAGTGAAAGAAAAGAAGAATGAAACTTATTATTTCACGATGAGTGTAAGCGAAGATGTTGGTGGTCTTGGATTGAGGAAGGAGCTACCCGATCGGGGATATTTTGGCACTTTATTTTTAACTCCGAATTTCAACTTCATGATTTGGTGATGGGATGCATTGACCTTCATTCGACACGCTCATTTTCAGACCTCATCTTCAGCACAGAGACATTCTTAATCGGCGAGCTTCCGTGTTGCCGTCCACTCCTTCAAAAATATTTACCCCATCTTTTTTTTTTTCTTAAAAAGTAACTTATAGATTTGAAACGACGATGCCAGATCCCGTCTGAGCAGTAGATTATATCCATCAATCCATCACACCACCGTCTCGTTGCCGCTCCTCGTCACGCCTGCATCACCATGAGATGGCCTCCGTGTCTTTCCAAGCGCGCCATCATATTCCGAACTAGCCCAATCCAGCCATTCTGTGCCAGAAGAGACCAACCGGACCCCAGAAGATGGCACAGCACCGGATCTGACTTCCAGACTATCGAAACTCCCTGTGGTGCGTCCGGCTCCGTCTCCATCTCGTACGCCGCCACCATTCGCATTCTCATCCAATCTCCCTTGCTTTCACCCCTTCTCAACTAACACCGCGCCCGGTAACTCTATAGCCTCTACAACGTTGTCAACCAAAAGACATCAACGCCTCTCCTCATCTACCTACCTCCCTTCCCAACCCCACAACCTTCTCTCAACTTCCTCCCCCGTCTCCTTCACCCCTACCCCACCGCCGTCATCCACTACCGCTGGGCGTCATCGTCACACCCTCCTCCCCCAGACGGTGATGACTCCTCCCCTTTCACCTACCCCCTCCACTGGCCCAACCCCGTCCATGACGTAGCGTTCGGCTACGAATGGATAATCAAAAACCTCTCCCCCCCAGGTCTCTCCCGCCGTGACATCCTCGTCCTCTCCTCCCACCTCGGCGCCTCCCTCGCCACCTCCCTAGCCCTCACCGAATGCCATCCCCACCGGCCCTTCGCCGTCCGGGGTCTCGCGGCTTACAATGGCATCTACAACTGGACCATGTTCCTCCCGGACCATCGGGCGAATCGCACAAAACCGCGGTCCCGCGCCGCCGCCAGAGAGAAAGCCGAGTCCTTTGGCGCTGTTTCCGATCAGGGATGTTCGGTCCTCGCCGATCTAGCGGGGAAGATGCCCGGTCTGTTCGCCCGTCCGGATCGGCTGTTTGACGTATTCGCCAGCCCGGCCCTCATGTTCCAGACATCGGGCATGGACGTGCCGAAGTCCTTTACGAGGAGTACGGAGCTGGCCTCCCAGATCGACTGGCTCGCTTCGCTGCAGTCCTCACCCACATGTCTCACTAGTCCTGATAACAACCATAGAGAGAATTCTCCAGACGAGTTCAAACCCCCCAAGCCGCCGGCTCCCCCTCGCCGCGCAGCCCTCATATTCCCTCCTCGCACGTCAACGCTGAAAATCCCTGACACCACACTACTATACACACGACCCCCTGCGCCGCCGACGGGCGCGAAGCGCAAGTCACGGCGCACGAAACCCTGGGGGAACACGTTCGAGACGCAGGCCCTTGAGCTGGGCGGTCTCATGCGTCGTAGTGTTGAGAAGCTGGAGGTCAAGGAGAGGAGGGTGTGGGATGAGGACTTTGAGGATTGGGAGGGCATGGCGGAGAAGAGGGTTCGTCTGGTTGATGTTGGGCAGGGGGATGATGCCGCGGGGGGTCTTGGGGATGGAGGCTTGGTGGAGGATTTTGTCTCGCAGTGGTTGAGGCAGAAGTATGGCTACTGAGAAGGAAACGTCTTGGAATATTTTTGTTGATTTGTTTCAATAATGATGGTGGAAATACCCAGTTGTTCTCAAGGTTAAGAAGAAAAGAGTATCATTTAATTCCGTATTTACATTAGCATTTAAATATCATACTCGCCAAAGGCATTGCAGTGGCTATTATGGCCCTATCTCACGATCCAGCCCGGAGAGGAGCCCTCCTTGCTCCATGCCCAACTACGCCCAGAGTGCCTCTCTAGAAACATCAATATCCAAACCCTCTTCACCCTCAAAATTATTCATTACCCTCAAGTCAAAGTAAAGCTATTGCTCACCCCCTCAATCGACGAAACCGGCCCAAACAAACTCTTCGCATCCCCAAAATACCTAAACCGATACGTCCCCGGCACAACATCACCCCTCCCATCCTCCTTCGTATCCCACTCAAGCGTAACCTCGCTCGTACCAAAAAGCCAATCCTTCCTCTTCCACGAATACGTCAGGAACCAATCCGCATCACTCCTCACCCTCTTCCACTGCCCGTTATCCTCGCGCCTCTCTACCGCCGCGTACGTCGCCTCGAGCCGCAGGTTATTCCGCGGGTTGGCGCCGATGAAGACGGCCTTGGCGACGGATCCGCGCGGGTAGCTTGATGATGGCTGGGTGATGCATTGGCCGAAGGAGCGGCCGATGGGCGGGTTGTCTTGGACGACGTTGGTAATGAAGGAGAGGGACTTTTGGCGGTTGTCGGGGGGCGTGGGGCCGACGGGGGGTTGGCTGGAGGAGGAGGGGGAGAGATAGGGGGCTGCGGAGACGGTGAGGTTGATGTAGGCGTTGAGGGTGTGTCGACCGAAGAGGGTTGAGGCGCCTTCGTAGCGTTGGATGCCGTACTCTTCGGGGGTGGTGATGTAGTGCTGGGAAGAGGAGATCAGCTCATCAACTCAGATAGGAAAAAGAGGCCATCAAGAACTTACAGAATAGGTGTTCGCCGGTCCACCGATGACGACAACCGGTTCCTCCCCGATAATACTCTCAACCTCCGTACCGACCGCCTCCCTCCACCGCCGTCCGGCCATAGTCGAAACCTCACCCGAACTCACAATAATAACAAACTGACCCACCCTAAGCATCTGCACATCAACAATATTCGGCGACCAAGGATACGGCACATCCATCTCGCCAACATCAAACAAAATGGGCTTAGGCTCCTGACACGTCTTCTGCTGAGCCGACGGCGAGCGCAGCAGGCCCGAGATGACGGCCCAGACGGGGTTCGCGTCGGGGTCTCCCGAGTCGGCCTGGGTGAAGTCGAAGTGGCCCGGGCCGTCGGAGGTTCCAGCGGCGAAGGAGTAGCCGAGGGCGGCGGGACAGGTGGTGGCTTCTGTGCCGTCGAGGAGAGTGAATTTGGAAAATGCCATGTTGTGGTAGAAGTGGAAGAATTTGACGGTTGAGCCCGTTACGGGGACAGCGTGGGATTCGAGGTTGCCCTACAAGAGAAGGGTTAGCAACTCTGCGTCTTGTTCTTCTCGTCGTTTTTCCGTCGTTCTTGTCAACCAACCCCCCCCCCCCCCCCCCCCCCCCCCCCCCCGGTCTTTCACCCTCTCTTCTCAAATCAAAGGCCATGTTGTCGGGAACTCACCAAGATCGACAAGGCACCGGCAAACTGCCTCCTCCCAATCTCAAAACAACTCGACGTCCCAAAATCCACCTTCTCAAACGCCGGCCCCCTCCCATGACAACTCTGCACCTTCCCATCCGCACACGTACTATCCTGCAAATTACACATCTGCCCGCTCCCATCGTCGCAATAAGCATCCAGCACATTCGGCGACGTATCCCCAACGTTCGCCTGACTGAACCCAGCCACGAAGTTCTCGGCCACCACACCATCGCCTCCACGGAGGGTCATCTCGCGCTCGAACAGCCACGCTGCGACGCCCTTGTTGTCGCCGGCCACGAGGGTGTTGTTCTGCAGGAGGGAGGTGCCGTGGACGGCGTACCAGGTGAGCACGCCGGTGGTCTTGAGGTCGGAGGCGCGGCGGAAGCGCAGGAGGGTCATGGTGGTGTCGGTTTCGGCGGAGTAGCGGGCGCGTTCGGAGGCGGGGTTGGCGAGGTAGGACCAGCGGCTGCGGTTGATGGCGCCGTCTGAGATTTCGGTGGTGCCAATGTCGAGGTAGCCCTGGGAAAAGGTCAGTTTTCTCTCTTTCTCTCTACTTTTCAAGGCGAACAACTTCTTACCTCCGTAAGAGAATCGTGAGCTCTCTTGATCGAGAGAACAGCGCCATCAACGATTGCCTGATACCCCTGCCTATCAAATCCCAAGCTCGTAATCTGCGGCAGCAAATAATTCCACCACCCACCGGGCCCCGAATGACTGTGGGTTCCAGTAACCGCGATGTTCCTCCCCGTGTAATACTTTGCATAATCCCCGCCCAGAGCCTTGACGCCCTCGATAATGCCGTTCCGCACGGCCGTGTCCCCCGCCGCCGTGTCGATGACGAGGTACACGAAGCGATCGGCGGGCGAAGAGACGTCACCGACAATGAAAGCGCGGCTGTAGAGCCTCTGGCGCAGACCTGAGCCGACTTGCTCGGAGTCGGCGTATCCGGCGAAGTTGATCTCTACGACGGGGCCGGTGATGTCGCCTTTGCCGAGGCCGATAAGGTACTTGTCGCCGGTGGGGGCCGCCCGGGGGTTCTTCGTCGAGTGGTCGGATGAAGCACCGGGGGAAACGGGGGAGGCCAGGGAGAGGGCGGCAAGGAGACTGAGAAGAAGGAGGGTGGTGAGGGAGAAGACGGTGAGTCGTTGGGGACGAACCCCGTCGTGTAAGTCGAGGGCCATTCTCGACACACTCTCTGTCTATGTCTACCAATCTAGATCGAAAGGAGAAAGCCGGACAGGCAGTAGAAGCTGTCGAATAAAATCAAAAGAGAAAAAAAAATAAGAAGAAAATCCGAAATGCCCCTTTCGTTTTATACGCAGCGCCCGCGATGTACACACGTAATTCCCAGACACCTCCCTATTCCCATCCGAAGAAGCAACGAAGAGGAAGAAGAGAGCTGGACGGATGCAACATCAGGGTCTCGTGCCCAGGTCTCAATCCAACCTCACGTAGCTTTTCCAGCAACCTAATTCTATATGTCCCTCCCTTCTATATAAGAGATAGGATGCAAGAACGGGCTTTGTTTCTCTTTCGGATATCTTGGCCAGCTGGGAATAAATACGCCGAGGTTGGCGACGCGCAAGAGAGGGAGGGTCAAGTAGGTCAGGCCGGGCGGGGCAACCAAAAGAGGATATCGATAGCGTATAGTGTAGACTACACGACTAATAATATCCTTCGCGTTCTTGCTTTTAGCGGGCAAGGCAAGGCGCGAAGTGACGCTGGTGGCAGCAAAGAGAGACAGAATGGGGGAGGTGGAGATGCAAGACGGTGAGGATCCTCTGTGGATGCATCGGCAAGACGTCACGGACTGGGGGATCTACGGACTAGTTCTACATTGCACGGCTACGCGGATGTGAATAGGGTAGGATATGTTTATGTATTCTTCTTCTTTGGGCCGTTACTTCGTATGGATGCGACTGGGGAGGGAGAAGAAGTGGACGGCGTGATTCGGGAGGGTGAGAGTGGCCATCTGAGCTGAGAGTTGTCCATCTTGGGGCGATGAGCAGCGCAGGACCTCTCGATCTCGACGCAAAATCATCCATCTAATTACAGGGGGACGCTATACACAACAAGGATTTGAGAGCTAAGCCCAGGATCAAGGTGAAAAGCCGCCAAGTGAGCATCGTAAAAGTGCGATTGGCTCCCCCGGCATGTTCGGCTCCCGGATAAGAACTGACACTCGACTGCGCTAGGAACAGCTGAACTAAAAAAGCTCCGCCCGCCCCTCTTATTCTCTCTTTCGCCGTTGATGGAAATGAAGATCATCACTTGGCTCGACGATTGGACTCGGGCCATTAGTTAGGCTTTCGCTAGTGTAGTTGCAGTGCGGGTAGTGTGTTAATGCCGTATTATAGCAGGGGCACGAAATGGTGCTGCAAGAAGCAAATTGATCTTGATCATTCTGCGGTCGAATAAGACCGGGTTGGCGTCATACGTTGCAAGATGAGAGACAGAGAGCGTTCGCCAGGAACATTTCGAGCGTGCTCTACCCGTCCATCCATCCATCCATTCATCCACACATCCACACTTAGTCGCATCCCCACAGCTTCTAGCTCCCCGTCCTCGTGGCCTTCCCACTTGGTCAACGCATTGGGAGGGAGAGGGAGCCATCTGAGCCATCTCCTCGTTCCTCTGCCTCTTCTCGGCTTCGCGATTGCTGATCGTCAAGGCGACGCGCATCTACTAGTGCCCTTGAAGTTTATCTACACTAGAATAGTTCATTCTTTTTTCCCACTTGGAAAGTTCAAAAGTGGTCGCTGTCACCACCACTTCATTGCCGATGCGACCCTCCACTTTCAGGCAGAAAAAAAAGAGCGTGTCCAAGTGTCCTGTCAAAGAGTTGCCCCGGATTTCGAGCCTAGGCGAGACCCGATGCTACTGCATGACGGTTCGGCAGCTGTGCTGAGCTGTGCTGGGGTTGCATTGAGAGGAGGGGGTGATTGAAGAAAACAGAATGACAGGGAAAATAATCGTGTGTAAAAAACCTCTTGAAAATAAAATCATAGGTTGAACATGAAATTAAATAAATACATGTCTCGCGATGCGCCCGGGATTCTTGACATACGAAGCAACATTGAAGCCTCCTTTGGTATCTCGGTCAGGATGATGAAAAAAAAAAAAAAAAAGGAAGGAGATACGGAGATACGGAGGAGAAGCAACTGATCTATCGCCAAACAATAGTCGATGATAGTATTGTTGCACTCGCGCATGCTAGAGTGTCAGTCGACCTCCATCCCTCAAAAGGCTCCCACATACTTCGTAGTCACACACATACTTCGTACACACTCGCACCCTCCGTCCTCTGTTCGGTCCGCTGCCCCTTTTCGTTCTTGGCTTCCCTTCCCTGCTGAGCTCCCATCTCATAGACTTGATTGGGCCTCCTGTTGTCACCCCCGAGATGTCCGTCATTTCACTCCGTCATGCCCCGGACGTGACACAGCGAGCACATTGGACAGCGAGGGAAATTGAAAGAATTGAGAGAGTGACCGGAAAACGGACATGGAAAGCGGCGATGGACAGAGTTGAGATTGAATCCTCTATAGTTAACCCATTTTGAGAGAGAGTAGACCAGTTCCGTTGTCCTTTGAATAACAAGATTCCCCCATTCCCCTCCCCTTGACCAGGCTTCAAAATACATTGAACAATCCTACCAAATCATTCCCATCCCCAATTCCCATCCCCGTCCTGGCCAAGAATCCCCAAGTTCTCAATTTCCCATCACTCACTCACTCCTTCTTATCCCACCCCAGAATCTTAGGTCCAAACTCGTACCAGGCAAGTCCCTCGATCCCGCAGAGGACGAGGAGCCCAGCACCGAGGTATATCCTGCCCCTCGGGGTCGAAGCGATGTTCCTGATGCTAAACGCCGGCAGCTCCGGGTTAGCGTTCGTGGTCTTTTTTCCGTCCTGGGTGAGCCGGCGCGTCGTCGTGGAGAAGTAAGACGACGAAGAGGGAGACATGAGTCGTTGGCGGGGGAGGTGCGAGAGGCGCATGGTTTGTCGGATGATGGCAGAAGACATGGTGATTTGGTTTTTTTGATTTAATTTGATTTATTCTTTTTTTGTTTGATTTGATGTTTATGTTGGATTGGTTTGTGATGTGTGTGATATTTGATGAAAAGGTGCTTGTGGTGGTGATCTCGAATGCTCAATGAGTTGATGATGTCCTCAAAATCTCATCCCAAACACCGCCGCGACACCCACGATTTAAATACAAAAAATTCTCCCCTCGCACTCCCTCGTATTATCACATCCCATTGCAATTGATCTCATCCCAATGACTCCTCAAACAACAATAACGTCCAAGCATTCCTGCCTTTCCCGACGGCGATAATGGCCCGGTGTCATCGCCCTCGTCCCCCCTTCTGAACCATAACAGCCCGCGTCATTTGCGGACCCCAGCCTTACCAACAAGCATAACAGACTCGTATTATCGTGGGGCTCCAACGCCTGTTTTGGGTTATTTGGGTAATTTTAGGTGGGGATGAGCCTGTTCAGCGTTGCTGGAAATGGTGAAACCAGGTCATTTGTTCACTGCCGCGGTACCTCGATACCTTCAACTTCCTAATCCGGAAATAAGCAGTGATGCTTGAACAAGTCAACCGTGAATCTTAACATCGAGACCTTCATTAAAGCCCCGAGAAAGAAGAAAAAGCCGTAGTCTATTACAATTACCCACCCAAAAACACGCCCTATAACACCTCACTAAAAACGCCGAACGTTCTTCCCTTGACCCCTTGCCAAATTCCCATTCCTATCCACAGTCAATGGCTTAAACGGTTTCGTCAACTTCTCCATAGGCTTCAAACCCTCTTGCCTCCCCAGAGCCGAAACAACGCCCACCCCATACTTGTTGTTAATTCTGGGCGCCAACGGAGCCAGTTCTCCCGCCCCAATGCGTCCAAACTTGGCGGCCGTCGTCGCGTTCCCCATCGTCGTCGCGTGGAAACTCACGGGCCGCCGCACGCCGTGTCCCGTTATCACCCGGTTCTGAAACGTATCCTTAGCCGCCTCCAGCGCGGCTCTAACGGGCGGCCTTTCTGACGGTTCGGGACGCGGCGGTGAGCTTGAGAAGCCGGGGTATTTCGTCGTCGTCTTCTTTTTCTGCTCAGTGGTTTTCCTGACTTCGACAATCTCCACGTCAGGGTCGTCGTCGTCGTCGTCGTCTTTAATAGTGATTATAGGTGGCAGTGATGTTTCCACAAGCGACCTGCGCGCTTGCACACGCCTCTTCACGTCCTGCAGTCCGCGTTTCGTCAACTCCCTAATCGTATTTTCCGACAGCGGCTGGTTGAACGAGTTCTCCACCTGTCCCGGATGAACGATTCTTTTCCGCGGCACGCCCCGTAAGAAATCATCGTCATCCCAAGCGTCGTCCGGCGGCCGCTTCAACGTCACGGGCCTATTTACAGTAGACGGATAGGTAGTGGCGGTATTGTTCGGCCGACAAAAGCTGGAGAGAGTGGGCTGGTTCGCCGGCCTCTTGGTTGATGCGGCCTGATGGCGTCCCTGCTGCTGTTGACCGCGCCCCGCTCCCTTTGGCCCGCTGCCGGCGCCGACGGATGCTAGAGCGGTATGGTGTGCTCCCGCCGTCGTAAACCCCGGCAACGCTGCTGCCATGGTAAACTGGGAAGACTTCTCCATCGTTGTCGTGTAATCCTTCTGCCACGCGGACGTATACCCCTTGGTGTCCCACGCGGATCCGTTCCTTGGTGGGTTGGTGGGGTTAAAGGGGTCCGACCACGACTGCCGCTTCCGCGCGTAGCCGCCGCCTGGAATTTCCCTGGAGACGTGCCCCGCTGGCCGATCGTAGCCAGCCGGGAACTCGGGTTGCCGATCATCCTCGATGGCGAACATTTCCGGTAGCTTTTTGAACGTGTCCGCCATGGACGGTGCCTTCCTTCCCAGTATCTTAGCCATCGCCTCGACCACCTTATCGTCGAACGACGGCCCAAACGTGGAAAAGTACTTCATGATGTCGTCCGGAAGGAACAGGGACCTGCTGACCCTTTCTCTTTCCCAGGAGTTCGTGTGCCACGGCACGCTGAGATAGAGCAACGCCTGCGCCCTCGTCATCGCCACGTACAGCAACCTCCGCTCCTCAGCCGAGTCTTCCGACCTTGAATGCGGCAGTGACCCTGTATACACGGCGGGCACGAAAACCACCGGCCACTCCAGGCCCTTGGCAGCGTGAATCGTCGATATGGTCACCACGGGCCTGTTCTCCCCCTCCTCTCCAGACTTGTCGTTCGTCTGCGCATCCGTCGCTAGCGCCACATTTGTGAGGAATTTACCCAGTACATCGGTATCCGTCGACGGCTGCTCCACGCCTTCGACCTGCGGAAGCTCGCCTTCGCCGCCAAGGTCGCGCGCAAAATCGCCCGCCAAAGTCAGAAATTCGTCCACGTTAGCGAGTCTCGACTCGTGCTCGTGCTCCAGCGGGTACGTATCCGTCAAGTACTGCCTGAAGTCGAGCTGTGTTATCAGCTCTTCGATAAGCTGAACAAGGCCGATGCTGGGTTCGCCGTCGGCGTTTCTACGCTCTAGGCGGTGTCGCAGGCCGCAGATGATTCGGATCAGGCTGCCACTTAAGTTCTTCTCGGCGGTTTTTGTGAATTTAGTCTTGAGCTTTCGCTGGCCGCGGCAGTGACTTAGTACAATGTACCAAAGACTTAGTTTTGATGTCTCGGCCTCCTCTAGAAGGTTTTTAAGAGTTGCTTCGCCGATGCCACGTTTTGGCTTGTTGAGGATACGGATAAGCGCATCGTTGTTGTCGGGCTGGTAGATGACGCGGAGGTAGTCAAGGAGGAACTTGACCTCTATTCTGTCATAGAATTTGAGACCACCTAGTAGGCGCAGCTGTGTTAGCTGTAGTCTAGATGAGGGCGGGTGCGGGTGCCGTCATAATGAGATTGGATGTTGCTTAGTACTTACCAACCATTTTGTACGGGATACCTTCTTTACCCAACGCCGATTCAATGTGCCGCGAAAGCGAGGCCGACCGCAAAAGAATAGCAATATCGTCATAATTCAACATCCGTCCAGTCATAAGAATAACTCTCTTAACCTCCCCCACAACCCACTCTCCCTCCGTTTGAGACGAGTAAAGCGTACGCAACACCGGCAAGGTCCCTTTATGATGCGTGGGTTTCAAAATTTTCTGATAGCGAGTCTCATCCTGCTGTATGACCTTCAAAGACGCATCCAGAATCAGCTGCGACGAGCGATAATTCTCCTCCAGCGAAATCTCGTCCGTCCGAGGGAACTCGTCTAGCAGTCGGTGGAGGTTTCTAATCTCCGCCGATCGCCAGCCGTAGATGCTCTGATCGGGATCTCCCACGACCGTGATTCTATTCTTCGCGCTCGCGAAGAGTTTCATGAGCTCGTACTGGATCCCGTTCGTGTCTTGGTACTCGTCAATCAAGACGGCTTCCACATTCTTCACGCATGATGGGAACCGCCTGAGGAGCTCTACACCCTTGACGAGCAAATCGTCGTAGTCGAGAAGATTGTGCCTCTCCAGATGGTCCTTGTATTCGGCAAACACCTTGAGGTGTTCCGGACTGTCAGGTTTCTTCTTCTCGCCCGGGTTGGCAGGCTCATCCCAAGGGCCCCTGACCTTCCTCTTGCTAATCCACTCCTTCACGCCGTGGGGATCAAGCGGAATGCGCAACCTCTCGCATATCCGCTTGATAATAGCTCTCGAGTCGCCGTCATCGGTAATGACAAACTTCTTGCTTAACCCAATCTTTTCTCCGTAAACGGCCAGGTATCGCCTCGCTATGCTGTGAAACGTCCCTAGCACAATCTTCCTCGCCGCTTCTTCACCTAGCGCCTTGCTTATGCGCTCCTTCATCTCCCGCGACGCCTTCACCGTAAAGGTGGCGACGACGATGTTCCATGGTTGATAGCCGAAATGGTTGATGAGCCAGACTACACGCGTCGTGAGGGTGTGGGTCTTGCCGCTTCCGGGACCGGCGAGGATGGCGACTGTGTCGGCTTTGGAGGTGACTGCTCTTCTTTGGGCGGCATTGAGGGTTTTGAGCAGAGGGTGATTCAGGCCCGACGCGTCGGCCATAACGCGTAGTGATTGAGGGAGGATGCTACCGGGAATGAGCGTGATGAGGTCATGAGAAACAGCACACGACTCACTCGGAAATGGGAAGTGAAAGGAAGCAATTCCAATTTCTCTCGGGAATGAGGAAAATATATAAAGCACCGCGGCACTTGTGTATTCTATCGAGGCAATGTTGGGTGAATGAAGCTCGGAGAGCTTGAGACGCGATCCAATCACGCCGAAGCTGCAATTACTGGCGTTGCCAGCTGCGGCTAGGAGCTTTTTCCACTTGCCAATTACCAGCGGGGCCAACCATTTTTACAATTGTTAGCGCTCCTCTCCCTCATCCTTCAGAGGCTACACAGGTACATTGCCGCATTTTCGTCACCCCGAGTTCAAAGACGATCCGACGAAAACGTAAAAATCCATTATGGCTCTTCCAGAAGGCGTCAATTCCTGTTAGTTAGACTGAAGCGCTGACGAAAAGAAGTCATATAGTACATATAGCATAACCTTCGTCATGAATAGCGGAATTTTCAAAGTGCAGGCTCGCCAGGCAGATCTGAAGCCGTCTAAATAAGACGTTCCAAGAGATGTTGCGAGATACTATTATAAATGCAGACAGGTACTTCGTATGCATGTTTATATTGCCTTTTTCTGAGAGAGTGGGAATGGGCTAGAGTTGAGGACAAAAGATTAGAACAGGCCGAAAATGTATATATAATATTTCTTCTCTCAGGTCAGTCACTAATGGTGAAACAAATGTAGACAAAGCCGCTGCGGCCAAAGCTTCAATCTCCCAAACGTCCCTCCGCCTCGTTTCTTGAAGACGACGTCAACCCAGCCAACTCTGGTCTTCGTCCCCAAAGCTATCGACACTTCTGCTTCCCAATTGGCTTGATTCAGTAGACGGAGAGAATCATCGCAGGTCCGATAGCTATCTTCACCGTTCAAACGGCGGCTCCATCTTGAGAAAGCTCACAAGGTCGGCGCCGATGGCCTACTGGGATGGCGACGGGGTTTTGGTGCCATCGATGCCGAATTCGTACGCCGGATCGTCCGCGCCGTCAGATCTCACTGGCGACCCACCGAGCGTGAAATGGCCAGCACCCCAGTCCCTAACCTCCTCTACGGATACGATCGCCTAAACGCGTTTACAGCTGCTCAGCAAACTCAATTGATCTCCATTGGGACTGAGATGGTTGCGAGCAATGACTCCCCCTGGCTTGCTATATCCTTTCCTTGCCGTCCAGTTCAAAGGCGACGATGATAAGATGTTGGCGGCGACGAACCAATGCCTTGGAGGGTCTGTGTCTAGTGTTAAAGTGGCTGAACACCTCAACCGCGAGCTGGAGCGATGCACGAGCGGCGACGTTCGACCGGTGAGTAGTGCTGCATTTAGCATCGCCATGAACGGCTCAGAGGCACGGCTCTACATCTCGTCGAAACATAATGAGCTGGATTACTACATGGCCTATGTCAGGGGTTTCTTACTTCAGAATCCCGAGCACTTTATCGAATTCCGCAAGCACGTACGGAACATCATCGACTGGGGGGAGGGCAGGCGGTTGAAAGAGATTCAGGATTCCCTGGATAGCCCTCTGGATGAGAGCAGGGAGAGAGTTGATGTCGACGGAACTGTCGCTTGGGCAGAGCAGGAAGGGTAGCAGTCACCATCAGTGGAGTAAGCAAGGCGGAACCCATTGTCAGGAACACGCATGCACGCCCGCCAATCTCAGTAAAGCATCCAATTTTTTTGTATGAAAAACGGAGAAATTCAAATTGCATGTCATTCAATTGTTCAATTGTTGTTGGAAAGTGTATGGCTAAGCAGGTCGTTCGTGAAGCCAACTAAAGCCAAACGTGGGACTGGTCCCTGCAATTGATGAAGCTGGATCCAGATGCGCCTCTCGTACTCATCAATGATGGAACGAATGGACCTGGTGCCATCGAATCAGTTAGCCTGACTATGATACCGAAGATTGTATCCCATCGAACCTGCAGGGTAATATTCCTGAAACTGTCCTTCCGCGGCGGCAGCCTGGTCTCGGTTCTCCCCTTCTGGATGCACTTCTTCGATCTCGACAATCGGCAACACCCATCACCACATCAACCCCGATGTGCTCTCCCCCTCCGGTGACATCCTTTCGCAATCATGTTCTCTCTTCAAAGTAAATTATCCCATCACTTGCGCACTTACTTGTGTGGTCTAACCCGAGACCACCCTCTGCTCTGCATCCGAAGCGCTGGCCACGATCCGCGACTCGACGCATCTACACGGCCAAGCACGCTCAACCCACAATCTCACACCACTCACACCGCGGTAATACCCTCCCTCAGGGTGTGACGGGTGTGTTGGTCGGTCCTGTCCTTGGTCCTGCTGTGTTCCCAAAGTTGTTTTCTAGCCCTTAGCCTGGCGTCGAGGTTTGCAATCTTAATTTAAAAATAGCATGTAGCCTACCCTCCAACCTTTCACCCATGCAATGTCGTTGCGCAGGGAAGCATCTGCGGGGGAGGGGAAACATGAATTAACCGAGACAGCAGTCCCCGAGAAAATCACCCCTGCGTAATTGTGATGCGCTCCCCTCCCTTGGGAAGAAGGAGGAGGGGACGAAAGAAGAGAGAGAGAGAGAGAGAGTGTGTGTGTGTGTGTCTGCTACTTCGTAGTAAGAAGAAAAGAGATAGAGTTGGCGAGGTGCCAGAATGCGGGTGCCAAAACCCCACCTCTTTGCGTGATAAGAAGCAGGGGCACACACTTTCATGTTGTCAGATTGGGATGAAGTCGATGATCTTCACTTGTCACATCCACGTTTTTGGTCATCACAGGATGAAAAAGGCCCTATTCCATGAGGCGAGCAACCCTACCCGTGTAGAATTCGGATATGGATCTACATGGTAGGTGTCCATGCACAAATCACTTCGAGTGTTCTCGCGCCGGGAGGAAACCCTGTTTGTGACTGCCGTGTGCTTGTAGATTTCGTTCTGATCCCCCCTTGGTCAGACTGTAGTATGCCATTGATCAGAAAAGAAGCCAAAAAGGCATCATCCATAAACTATAGCCCTCATTCGTGCCCATCATTGCCGGTTGCGTTCTTACGATCCTTGCTCACCGCCGACCTTGGAAAATCCTATCAGGAAAGGTCATCACATCTAGCATGTTTTCGTGACTATCCGCATAAACATCGACTTGTGATCGAATCAATCAAAGGTCGGCTTTTTGCGCTTCCTGCGACATCAATCACAATGCTTCGGTGGCAACTCCCCTCGAAACAACGTCATTACACACTATTTGGGAATTCCTTGAGACCTCATTCGGCATGAACAGGACGAAAAGGGGACGAGACTGAGGTCAGAAACATCAGAAACAGCCGATCGGAATGCCTCTCGGCGGCTGCTGCAGAGCTCAACGTCTCATGAAGAACCCTTGGCGGACAGGGCTCGCCCGTCACACGTCAAATCGTAATAGTCTTAGTGTAGACTTGAATGGTGCTCGCCATCTCCTGGGAAGCATACGCATCAATACATCTACCCTGTACTCGTAGTACCTCGTCCTTACTTCATGGGTTGCAGTTTGCTAGACCAAGCAAGGCAAATCTATCCGTCGTCACGAAGCGCTCGAATGCCGGTCAATTAATGCTCCCGGACCCGCTGGGCCTGAAGTCTTGAAGAATTGGATATTGGATTTCAATGCACCGAGCGTAGGATTAGAGCAAAACCCACATGGTTCCGTCTGCATTTAATCCCAATGGATGATTGTTGACCAGGATCTCTTTACGAGCTCGAGCCCGGCATGCCGCGTTGTCTACGAAGTACCAAGCGGGTGCAGTGACTGTCTTGACGTCGGATTGGAATGTGTTTTGCGAGGTACATTACAGATTTGAGTACTTCATTCATTGTCCAAGTATGAATCGACTTGATGGGATGCGGTTTTCAAGAGTGGCCAAGACAGGAACAATAGAAGTCCTGTCGAATGGGGCGACATTAATAACTAACCTTGCGACTTCGACCGCAGCCAGGCCAACCAGGACAGCAACCGAAAGAGAAAGAGAGAACACTGCCCAAGCAAGGAGAGCCCACGCGGGAATGTTGCTGAGTTTTGCGGTCTTCGCCCCCAAATGACCCCGAGATTCTGAATTTCTGAGTGGGCGAGAGTGGAAAGTCCACCGTGTCCACTCCATCAAGTCCTCCATTCGGAGAACTGGGACCATTGAAAGACAAAGAGAAAAGAGAACTGGAGATCCGTCCAAGTCCACCCATGTCGGCAGCCAGCAGCCACTGGTCGTGCTTCAATGCCCATGCTCCCCCGAAAAAATCACACTCTCCCACACCGCCCAATCACGGCCGCTCAATCCCATCCCCAATTCATCCCCCTCAGTTCCGGGCGCTTAACTGACCCCTGCCATCACGTCGATCCGTCCAACCACAGGCGAGAAGTCCCGCATCGAGACCTGCACGCCTCCAGCCGCCGATTTCCAAAAATGGGGCGCTACCTCTGCGATTCCCGGTCGTCGTCCATTGGTGAGGAATTCGTTTGCCTCTCTTTCTCTCTCTCTCGAGTTTCACGACAGCTTTGCGAAGGCAGGATAGAGTCGGCCACATGTAGTTTGGGCAAACTTGTCATGAAATAAGAAAACAGATATGCAAGGAGAATCAAGACAGAAAATCTATCCTAAAAAAGGGACGTCGACAAGAAGGTGGGGTGAGATGCTGCGGGAAAGGGAGGAAGGAAAATAGACTACCAAGTTACGTCGTAGGAAGTAATACGCTACTACCTCATCCTCGTCGACCTGCGTGACGAGACCACGGATTGGACACATGCAGTGACAAGGAATGGGGAATAGCGCGTGTGCAAGGACTGCAAGGACGAAGTATCCTCCGAAAGGAACCAGTCAGACCTCGCATCTGCGCATCTGAGCTCTCCAGAAGAAGAGAACTATCAAGCAAGGGGAAGGGGGGGTGTATAGTGCAGCGCATACCAAAGTTATCCATGAATCCATGTCCAGACTTTTTCGCTTTTTCCT